AATCTGTATCTTTGTGATGGATCTGAGTAGCTTTAACATGGGGAGGCAGCTGGCAGGTAAGAAGCTTAGTTCAGCCTGCAAAAAGTGAAACCTCAGCAGGAACAGAGAGCATTCACCTACTGGGGCTCAACTGGAGGCTTCAATTATCCCCAGAATTCACAGAAAACAACTTTACAGAAGCAGGGAGGGAAGATAACAGAGCCTGTCACCAGGCACAACATCCCACTCTGAAATAACCCAGTGAGGAAGTACGGAGCCACTCCCACCGCAGAGAGGTGGAAATTCCGGTGAGCTGGGAAACTCCGGTGAACTGAAAAGAGACGTGTGAAAACGCAGCCATGAGGAGCTCTCCAGTCTGTGAGCACTGCACCAGATTAAAAACGAGCCTGTGCAGCAGGTCTGCAGCGAGATGATCCCTAATCTGCCACACACGACGCATACGGAAAGCCTAAGACAAGGACCTTAAAGCTACTAAAGCTCCAGCGGCCTGGAGAAGCCGTTCCCACCAGGAATGAGGCAGCTGCAAGATCTACCAGCTCTCATGCACTTGACACTGATCCATGCAGGAGGGAGCAGGAGGAGCCATGGAGTTCACTACAGCTGGTGGAAGTCTGAGGGATTGTACCAGCAGTAATTCAGGATTTATTTTTGCCCACAGGGCTAAGACACAGCTCTGTGAGCTGGAACTGCAATGGGGTCTCTGATTAGCACACAGAAGGGAAAAGCTGAAATAGTTTGAGTGCCAGTAATCCCAGTCCTAAAGCTGCCTTTAGTCCTTCATGACTGTTGAGGAAGAGATTAACACCTGAAATATTCATGTTGCACTTCCAGATCCATCCCAGTGGAATTTACACGTGCACTCACTGGCCCCACGGACCCAACCAGAATGACCACTACAGTGGATGCGTTTGTGCTCTTTTACAAAGCCTCCAACAACTCATTCTTCCTCTTTAAACCAACAACTGAACTTTCCCTTTGGAAAAAGAGAAAAACCCTTCAGATCAGCAGCAGAGACACAACCTCAGAGTTACAACAGGGGCCCGATGGGGCTCCAGCAGCACAATCCAGCCCAGCTTGAAGGAACGGGCGGCCGCAAACACCACCAGAACCTCCGTGACAGCTCCTTTGGAAAAGGAAAGGAACAACTGGATGTGTTTCCAGCTCCTTCTCCTCAGGAAGCCTGACTGTGCCAGCACTGGTACCAAAGCTGGAGGAGCAACCTTCAAGCTTCATCCGAGAGCAGGAGAGTCCTTCAGCCCAGCTGATCCAGCTCTGCTCCGACACCACTCAGCCACAACGGCTGAGCCAACACCAGGAATTCCAGGATGGCTGCACCAGCACCTCTGGTTTCCATTCTTTTCCACATGAGCTGCTCCAGACGAGACGAAGTCCAGCCTAATTGGTATTTCAGAGGCAAAGCCAGCACACCAGAAGCAAAAGAAGAGCTCCTGCGTATTCCCAGGCTCTGGAGTTTGGTCAGCACACCTTAAAATACGGCCCTAATTTATTCCTTTTAACTCAACCGCTGCTCATTAGCAGGAGCTTGTCTTAAAAGTGATTTCACAAGAGGCCTTTTGTCAAATTTACACTGGCATTTGTCAGTTTGAGATTAAGCCCTGCGTTCACCAACTTGATATCCCGCTCACACTAAAGCATAAATTAACATTTTAATGGAGCTCCGATCTATTGGAGGCCCCTTCACTACAAGCTCATTATATTTCACCTCCCCAAAAGTCCCTTTCCCTGCTTTGCTGAGCCAGGGACAGGCTTTAGGACAGACTTCAGCTTTCCCTATCCAAGGGAAGAAGCTTTTTCCTCCTAAGCCATTCCTCCACCTCAAAGGAAGAGCCTTGAAAGGAATGAAAGCAAGTGGGAAAGTTGAGTGTCCCCTACAGCAGACGCTCCCACGCCTGATACATTTCCTTTGTGCCACGTTCCAGGTGTGTTACCCTTCTCCCCAAACCCAAAACGGGGGGATGATAATCCAGCTGTGCCTCCGGTGGGGTGCTGTGTCAGCAGCCCCATCAATCACAGCACCCAAACCACGGGAGGAAATCCGTGGATTTCAATTTAATCTCCATCCCCAGGGGAAGTGGGGGAAATCCCTCTTGGGCCAACCCCAAAGAGATCCCTTTGTCCAGCCACCTTTCCCCACCAACAGGAGGGAACAAAAGCAGGAAAGGCCAGTTGCACAAGGAGGAAAACCTCTCCACCATATTGGATTTTCTTCCCCCCTTCTCCAAACAATGCCTCGCGTTTGTAACCCGCAATCCCGCCCTCCCGTGGCATCTCCCGACCTCCAGGGACGCAGGAACCGGGAGAAATCCTCCCGCAAACCTCCCGGGCAGCGGCACTGCCATGTTTTTTTTTTCCCCAGGGCTGCCTGCGGCGCGGGCTGCATCCTCCACAATAGGACAAAGCCCCACCGCGGTTCATCCCCCTCCCTCCGCCGCACCCCCATCAGCTGTCAGCTCTCCTTAGGGATCACCGGGATGCAGCGACATGGCAGGAAAGGGGTTTTTTTTGGAGGGGGGGGAATAAGGGAAATTTGACAGGCTCGCCAGCCTCCCATCCCCCTCCTGCTGCAGTCAGGGCTGGATGGAGCCGAAGGCTGCAAAGGCGGAGCGGGAATGGGGATGGAGGGGGGGGGGATAACCAGGGCTGCCTCCACCCTGCACGGACCCGCAGCCACGTTAGGTTTGTGGTACGGGGTGGGGGAGCGGGGGAAGGGATGCGTGAATGGAAAAAAATAAGGTAATAATTAAAAAAAAATAAATAAAAGGCAATAAATGCCCGTCGGCGTTTTATTGTCCGAGTCTCCCCACGCCCTGCCTCCGCAAAACAACCGCATTTCCTGGGGCCCCCTGGGAACGGCGGGGATCGGGGACGGGGCTATATCCAAACACGAGGAGCTGTTGTAAAATATACACATAAATCATATAAAAACCCCAGCCGGGGGTCCAGTTAGGGATGGGGAGAAGGACCCCGGGTGGGGATGGGATTGGAGCTGCGGGGTGCAGTGAGAATTAATGATGGGGAAATGAGCCAGGGGTCCCCCGGGGGAGGGGGGGGTCACACACACCGGACCCCCGGGGTAATGCTGAGGGGCGGAGGGAGACGATCCCAGGCTGGGCTGGAGATGAATGGGAAAGGATCCAGGGTGGGGGTGGGACTGAAGCCGAGGGGGTGCTGTGATAATTAATGACAGGGGAAAGCAGCCAGGGGTCCCGCAGGGGGTCACATACACCAGACCCCCGGTAATACCGGGGAGGGGGACGGGGGGAAGCACCCAGACAGAGGCGGGGGGGCTACGATAGACAGGTGACAGGTGAAGAAAACGACCTGAATGGGGTGATAATCAGGTGAGAGCCTGAGGAGGGGACCGCACACCCTGGGGGAGGGGATAGAGACCCGAGCGCCCGAGGCGAGGGGGGCTCAAACACAGGCTGGGGGGGGAGGATCAGATGATAGACGGGCAAAGGACAGCGGCGCCGGGGTGGGTGAGAGATGGGGAAGGGGGTCAGCCGCAGGAGCCGGGCCCGAGGCGCGAGCGGGCGGCGGCTGCTCCTCACCGTGAGGCCGGTGCCCAGCACGATCACGTCGTACTCCTCATTCATGGCGGCGCGCGGTGTCTCGGGGGTCTCTCGGCCGGGGCTGAGGCGAACCGGGCGCTACGCGGGGGCCGCGAGAGCGCGAGAAAATGGAGCCGCCGCCGTGAGGGGACCGCGCCGGGAGGGGCGGGGCTGGGCCACCTGCGCCCCGCCCACGCGCCTGCCAATCACAGCCCGACACGCTACGCTATTGGCTGCCGGGGGTGTCACTCAAGGGGCGGGAGCAGTGCGCGCGCGAGCGGCGCTGCCACCGTGGTGGGGGCGCGGCGCGCATGCGCAGTTCTACGGCCGCCCCTACGGGCTTGGACTGCGCAGGGGGGAGTCTTTATATGGGGGGGGTCCTAAATTTGGGGGTGCTCCTTAATTTGTGGGGTTCCTCAATTTGGGAGGGGGTCCCTTATTTACTTCACTTTAGGAAACACTCAATTTAGGGGGTTCTTAATTTGTGAGAGTCCTCAGTTTGGGGGAGTCCTTTATTTGGGGTGGTCTCAGTTTAGGGGGGCGGTCCTCAATTTTCATGGATCCTCCATCTGGGAATTAGGGAATTTCCTCCACTTGGAGGGGGCCCCACGGTTTGTGGGGGGTCTTTATTTGGGGACAGGCTAGGTTTGGGGGTCCTCAGTTTTGATGGGCTCCTTAACCTGGGGGGTTCCTGTTTAGGGGATTCATGTGGATCCTCCATTTAGGGGGTCCTCAATTTGGGGGTTTTTCCTCAGTTTAGAAAGGATTCTCTGTTTGGGAGGGTTCTTAATTTTTGGGGGACCTCTGATTAGTGGGGGATACAATTGAAGGGGGTTCTCTTTTGGGGGCGAGTCCCCTATTTGGGGGATCCTTCATTTCAAGGGGATCCTCAGTTTGGGGATGTTCCTTAATCCTGGAGAGCTCCTCAATTTAGGGGGGTTCTCTGGGGAGCATCCTCACTTGAGGGAAGTTCTTAAATTTGGGGGGGTTGTAGTTTAGTGGGGTCTTTGAATGAGGGGTTCCTCAATTTGGGGGCTCCTCAGTTTGGGGGGGTTAACTGGACCCCCCCCAATCCCTGCACATCCGATGCTTTTCCATCCCAAGCACCACTTTTGATGGGGAATTTGCTAACTATCCCAACAAACACCCCTAATTAGGCTGCACTCCTACTTCCCAAAACCCTGTTTGGGGAAATAAAAAAAAACAGGAAGGAAAAGTTTTTGGAAAAACCAGAATTTTCTGGGGGAATTTTGCAGGCACAAAGCTGAATCCACGTTCCTTTTCCAACTCCCAAAATAATGCAAAAGTTGCCCTTTGTGTTTTGAAGGTGTTCCCATGTTTTTAAGGAGTTTTCCCTTTGTGTTTCCATGGATATTTGGGTACATTCCCACTGGGTTTTTTTCATCAGCAATATTGGGAGGACACAGCTCCAATTTAATGGTTTATTAAAATGATAAAAAGTGAGAATGAAGCAGCCCCTTGCATTTCCTGCTGTAGGGAAGCCAGAGCAGGATTTATGGATCCATAGATCCTTAAATTTTAAATTTAAATTTAATCCTTTAATTTTTTTAAATTCCTTTTGGAGCAATAAAATAATTTCCTCACCCACCCAGGAGCTGATCCAAAATTCCTGCTCCAGGGATAGCAAGGTGGGAATTCCCCACTCAAACCCAGGTGGAGCACACCTTAACTCACTCCCTTCCTGATTTTTAACACCTGCCATCCCCAAAAAAGCAGAATTCCATCCGTTTTTAACTGCTGGCATCACAAACAGACAAGGACACATCAGTTTTTGGTGGAATTTATCATTCCAGCTGCACAAACCCAAGAGCTGCAGCTGCTCTTACCTTGCTGGGTGTTCCAGGCTTCCAAGAGCAGATTATTGGGATTTAAAGTTCATCAGAGCTGGGAATTGCCCAGCATTCCAGTTTGGGATAAAACACTTCCTTAATTTAGTCTGATCCAGAGATCCCTGATGTTCTCTCACAAGGTTCAGGTCCCACTAGAGATTCCTGCAGGTTTTGGGATCAGCTACAAAAAGGATTCAAAAGGTTGATGCAGCTTCAAGAGTCTCTGTCCTACCCAAAGATGTCAAATTAAAAATTAAATTTCAAATTAAACCAATTTAGCAGAGAGCAGGTCCATGAAGAGCTAGAAAATCCAGGATCCAGGTGGATCTCCTCCATGGGGATGTTCAGGGTGGGGAAATTCCCAGGAAAAGCCACGAGGATCCCTGGAAGTGGCACTTCCCTTGGATGGTTCTGTTTCAGGGAGCTGCACAGGAAAAAGTGAAAGAAGAAAATAAATTTATAATGATTTCCAACAGGAATGTGATGATTTGGGTGGGAAGGGACCTTAAAGATCATCTCATTCCAATGGGCAGGGACACCTTCCACTATCCCAGGCTGCTCCAACCTGGCCTTGGACACTTCCAGGGATGGAGCAGCCACAGCTTTTTTGGGAAATCTGTGCCAGGGCCTCCCCACCCTGCCAGGGAAGAGCCCAGACCCATCACCTCCATTATCTTTTGAGATAATCCTATTTAAAACATTTCTCCTAAATCAACTCCCAAATGCCAAGCTTGCCTCCTCTGCTCAATTTTGGGTAAAAATCTTTGACTTATGGGAGGTTATTTGGGGACAGGCTAGGTTTGGGGAGTGCTCAGGTTTGGGGGGCTCCTCCTCTATTTAGGGTATTCATCAATTTGGGGGAGTTTTCAGTCTGGGGGGGACCCCTCCATTTAGGGGGTCGGGGTTTCATCAGTTTGGGGGGGGGTTTCCTCAATTTAGGGGTTTTTCCTCTATTTGGGGTGTTTCTTAATTTTTGGGGGTCCTCTCATTAGTGGGAGACACAATTGAAGAGGCTTGTCTTTTTGGGGGATCCTTAATTTAAAGATGCTCCTCACTTGGGGGATCAATCTGAGGAATTTAATCAGCTGTTTCCCTAAATGTAGGAAGGAATAACCACTGTACCACGTGGAAAAGGAGCAGGTTGCTGTTCCTCACGTGCTGACTGGTGTTCCCTGGAAGATGTGGATGACATCAGGCCTCCTGGCCAGCTGCTGGGCCAGCATTCCCGTGGCATCAGGAGCATCCTGGAGCCCAGCCCGGAGCAGGATCCCAGCGGCCTCCGCGCGCTGCCCGGCGCTGGCCACGTGCAGGGCTGGGGGACACAACACCAGCTCATCCTGCTTTGCAGGAAAACAGGATTCCCACGGGAATAAACAGGTGGAAGGTGGAAAAATGAGTTTCGCCAGTGTGGGATTACGGAGCGGTTTGGGTTTTTGGGTTGGGATGGAAAAGCAGGATTAAGTTTGGGATCATTGAGTCTGATCTTAAGGATCAGCCAGTTCCACCCTCCTGCCACAGACAGGGACCCAGGGACCCTCCACCATCCCAGGCTGCTCCAAGCCTGGTGTCCAGCCTGGCCTTGGGCACTGCCAGGGATCCAGGGGCAGCCCCAGCTGCTCTGGCAATTCCAGCCCAACCTCTCCCCACACCCTCAGTGTAAAAAAAAAAAAAAAAATCTTCCTTCCATCTAATCCAAAGGAGGCATCCTGATCCCTCTGGATAATCCTGATGTGGATGAGAAGCTTCCCAAGGACGCAGTGACCCAAACCCAGCCAAGGAGGAGCCACAGGAAAAAACATCCCAGGGTTGGGTGAGCTCAGCAGAGCTCGGATTTAGTCACTGAGGGGGCGGGGGGAGAGATGGCACTGCTGAAACATGGCTTCAACCAAACCCCAGGGCTGGGAAATTTGCCAGCTTTGGCTTTTTTTTTAAATTTAATTTGGTTTTTTTTTTTGGGAGATGCTGATGCAAGAGCTGCCTGAGCCTTTCCCGCTGGGAATGCCGACTCTCCGGCATCGCTATAGCAACTCCATTTCCGTGCCAGCTCTCTGGTATTATTTGCTCATCAGCCATTTCCAGGCTGTTTGCTAAGGAATTGAGGCTGGAGAGCTCAATCCTTGTGTTTGTCCATCCAACCTGCTTCCAACAGAATCATTCCAGCCAAATTTGAGGTGGAAGAGGCAGCATTGAAGCTCCTCAGGTGAAAAACGAGCGGGAAATTCCCAATTTGGGTCTCTTCTTTCCCAGACGGGAAAAGCCCCAGCAGAAATTCCAGCAAACTGAAATTCAGGGAATGCAAAATGCCCAAAAAAACCCCTGGGATGATCCCTCCTGCTGCTCCCAGAGCAAATATATCCATGGATTTGGCATCTCCCTGCATGCTGAGGTTGGGATGTGCTTATGGAAGCTCTTGGTGTCACATAAAGCTTGGAAAATCAGCTTGGAATTCTCACCAGAACGGCCCTTCCCATCCTTGGCCTGCAGATCAGCACCGAGGGACAGCAGGGTCTGGATGGTGTGTCCATGTCCTTCCTGCAGAACGTGGAATTTGGGATCAGCTCTGTGCTTGGATCCATCCCCAACCTGGGATTGCCCAGATCTGCTCTGTCCTGCTCAGCTCTGGGGGCACCAGGAGCTCCAGAGGATCTTGGAGCAGATGGAAATCAGGCTCAGCTGCCTTCAGAGCAGATCCATGAGGCAGCAATTGTTATCCCATGGGAATCATGTCCATCCCATGGGAATTGGCCAGAAAGGAGCCACCAGGCACCTTCCTAAAATCCCAGCACAGTTTGGGTTGGAAAAAATCCTTGAACATCATCAAATTCCAACCCCAGCCACGGGCAGGGACACCTTCCCTATCCCAGGCTGCTCCAACCTTTCCTTGAGTATTCCAGGGATGCAGGGGCAGCCCCAGCTGCTCTGGCAATTCCAGCCCAGCCAGGAATTCCCAGTTCCCAAGATTCCATCCATGGCTGCCCTGTGGCAGTGGGAGCCAAAACATCATCAAATTCCAACCCCAGCCATGGGCAGGGACACCTTCCCTATCCCAGGCTGCTCCAACCTTTCCTTGAGTATTCCAGGGATGCAGGGGCAGCCCCAGCTGCTCTGGCAATTCCAGCCCAGCCAGGAATTCCCAGTTCCCAAGATTCCATCCATGGCTGCCCTGTGGCAGTGGGAGCCATTCCCTGTGTCCTGTCCCTCCATTCCTTATCCCAGGTATCTCTCCTGGAGCCCCTCTAGGCCCTGGGGTCTCTCCAACTCTGAGTTTCAAATCCCTCCAATTCCCAGGGGATCTGGAGTTGATTTTTCCAGGGTTATTCCAGCTCCAGGAGCAGAACCTGTTGCTGATCCAGGCTGTTGCTCATCTGCCTCCCTCAGGCACTGGCATTTCCCAAAGAATTCCTCCAGGATTTGTGATCCCCTGGGAGAAGACCCAGCCATCCACAATGCACTGTGTCCTCCTTCCTCTGCCAGGAGCCAATTTCAAATTCCACAGGGAAAAACCCAGCACAGCCCCCACCTCCTTCCACCCTGCACAGGCTTTTCCAGAAATAAATCCTTTCTCCCTAAATAACACGCCTGATTTTGGAATTACATCCTCAATGCCATGAATTAGTCTTTGTCCTGCAGCCTGGGAATGGAAAGCTCTTATTTTTACCCCCCCACACATCCTCTCTTTTTCCAGGATTCCACAGCATCTTCCCTGATCCCAAGGCTCCCATTTCCCTGCAAACCCAATTCCATGGTAAAGACACGGAGCCAGGAACTGCTGCAGCTGCCACAGCCCTGGCAGCAAATTGAATTTAAAAAAATAATTTGATTTTCATGTGTTTATAAATGCAAAAGAATAAGAAAAGAGGGAGATAAAAACACAATCCACCAGGCAAACAAATGGTGCTGTAAATACAAAGTGACACTGAGCCCGGGGAGGGAAGGGACAGAATCCCATCCAATCATTCCCAAATCAGCCAGGAGCTGGGATTTTCTCCAAGGCACATTATATTCCCCCCAGAGCCTTGCTGTTCAACGTACCCTTGGCAACCAGAAGGGCTTTGAACGTGGTTTCTGGGAGCAGGAGGCCAGGAAAATGGGAGAAAGGGCTCCTTTGTGGCATGGCTGGATGGTGCCAGCATTCCCAGGGAGTGGCACGGATGGTTTTGTAGGAGCAAGGCACTGGGATGAGGTTTAATTCCCACTACAAGGCTCAGAGTGCTGTTAAAATCCTGAGTTTAACATCCCTGGATCTGGGCAGGGAAATTGCCATGCTGCCAGGAGGGATCCTGGTCAGCAGGGAAGTGTTGGGATCTGCTCTGCATTCCCAAGGGATGTTGCAGGACCCACAGCTCTGCTCCCCACACAGGCTGGGAGGAGGAGAAAGCTCCAATGATTCTGGAATTCAAAACAATTCTGGTGTGAAGGACACAGATAAAATTCTGGGAGCTCCCCCACCACCTTCCCAGTTCTCCTTTCCCACTTCTGCACGTGTCCTGTCCCTCCTGTGCAGGCAGCTGGACACAAATATGGAATTCCTGGGGTGGGAAGGACTCAAAGCACATCCAGTGCCACCCCTGCCATGGCAGGGACACCTCCCACCGTCCCAGGCTGCTCCAGCCCCAGTGTCCAGCCTGGCCTTGGGCACTGCCAGGGATGCAGGGGCAGCCCCAGCTGCTCTGGCAATTCCAGCCCAGCCAGGAATTCCTCATGGCCAAGATCCCATCCATGGCTGCCCTCTGGCACTGGGAGCCATTCTCTGGGTCCTGTCCATCCCTTGTCCCCAGTCCCTCTGCAGCTCTCCTGGAGCCCCTTCAGGCTCTGCAATGTGCTGGAAGCTTCTCTCCAGGTGAGCACCCCCAGCTCTCCCAGCCTGGATCCAGAGCAGAATCCTGGAGCAGCTCCATGGATTCCTCCAGCAGCTCCAGCTCCTGGCCCCAGGGCTGGGATCTGGTGCTCCAGGTGGGATCTCACCAGAGCAGAGCAGAGGAGGAGAATCCCACCCTCACCCTGCTGCCCACATTTCATTTGATGCCCAGAAAACAGGGAATGGGACTGGTCAGGAGCAGATGGGCAGTGGCAGAGGATGAGCCAGGAATGCAAATCCTCTGTGGTGGCAAACACCTGATCCAGCCTGGTTTAGGTGCCTGGCACAGGCTTCTCCAAGGGAATTTGGGAGCAGGGACAAACCTTGGCTGCGTAGTGCAGGGCTGGCAGCTGCAGGGACGTCGCTCTCCCGTTGACATCCACGCCCAGCTCGGACACCAGGAACTGGATGGAGCCATCCTGGGCTGTCACAGCTGCCCTGTGCAGGGCCTGAGCACCCAGGGCATCCACAGCTGTGGGACAGGCCTGCAGTTAAGGAATATCGTGGAAGTAACACAAAGTGCACTCATCCCAAATGAGATCAGCACCCTCTGGAAGCCAGGAAACTTCCATGAGGTTTCCCACCTCTCCCACCCTCAGTGCCTGGAATGTGAGGTTAAAACCACAACAAACTTCCCCATCCAGAAAACAGGATTTCCTTTTCTTTTGGAAATCCAGGATCTCACCAACACCTCTGGGAGAATCAGCCATGAGGGGGCCCCAACCAGCTGGGATCAACCAGCAATCAACCAATCAATCATCAATAAATTATTGATTGCAGTGGTCTGGTTCCTGCTGTGCACAATTGGTTCTAATGGCATTCCCTGGAGGAAATCAGGGATTTTTGGGAGCCAGCACAGGAGCAGGAGCTGCCAGGAGGGAGGGAGGAGCTCTGGATAACTCATGGATGGACATTTCCACGTTATCTACGGCCACTGGAGCCTCCAGGCTGAGTCCTGGCATTCCAAGAGCTGCTTTTGGCTCTGCCACAGCTGCCCCTGGAGTGCTGGGAATGTCCTGTCCCCTCCTGCCACTGCCTGGTGTCACTGTCCCACTCCACCAGCTCTGGGAACACATTTACCACAAAAGCTGTGGCTGTTCATGGATTCCTGGCAGTGTCCAAGGCCAGTTTGGACAGGGCTTGGAATCACCTTGGATAATGGAAGGCGTCCCTGTCCATGGCAGGGGTGGAATGAGATGATTTTTAAGGTACTTCCAACCCAAGGAATGAGATGATTTTTAAGGTCCTTCCAACCCAAGGAATGAGATGATTTTAAGATCCTTCCAACCCAAGGAATGAGATGATTTTAAGATCCTTCCAACCCAAACCATTCCACGATTCCTGCCCCAGGAGCCGATTCCTGCCCACCTCACTCAGCCAAATCCTTCTCATCTCCCGGGGCAATTTGCCTTTTTACACAATTTCTCTCTTTACAATTTGGGAACTTGCTTCCTTACGCTCCAGTCACGATGAACACGTGGCTCACCTGTCCTGGCAGCCCTGGCTCAGCTCCTGGAGGAGGCAGTGAGGAATTCTGGCACCCACCTGGTGTTTCTGCAGGAGCAGCCGGGCGATGCCGACGTGCCCGTTCTGGAGGGCATCCATGAAGGGAGTGACCCCACAGCTGTCCCTGCTGTCAGGTTTGTACTGGCACCTGGAAGGGAGAGGAGAAAAAGCCATGACAGAGCTGTGGGCAGCTCCAAAATCCCTATGGAAGGAGACTCTCAGCAGCTGGGGTTGAAAATGGAATATATAAAGCTCGTCCACAGACCATGGATAAACCTGTCTTGGTGTTTTAGGGCCCGGGGAATGATTTGTGGGGTTGGTTTTTTTTGGATTAGAGATCTGGTTCAGCTTGTTTGGGCTCTACAGATCATTTTTCCTGACCAGAGGGTTTCCAGAAGGGACAAGGTGGGCACTGGAAGCAGGGAATAACAAGATCCTCATGGAATGATGTACAAAATCAAGAGCCCACCAATCTCATTCAGGTTAAACTCCAGTGAAATGAGAGAAAACTGATTAAAGCCTGGCTTAGATCTCAGAGCTGTTTATGTCGGGCCGAGCACGGACAGGTTGGGATGAGCTGTGATTCCCAGGGAAAGCAGCTCCAGCTCTGGGAAGGGAGAACAGAGAAAGGGAACAGAGCTGCTTTAAAGCCAGTTCCCAGCAATTTCCCAGGAAAACAAGGATAAGCCCAGCCTAGTGAAGCTGCTTTGGTTGTTGTCACACTGGGAATGAATCAGCAGGGAAAACAAAGCCAGGGCCGAGTTACATAACTGGGATTTGTGTCACAACCAAGAGGGAGCCCATCCCCAGGGAATCCTTGTCTCTTTTCCAGCTGGGAAAAACCTGGAGCACGAGGAGCCAGCCTCGGGATGGAGGGCAGGGCAGCTGTGCTGTGCTTCACCAGTGGAACAGCACAAGCATCCTTTGTGTCCAAACCCTGGCAGGGAATGGGAGCTGGGGGTGGAAAAGCTGGAAGGAGCCTGCTTACCGTTCCAGGAGCAGCTCCACGACCTGGGAACAGCCGTGCATTGCTGGGAAAAGGTGGAAAAAAAACAGGAAAAACATGGATTGGTTGTGGGTTTGTGGCATTGTGCTCCTACAGTGAGGCATGCTCGGGTTGCTGATCCTTTTGGGATGAGGGAAGGGGCTCCAAGGGGCTTTATTCCCATCAATTTTTTGGTGGGATTAAAAAAAAAAAAAGAAAAAAAAAAGCTTCCCTTCCTCTGATTCCATTGGGAAATGTGAGGTGAAGCAGGGAAAAGGTATGGAATGGGCACTACCTGGCTCCATCTGCCACAGAATTCAGCTGGAACAAAGAGGGTTTCTCCCAATTATTTGTTCATTCCTGCCCTGGGATCTGGGAGAAGCAAAAGGAACACAGAGCAGGGAGCTGGGGAAATGCTGGATAACATTCCCAGCCCTCCTCAGCCACTCCCATCTCATCATCCTCACCCATCTCAGAGGGAAAACAACAACAGAGGGGGAGGGTTTGAACCCGAGGCACTGAAATATTCCAGTTTTTTCTTGATTTTTTAAACATTTCACTTCACACTGCTTTGATCCAGCTTTTTTTTTTTTTTTTTCCTGCAGGTCATTTTGCAAAACAAAAGGAACATATTCAAGAGAAAATTAGGATCAAACCAAGGCTGGAGCTGCTCCATCAGGTGATGGAAAAAGGGCTCCTGGGAAATGTGTGCTCCCAGGAACAACTTTCAGCTGGAATCCCAGGGAGGGATTCACAGATTTTGGCTCTTTGCTCCCGCTCCTTGCCTGTTCTTCACCTGAGCTGATGGAAAACCCAAGTCATGGGAAGAAAAATCCCTCACAATTCCATCTTTTATCAGGAACAGAGACTTGGGACAGCTGGGATCCAGTGCTGCATTCCACATCCTCTAATTACCTCTTCCCAGCTTTCTTCCCTCGGGATAGAAGAAGCAACAAAGCTGAAGGAATCAACCCTTATTAATATAAAAAATAATTGCAGGAGGGAGAAAATGACCCTTCAGGAAGGCAGCTGGCCTGGTCACGGGTTAATGTGCTCAAATCCACACCCCTGGGATGGAAATCCATGGAAACCCGTGGAAAAGGCAGTTGGTCCTGCCATGATTTCCCCTGGCAGCTCCAACACCACCTCCAGCCCCCACCCCTGCTCCTGCCTTGGGAACTGGGAATATCCCCTGGGATAAGTGTGGGGAAACCAGGGAGCAGCAGTTTGGGATCAAATTGCACTGGGGGGTTAAGTCCTCACTCCATAATTCCAGCCCTTCCCAATTCCCAGTCACTCCCACTCCAGCTGCTGCTCCAGGGTCTGGCTGGGTCAGGAAATTCCAGAAATCCACCCAAATTGTGGAATGGTGGCTCTGCCAAAGAAAACACAGGTGAAGACACCTCTAGGAGGCAGAATCCAGGTGCTGGATCCCAACTGCATTCCCATATCCCAAGGCAGGGAGAAGAGTTTGGCCCGAGGTCAGAATTCCCCCTTTCCCAAAAGATAATCCCAAATCCCATCGCTCACCCTGCTCCTGACCCTGTCCCAGCCCCTCAGCTCCCAGATCCCAACCCAACATCCACCTCCTGCAGGGACAGGAGCTGCCAGCTCCATGGAAACAACACCTGGAATTGGGCAGGGATGGGAGAACATAAAAAAATTGGGATCAGCCACTTCAGGCAACCTGCTGCGATCCCACCACCAACTCATTCCATGTTTTTTTTTTTCATTCCCAGGTCAAGCACAAGGACTCAGTGATGCCCAAGGGCTGGAATTGTCACTGCTGATGAGCCAGGAGTGACAGAGCAAGGGCTGGAAAAGCCACGGGAGTGACAGCACAGCAGGGGCTCCTCCCAACACCTCGGGATTTTCCAGGGAGTCAATCCCAATTAAATTCTTTGGGAAAGGAGTTTGGGTAGCCAGGGCTCATCCCTGCTGCTGGGACCTGGAATGCACAGCCTGATTCCCACTCTGGATGTGGTCTGAGCCCTCTTCTGCTTCCCAACAATCCTGAGGATGGCTGGGATTCCTAAACCTGCCCATTCCCTTTAAATATCCCTTAAAAGCAAGGAAAAGGGCAGGGAAAGGGAATTGGACATGGTGGGTTCCAACAACAGCTCCTGTGTATTCCCAGCAGGGATTGTCCTTCCCCTCCACAGAAAGGACCCCTGGAATTCTCACCATGGCATGAGAGCAAGGGCACTCCAAAATTTGGAGTTTATTATTGGAATCATGGAGTCATTTTGGTTGGGAAAGTGCTGGAGCCCAACCATTCCCAACACTGCCAAAGCCACCACTGACCTGTGTCCCCAAGTGCCACATCCACATGGATTTTAAATCCCTCCAGGAATGGGGACTCCACCCTTGCCCTGAGCAGCTCATCCCAATGCTTACAAGCCTTTCCAGGAAGGAATTTTCCCAGTATCCCACCTGAACCTCCCCAGGCCCAACCTGAGGCTGTGATAAAGAAATCCATCCCCAGGCAGATCCCAAAAAGTTCCTCTGAGCAGCTCTGCTGCTTTCAGGAATTGCAAATGCCAGGATGTGCTTGGAGCTGGGGAGGTTTTCCAGGAGCAGTTCCCAGCTTTACACAGCAGGAAGGAAAATCATATCCTTATTCCAAGGGAGCTTGGATCCATCTGTGCCACAGAGAGAAGAATTTGATCCAAGGATCCCAAGAACTCCAAGAGATTGGTTTGTGGATTTCCTGAGGGAAAAATTCCCATTTTTCTGGAAGTAGGCACCAGGCTCTGCTTCTCCTGAGGGAAAACCTAAGGATTCTTGGATTTCCTGAGGGAAAAATTTCAGTTTTTCTGGAAGTAAGCACCTGGCTCTGCTTCTCCTGAGGGAAAACCTCATTCCCACTTATCCCAACCCCCAAATCAAGCAGGATATTCCCCCAAAATCCCAATTTTTTGCCTCTTTCCCCTCAGGCCCGGCTCCATGGTGGAGCAGGAGAGGCCACGGCAGCTCCTGAGGCTGGTCCAGGAGGAAACCTGGATGTGCTGTGGGATTTGTGGATTTCCTGAGGGAAAAATTCCCATTTCTCTGGAAGTGGGCACCAGGCTCCGCTTCTCCTGAGGGAAAACCTAAGGATTCTTGCATTTCCTGAGGGAAAAATTCCCATTTTTCTGGAAGTAGGCACCAGGCTCTGCTTCTCCTGAGGGAAAACCTCATTCCCACTTATCCCAACCCCCAAATCAAGCAGGATATTCCCCCAAAATCCCCATTTTTTGCCTCTTTCCCCTCAGGCCCGGCTCCATGGTGGAGCAGGAGAGGCCACGGCAGCTCCTGAGGCTGGGCCAGGAGGGAAACTGGATGTGCTGTGGGGTTTGTGGATTTCCTGAGGGAAAAATTCCCATTTCTCTGGAAGTGGGCACCAGGCTCTGCTTCTCCTGAGGGAAAACCTAAGGATTCTTGGATTTCCTGAGGGAAAAATTCCCATTTCTCTGGAAGTGGGCACCAGGCTCTGCTTCTCCTGAGGGAAAACCTAAGGATTCTTGGATTTCCTGAGGGAAAAATTCCCATTTCTCTGGAAGTGGGCACCAGGCTCTGCTTCTCCTGAGGGAAAACCTCATTCCCGCCTATCCCAACCCCCAAATCAACCAGGATATCCCCCAAAATCCTGATTTTTTGCCTCTTTCCCCTCAGGCCCGGCTCCATGGCAGAGCAGGAGAGGCCATGGCAGCTCCTGAGGCTGGTCCAGGAGGAAAACCTGGCTCTCCTAGGGGATGAGCTGAGGCTGGATGAGATTCCAGAGGTTTCCCTGGCTCCCTCCCTGCTGTACCTGCTGTGTGCAGAGGAGTTCTCCCCGTGGTGCTCTCCGTGTCCCAGCAGCTTGGGGACACATCCAGGAGGTAGCGGAGCACCTCGGGATGCCCTTCCCTGCTGGCAATGTGGAAGCAATTCCAGCCATCCTTGTTCCTCAACAACGGGTTGGCTCCGTGCTCCACCAGAGTTTTGATCACTCCCAAATTTTTCCTGGTGCAAGCCATCATCAGCGGAGTCCTGGAAGAAGATCCAGGGAAATAAAATAACCTGGGATGACAAATCTGATTCAGGTGCTTTGTCTGAGGAGCCAGGAGATTTTACAGCACTGAGACTTTTCCCAAAGGTTTGGATATGCCTTAGGAAGCACAGAGCTCCCTGGTGTTACTCCATGCCTGGAAGAGCACGGCCACACAAATCCAGGCTCATAAAATCTTGGCCTCAGCTCCAGGCTGGCACAGCCTCAATTCCCAGCTCTGGAATGCTGCCTTTGGACTTGTGGCAGTTCAGCTGCAAAGGACCATCCCAGGCTTTCAGCTGGGAGCTGAGGGGAATCCTTGTTTTCTTTTTCCAGAAATCCCCATCTCTAAGGGAAGAGTGGAGCAGAAATTTACAGCTTTTAGGAGAAACAGGGGGAAAGCAGGGATAGGGCTGGAATTTCTCCCAAAAATCCAACTGGATCCACAGTGTGGGCAGCAAAAGGAATTCTGCCCTCTCTGTTCCACTCAGGTGATCCCACATGGAGTCCAGCTCTGGGATCCCAATATAAGGACCTGGAGCTGCTGGAGCGAATCCAGAGGAATCCATGGAGCTCCTCCAGGGCTGGAGCCAGGCTGGGAGAGCTGGGAATGTTCTCCTGGAGAAGGGAAGGATCCAGGGAGAGCTTCCAGCACATTCCAGGGCCTGGAGGGGCTCCAGGAGAGCTGCAGAGGGACTGGGGACAAGGGATGGACAGGACCCAGGGAATGGCTCCCAGTGCCAGAGGGCAGCCATGGATGGGATCTTGGCCATGAGGAATTCCTGGCTGGGCTGGAATTGCCAGAGCAGCTGGGGCTGCCCCTGCATCCCTGCAGTGCCCAAGGCCAGGCTGGACACTGGGGCTGGAGCAGCCTGGGATAGAGAAAGGCGCCCCTGGATGATCCCTAAGCTCCTTCCCATCCATTCCACGATCCCAAACTGCCTCCAGCAGCCACATTCCCACCTTCCCCACCCAATCCCAAATCCCAGCACCTACCAGTCAGCCTTTTTCAAGCAGTCCACGCTCGCCCCTCTCTCCAGGAGGAAGGACACACATTCCTGGTGTCCCATGGAAGCAGCCTCATGGAGGGGTCTCTTGTAGTCCCCATTGGCCACCTCTGTGTCCATCCCAATCTCCTGGATCAGGAATTCCAGCACATCCCGGTGTCCCAAGCGAGCTGCGTGGTGCAGCAGGGAATCTCCCAAACGTCCCCAGCGCCAGCTGGGAGCCTCTGGAATCTCATCCAGCCTCAGCTCATCCCGTAGGAGAGCCAGGTTTCCCTCCTGGACCAGCCTCAGGAGCCGCCGCAGCCTCTCCTGCTCTGCCATGGAGCCGGGCCTGAGGGGAAAGAGGAAAAAATACAGGATTTTGGGGGATATCCTGGTGGGTTTGGGGCGTTGGGATAGGCGGGAATGAGGTTTTCAATCAGGACAAGCAGAGCCAGGTGCTTACTTCCAGAAAAATGGGAATTTTTCCCTCAGGAAATCCAAGAATCCTCAGGTTTTCCCTCAGGAGAAGCAGAGCCTGGTGCCTACTTCCAGGAAAATGGAATTTTTTCTCTCAGGAATTACCAAATCCCACAGCACATCCAGGTTTCCTCCTGGATCCACCTCAGGAGCTGCCGCAGCCTCTCCTGCTCTACCATGGCGCCAGGCCTGAGGGGAAAGAGGTAAAAAAACCAGGATTTTGGGGGGATATCCTGGTTGGTTTGGGGCGTTAGGATAAGCAGGAATGAGGTTTTCCCTCAGGAGAAGCAGAGCCTGGTGCCTACTTCCAGAAAAACTGAAATTTTTCCCTCAGGAAATCCACAAATCCCACAGCACATCCAGGTTTCCCTGGACCTGCCTCAGGAGCTGCCACGGCCTCTCCTGCTCTGCCATGGAGCTGGGCCTGACAGGTAAAAAAATGGAGAATTTGTGGGAAATTATGGTTGGATTGGGGTATTGGCATAAGCTGACATGAGGTTTTCCTGTAGGAAAAGCAGAGGCTGCTGTCTACTTCCAGAAAAACTGAAATTTTTCCCTCAGGAAATCCAAGAATCCTCAGGTCTTCCCCTGGACCAACCTCAGGAGTGGCTGCAGCCTCTCCTGCTCTGCCATGGAGCCAGGCCTGAGGGGAAAGAAGCCCAAAAATGGGGATTTTGGGAGATATCCTGGTTGATTTGGGGAGCTGGGATAAGCAGGAATGAGGTTTTCCCTCAGGAAATGCAGAGCCTGGTGCCTACCTCCAGAAAAATGGGAATTTTTCCCTCAGGAAATCCCCAAACCAGCCTCTCCCTCAGGATGGGCAGAAACTTCCTTTTCCTTCAGGATAATGAAAAAATGTCCTTCAGAAAACTAGGATCTGTCCTCTCCTTCAGGAAAACCAGGAATTTTCCTCTCCCTCTGAAATTCAGGAAGCTGTCACCCCTCAGTAAAAGCAGGAATTATGTTTTTCCTTGGAAAATTAGGTTCTGGTCTCTCCCTCCAGAAAAATACGATTTTCTTTTCCTTAGGAAATCCAGGATCTGATCTTTCCCTTAGGAAAACCAGAAATTCCCTTTTCCCTCAGGAAAACCAGAAGCTTCATTTTTCCATTGGGATGCCCAGGAACCAAATGTTCCCTCTGGAAAACCAGAAATCAGCCTTTCCCTCAGGAAAATAGGAAAGCAGCCTCTCCTTTAAGCAGAATGAATTTTTTTTTCTTTAGGACAAAGAGAAACCAGAGTCTCCCTCAGCAAATCCTGAAATTCCCTTTTTCCTCAGGGAAAAATGGGCAATTTCTTTTTACTCAGGAAAACCAGGACCCCCACCTCTTCCTCCAGAAAACCTGAAATTCCCTCTTCCTTTAGGAAAACAAGGAACTTCCCTTTTCCTTGAGAAAACAAGGAATTAGCCACTCCATCAGGAAAAAGAGAATTTTGCTTTTTCATATGGAAAACCAGCAATGGGTTTCTCCCTCAGGAAAACCAGGAATTTCAATCTTCCCTCAGGAAAATCAGAAACCAGCCTCTCCCCCTGGTAACACAGAAATTTCCATTCCCTCTGGGAAAACTCGAAAATTCCTGTCCCTCTTAGGAATGCCAGAAACCGGCTGGAAATCCATAAATTTTTCTTTTTGAGTGAGGAAAACCTGAAATTCCCTTTTTCCTCTGGAAAACGAGTTAATTTCCTTTTCCCTGCAGACAGTCAGACACCAATTCCTCCTCCAGGAAAAGCAGCAATTCCCTTTTCCCTCCCAAACGAACGGGAAATTCGCTACTTCCTCAGGGGGAAAAAAAAAAAAAACAACAAAATTCCTTTTTTCCTCAGGAAAATCAGAAATTCCCGATTCCTTCGAGGCTCCCACAGTCTGGAATCCCTCCCCATTCCCTCCCCAGCCCATCCCAGACCGCGCGATTCCCGCGGGAAAATTCCCGCTTTTTCCAACCCACCCGCGCGCCGCGGAGCGCTCGTGACGTCACGCGCGGAAGGACTGACGTCACCGCAAAGGGGAGAAGCAAATAGACCCCCGCCCAACCCGGAAGTGCTGCGCCATTGGACAGCGCTGGGCGCTGCTCCGGGTTCTGATTGGACAACGGGCAGGGGGCGGGGCCGGCGGAGCGCGCGGTGCCGGGAGCGCCGGGAGCGGGTGAGGCCGGGGGAGGAGGGCGCGACCATTTCTGGGCAACGTGGGGGGGGGGCCAAGGAAGGGTTCCCTTGGAAATGGGATTTCTTTGGGAATGTGGAGGCCCTTGGGAATGGGGGAATCCTCTGAACTGAGGGATTGGCACTGAGGGGACCCTTGGCAAAGGCGGGGGAGTGATATTCAAAGGGATTTGGCACTGCGGGGGACCTTTGGCTTTGAGGGGAGCTTGGGAATGGAGGCTCCTTTGGCATTGGGGGCACCATTGGGAATGGGGGAATCCTTGGAATTGGGGGGGTTGGGAATGAGGGCACCCTCGGGAATGAGGGGGGATTTGGTATTAAAGGGGTTTTTGGCACTGCGGGGGAGCTTGGACATTGAGGGGACCTTGGGAATGGGGGCTCCTTCGGCGTGAGGGGACCCTTGGAAAAGGGGGAATCCTTGGAATTGAGGGATTGGAAATGAGGGGTTACAGGATGGGGGAGTGAACAGGGGGCCTCTTGGCTGAGAAGGGGTTAAAAGGGAATTCCTTGGGAATGGGGGAATCCTTGGGACCCTTTGGACCCTTTGAGGGGACCCTTGGGAATGGGGGACTCCTTGGGATTTGAGGGGACTCTTGGGATTTGAGGGGACCCTTGGGAATGGGGGAATCCTTGGGATTTGAGGGAATCCTTGGGGTTTGAGGTGACCCTTGGGAATGGAGGAATCCTTGGGATTTGAGGGTTTGCCTAAGGGGTAACCCTTGGTAACGGGGTGGGGGAGTGAGTGACTCTTGGCTGAGAAGGGGTTGAAAGGGAATTCCTTGGGAATGAGGGAATCCTTGGAATTGGGGCATTGGCACCGAGGGGGCTTTGGGAATGGGGGGGTTTGGAAATGAAGGGACCCTCTGGATGAGGTCGGTGCATCCATGTGGGAAAAGGGTTTGGGAAGGGCGTTCTGGGGGGAAAACCAGGAGCAGCTCCAGCTTCCTCCCAAATATTTTTCATCCCTCTGGAGCTTCTCCCTCCACCCTCTGATCCTGTGACTTCCCAGCTGGAATGTCGTGTCCTGGCTGACACTGAAAGCCATCTGGGAAAAACAGGGATGCAGGTGAAGCCTGAGTGAGCAATTCCATTTTTAAGTAGAATCCTGGCATGATTTCGGTTGGAGAAGATCATTAGGATCATCAAATCCAGCCCCAAATTCCCTCAGCACGTTCCTAAAATCCACGGGAGTGTCTTGGATTTGGTTTTTTTTCCCTTTTATTTGCCTCATTTCCCGTGTTTGGAGGAAATTGGGATGTTGGGAAACAGCCTCCCCGGGGAGCTGAGCGGTTTTAACTCTGCTCAGCTGAAAAGGAGGGAGCAGCACATCCAAAAAAATCATTCAGCTCGGAAAAAAAAAACCCCAAAAATTATCCCAAGGAATAACCAGGCTGCTCCTTGGATCCTGCCCTAACAGGAAAACAACATTTTTGGGTCTGCTGCAGACGTGTTAAATAGAAATAAATAAATTTAAGGAAGCAAAAGTGAAACTGCTGCTGCAGGAGGGAGCTCATCCCGTGACAGCCACTCCTGCTGGGCTGGGCTCTTTTGTGGAAAAAATTGCATTTTTGGGGCTTTTTTTGTAGCCAGAAGAGAGGAGTTTGTGCCTATTCCAAGCCAGGTTTGGTTATTTTATAGGAATAATTCCCAGGATGATTTTTTTTTTCAACTGCAAATGGGTTAAATTTGCTGTGCTAAAGAATGATCCCAGCTTGGAAAGGTTTGGGTGCTGGAATGTTGGATCCAGGGTAGGAGGAACAAGGCTTTTTAAAAAGTTTAATAAGGGATAAAAGCATTCCATAAATTCCATGAAAAGCAGTTTTCTTAACCAATTTCCTCCCTGGGAAAGTGACTTTGTCATTTAATTTCATTTTTTAAATTTTATTTTTATTATTTTATTTTAGTTTGGATTTTTGGTGTGCTTTTTTTGGGTTTTTTTAAATTTTATTTTATCTCCTTTTCTATATATATCTAGTGTAACTTGCCAAAAGCACACCAGCTTTTGGCAAGTTACACTTGCCAAAGTGTAACTTAAACTTAAAATAATTTTCTTAAAATTATTTTCTTAGCTTAAAATAATTTTCTTCTATATTTTTATTACATTGGTTAAATGCATATTTATGAGGATTATATGCATTTCAATATGATATGGTATATATAAACTTCAGTATTACATATATAATATATAATATTGGAGTCTATATGTTATATAATATATAATTAGTGTATATTGTATAGATACTTCAATATTCTATATTAAATACATATATGAGATATCTATTCCAATATTCTATGTATTTCAGTGGTTTTGTGAGTTTATTTTTATGGGAATTCTTTTTGTTGTTTTTGAGCACGGACTTGTCTGCATCTTATCAAAATTAATATATTTTATTTTTTCTTGAGGTTTTATTTTATTGTTTTGACACTTCTTGACAACTGGAGAAGTAGTAGTAATTTTTTTTCTTGGTGTCTTAGTTCTTCTGATTGAGATATTATCATTTAGATAAGATAGTCCACAAATATATTGAATTAACATAGTATTTTATACCATTATTTGAGTTACTTACATAAATAATAGCATACAACATTAATTATTTTAATTTTAATTAAATTTAATTACATAGTTCCTATTTTAATATTATGTGAAGACCTAAACTATAATATATTTATTTGATTGCTATTTGTATAAGCTGAATGGGGTATCTAAAAGCTGAGAGAGTCTGTTGTAGCCAAAAAGTAGATGAAAGGGAATTGTAATAATAAAATGCATTTTATTAAAATTGTTGTGCTTAATAATAACTTGTAAAAGCCAGCACTTAAATGTGGAAGTCAAAAACTATATTATTATGGTATCATATTCTATACCTATATTATATTATGTATTGTTATATTTATTATAGAAATATTAAATACTCTACAATCAATAATAATATATCATTATATAATACAATAATATATAAAATATATATTCTATATAACACAATTATATATTCTATATTGCATCTATAATGTAATTTATATTAGATAATTAACATAATTATTATATTATAATTATACAAAATATATAATACATTTTATACATTCTATTATGTATTATTAATACATTATATTAATAATATAGTATAATATAATACCATAATAGTGACATTATAATACTATAATAATATTAATTCTAAGTAAATAATAATGCAATATTATTGTATAATAATGTAATTATTTACAATACGATTATATTTTATTATATGTATAATGTATAATTATATATCAATATAATATATAATTATTATATTGATATATAGTAAGTTATATGATATATAATAAGTTATATATCATATAATTATATATATAATCTTATATGTCATATATATGATATATATAAGTTATATGATATATAGTAAGCTATATGATACTAATGTAATAATATTATATTAATTGTTTAACAATTATATTTATAATTACATTATTGACTAATTATATAATAATTCTATTTCTACTGTGATAAATTATATTATATTATAAAATTATAGCTATATTGTCATTTATAACAAGAGGCAGCCACAGCTTCTCTAGGAATTCCTAGAGAAGAATATTTAGAATATTTATTCCTAGAGAATATTTAGTTAGGAACTCCTGGGCTGGAGTTCCTAACTAAATATTCCCAAACTAAATCATTCCCTAACTATCCAAACTAAATCATCTGTCAGCCATCACTCCACAAAATCCTTCTGCACCCCGGGGGCCTCTCAGGGTGCCGGGGAGGAGAGCCCAGAGTGAGGTTTTCCCTTTCCCCCTTTCCCCCTTTCCCCAGGGATGCGGGGCTCCAGGAGGAGGCGGCTCACGGCCCCCGAGTGCGCGGCCCTGGCCCTGAGCCCCGAGGGCTCGGCCCCCCTGCGGCAGCCCCTGGGCCTGGGAGGAGGAGGAGGAGGGACAGCCCGGGGCCTTCGTCCCACCCACGGGACACCGCGACACCCCGGAGGTACTGCTGGGAATGCTGGGCTGGGAGGGTTCTCCTGGACAGGGGAAGGATCCAGGGAGAGCTTCCAGCACATTCCAGGGCCTGGAGGGGCTCCAGGAGAGCTGCAGAGGGACTGGGGACAAGGGATGGACAGGACACAGGGAATGGCTCCCAGTGCCAGAGGGCAGCCATGGATGGGATCTTGGCCATGAGGAATTCCTGGCTGGGCTGGAATTGCCAGAGCAGCTGGGGCTGCCCCTGTGTCCCTGGAATGTCCAAGGAAGGATTGGAGCACCTTGGGTGTCCCTAGAATGAGCTTTGAGGTCCCTTCCCACCCAAACTGGTCTGAGATTCTGGGATTTGGGACATTCAGAGTCCACCCCGAGGGATTTTTATGGAAAATGGGAATGAAAAAGAGAGGAAAAGGGGAGGGAGACCCTTCATGGTTTCCTGAGATTCCAGGTGAAGCCCCTGGGTCCATGAATGTCCTGGAGAGGAGATGGATCCAATGCCAGGCTGGGAGAGCTGGGGACATTCCCCTGGAGAAGGGAAGGATGCAGGGAGAGCTTCCAGCACATTCCAGGGCCCGAAGGGGCTCCAGGAGAGCTGCAGAGGGACTGGGGACAAGGGATGGACAGGACACAGGGAATGGCTCCCAGTGCCAGAGGGCAGCCATGGATGGGATCTTGGCCATGAGGAATTCCTGGCTGGGCTGGAATTGCCAGAGCAGCTGGGGCTGCCCCTGCATCCCTGCAGTGCCCAAGGCCAGGCTGGACACTGGGGCTGGAGCAGCCTGGCACAGTGGGAAGGAACATCCCCTGCCCAGCTGGGACGTGCCACCAAAATCCCAAATTCTTCCTCATTCCCTGATTTACAGGGAATTCATTCCCACTTTTCCCCTTTGTGCAGCACCAGGCCAGCAGAGGAAGATCTCGGATTTCCTCACGATCGCAAAGGCGCCACAAGCAGGAACTGCTGGGATGCCGAGCTGTGGGATCAAGGAAGAGCCACTGGATCCCTTTTTCCCTGGACCTCCTGGCTCCTTCAGCACCCCCTCCCTTTCCCTGCATCCCCAGGACTTGGTGCCACCTCCCAGGGGACATTCCAGCAAAAGAGGAATTCCCAAACCAGAGCCACTGGATCCCTTTTTCCCTGGACCTCCTGATTCCTTCAGCAACTCCTCCCTTTCCTTGCATGCCCAGGACTTGGTGCCACCTCCCGGGGGACATTCCAGGAAAAGAGGAATTCCCAAACCAGAGCAGGATCTCTGGGAGGAACCTGAGGAGAAAATTCCAGTGCTCAGTGGGATCAAGCAGGAATGGGAAGAGCTGGAAGTGGAGCCCCTTCCCGATTCCCACTACGGGCTCCTGGGCACTCGGAGCTGGCAGGTTCCTCAGGGATCCATGAATGATCTTCCTCCTGAAATCCTCAGGAATATTTTTGCTTTCCTGCCAGTGCTGGATCTGTACCAGAGCCTGAGCCTGGTGTGTCGCTCCTGGAGGGAGATAATCCAGGATCCACGGGTAAGGAACGCTCTGGGATCATCCCATGGGGTCATCCATGCTCTGCCTGCCTCCTTGTTCCTGTAAATCCCATCATTCTTCCCACAATCCATGAATTTTTAGATTTCCTGCTGGTTTTTTTTAGTCTTCTGGACCAAAAGTTATTCCCCTATATCCAAAATCCGAGATCCATGGGTAAGGAACGCTCTGGGATCATCCCAGGTTTTGGTTCCCATGATTCCCATGGAATCATCTCAGATTTTGGGATTGTCCCATGGGGTCATCCGTGCTCTGCCTGCCTCCTTGTTCCTGTGAATCCCATCATTCTTCCCACAATCCATGAATTTTTAGATTTCCTACCTTTTTTTTTTTTTTTTTGGTCTTCTGGACCAAAAGATCCAAGATCCACGGGTAAGGAACACTCTGGGATCATCCCATGGGATCATCCATGCCTCCCTTTGTTCCTTTAAATCCCATAATTCTTCCCAAAATCCATGAATTTTGGGGTCTCCTGCCAGTTTTTTTTTTTTCTCTTCTGGACCAAAAGTTGCAGCCCTGTATCCAAAATCTGAGATCCACAGGTAAGGAACATTCTGGGATCATCCCATGGAATCATCCATGCTCTGACAACCTCTGTTTGTTCCTTTAAATCCCACCATTCTTCCCACAATCCATGAATTTTTAGATTTCCTGCTGGTTTTTTTTTTAGTCTTCTGGACCAAAAAGTTGCTCCCCTATATCCAAAATCCATGTTGGAGCAACATTTCTTCCAATTCATGGGAAAAAAACCCTGCAAGATTCCATAAAATCCCCCTTGCACAGTTTTCCCTGCAGCCTCTTTTCCTGGCAGGAATTATCCATGGAATTCCTGCAGTGTCCCCAAACCTCTGGGTGTGTTTGTGGTGTCTCTTGTCACCAAATGGATTTGAACAAAAACCCTGGAGCTCTGTTTTCATGGATTTTGGTTCCTCTGGAATCAAGGCAAACAACTGGAAGGAATGATTCCATAAATCCCACAAAAAGTGGCTTGGGAACAGCCAGCACCTCTCCAGTCACTCACCATCCCAAAAATCCAGCCCTATTGGCAGTATTTTTTTAGTATTTTTCCCCTCCTTTTTCCCTTCTGTTTTTTTTTCCTACCACCTTTTTCCCCTCCCTTTCCCCTCCTTTTTTCCCTTTTTATCTCTATTTTTTCACCTCCTTTTTTCCCCTTTCTCTCTTTTTTTCCCCCTTTCTCTCTTTTTTTCCCCCTTTCTCTCTTTTTTCCCTTTCTCTTTTTCCCCCCCTCTCTTTTTTCCCCCTTTTCCCCCTTTCCTTCCCCATCTCCCTTTCCCATCCAGCTCCTTTTTGACCCCCATGACTTTTGCATCCCCCTGCCTTCTCTCTTTCCCCCTGGAAACCCCCTTTGGAATGCCAAATGAGGTGAAACCTGCTGCTTTGTGCTTCCCATTGCAGTTTATCCCTTGGAAAAAGCTCCACCAGCAGTACCTGAAGAGGGAGGACTCAGCCCTGCAGAGGGTGGAGCAGATCCTGCAGGAATTCTCCATAACCAAGGAGCAGCAGGGCTGTGTGCTGGGGCTGCTCAGGTGAGTCCAGTTTGCACCTGCAGATCCTCACATTTTCCTGGCTTTGGGATTTCTTCTGTTGGATCCCAGGAATTTCCAGGTTTGTCTTCTAAACAGGTGGAAGATGTGCAGGAAAATGAGGAGGGAAAAGTGATTTTAATAGGAAAAAACCACTAAAAAGTGGTACAAAAGTTTCCTTTTCTTTTTCTTACCCTGTTTGGACACAAGATCCTGGAATAATGGAATTCTTTAGGTTGGAAAAGGCCTCTAAGACATGGAATCCAAGCATTCCCAGCACTTCCAAGGCCACATCCACACGTGTTGGAACCTGAGAACTCTCAGAACTCTGGGGCTGTAAGCCAAAGCTTAGAATTAAACACAAGATTTGACCTGAGACCTTAGAATAAACTTCCAAATTTAAGTGCTAAAAGCAAGAATGTGGATTTTTAGTTTCAAGCAGAGACACATTAAAATAAGGAAATTTTTAGAGTTTAAGATCTAGAAAAAATAAAGTAGCTGCAAAAATAAACAAAAAAAAATAGAATACAATACTGTAAGTTTGTGTGTCATAACATGATGGGCTAAAAAAACTTAAACTGTAACATAAGTCCATAAGATGAAATATTTAAGGATTGGGTCAAAAACATAAATATCCTTGTTAGCAGTGTTTTATTAATCTATAATTCCTAATTATTAGTCAATAAATTATCACACACAGGGCACTGAAATCCCTCCAGGGATGGGGACTCCACCCCTGCCCTGGGCAGCTCATTGCAATGCCTGACCACTCTTTCCATGGAGAAATTGTCCCAAAATCCCCCCTGAGCTCCCTGGCCCAGGCTGAGGCCAAACTGATCCCATGAATCATATTCCCATGATTTCATGCCAGGATGAAATCTGGGAAGGTGGAAATGGGCTGGAATTCCTGGATGAGAAGCTGTATGATTCCATGGTTCTGTTTCCAATGGATTTTCCTCTTTCCTCATTCCTGGCAAGCAGATTTCCTGGATCTGCACTGATTTATCCCCCACAGCTCCCAACAAACCCAATCCCAAGAGAAATCCTTGATTAACCACAAGTGCTTTGCTCTCATCCCTGTCATTCAGAGGGGAATTCTGTGTGCTGGAATTGGGTTTGGAGCAAGGTGGATCCAGCTTCTGGAATCATGGAATGGTTTGGATTGGAAAGAACCTTAAAATCATCCATTCCACCCCCTAGGCATGGAATTCCACTAAAGGAGACTTGGAGCCAGCCAGAATTCCAGGCTAAGAGCTGGATGCAGGAATTTATTCCAGCTCTTCTGGATCACAAAACTGGGAATTCTTGTCCAAGTGGCTCCTGGCTCAGGAATGGGCTGGAAATCCAATTTCCAGCTGCTCAAATTCCATGGAAAACACAGCAGGGATTAATGAAAGCTTCTGCAGCCACTCTGGGGGTGCTTTGGGGGTAGCACAGTGAATTCCTCCTAGTGAAGGGAGGAATTGTGTGTAGTTCCTGTTAATATCAGTGTGTTCAGGATTTAAGAGTAAAGTATAATTATTATTAATCTGAGTGTGTTCAGGTGGAGGGAAGGTTTAAAAATAATTAGTATTGAGGCATCAGTGTGTTCAGGTGAAGATTCAAGAATAATTGTTATTGAGGCATCAGTGTGTTCAGGTAGAGAGCAGATTTAAGAATCAATTGTAATTATTATTGAGACATCAGTGTGTTCAGGTAGAGAGCAGATTTAAGAATCAATTGTAATTATTATTGAGACATCAGTGTGTTCAGGTAGAGAGCAGATTTAAGAATAAATTGTAATTATTATTGAGACAGTGTGTTCAAGTAGAGAGCAGATTTGGGAATAAATTATAATTATTATTGAAACATCAGTGTGTTCAGGTGAAGAGATGTAGGCAATACATGCATGGTTTGGTTACTAGACCCAAACACTTTTTTTCTTTTCTGCCTTTTCCCACAAAATACAGAATCACAGAAAGGTTTGTATTGGAAGACACCTTAAAGATCCTTCAACTGCCCTGCATGAGCAGGGACACCTCCCTCTAGAACAGGCTGCTCAGCACTGCCTGAGGCAAAACTCCCAGATTCCCATCCCCTGGCATGATCTGGAACAGTGAGGAATCACCCAACACCTCAAATATTCCCCAGCAGTTAAGGCTCAGCTGTTTGCACTCAGCAGCATTTGAGTTTCTGAAGTTATTTCCAGCTCTGGATTTGTTCATGGACTCCCTCAGTGTCACTTTATCCAGCGTGGTCTGACAACAAACAAACCAAAAACCCAAACCAGGAGAGATATCAAGATGGGAAAATCTGTTTTTGCTGATGGCCTCAGAGTTGTGTATGTGGGGCATTGTCTGTTTTTACTTCTTGGGGTACACTCAATGAAGCAAAAACTTGTAAAAAAATGTTGGCAAGTGTAGTGGTTTTGGTTTGTTAATTTAAGATTTTTTTTTAATTTTAAGGGTTTTTTGTTAATGTATTAAAGAGTGCAGTGGGTTTTGGTGTTGGTTAATTATTAATGTATTTATTTTTTGGTTGTGAGATAGGAAGGGTAAAGTAGATTTAAAATTTTAAAAGGGTGTAAAGAAAATGTTATTGATAGTTTCCTGGTTTGTTTTGTCTTTTAACATGTGTTTTCACAGAGGCATGTCCAGTTTTTTAATGGTTGGAAGCTTTGTGTCACTTTTTAAGATATCTCTCATGTAAAACTGTGACAGCAGGAGTGATTGATTGTTTCCCCTGTGAGTGCAGAAGTCAAAACTGTGCTTGAAAAACCATCTCCAGACACATGAATATTTTAAAATTTTCTAAAAGATGGGTATTTGGTCATTTACAAAGTTAGCTAAACACCAATTTGTGTGCAATGTTCTTTGTCCAGAGGCAATCCCTTCTGCCAATTATTGACATTATTTTTGATTAGTTCAGTGGATCTCAAAGGATCCTGGCTGCATTCATAATGAGCTGTGGCAATTAGCAGGATGTTCTTTGGAGGAGCCACAAATTCCTTGGAGAGCAAATCCCTTGTTATTCCTCCTGCCCAGGTTGGTGGCATCCACGGGAGCCAAGGTGGATCCCAGCGCGTTTCTCCGGGTTTTGGGAAGTCATCCCCTCTTCCCAAAGGCTCAAATCTGTGTCCTCAACAAATTCCCAGATTTAAAGAGCAAGCCTGGGGTGAGTTTCACTCTTATTTCTGGTTTTTTAACAAATTCCTGCAGTGTCCCCAAACCTCTGGGTGTGTCTGTGGTGCCTCTTGTCACCAAATGGATTTAGAGGAAAACCCTGGAGCTCTGTTTTCATGGATTTTGGTTCCTCTGGAATCAAGGCAAACAACTGGAAGGAATGATTCCTAAATCCCACAAAAAGTGGCTTGGGAACAGCCAGCACCTCTCCAGTCACTCAGCAGAGTTTCTGAAGTTATTTCCAGCTCTGGATTTGTTCATGGACTCCCTCAGTGTCACTTTATCCAGCGTGGTCTGACAACAAACAAACCAAAAACCCAAACCAGGAGAGATATCAAGATGGGAAAATCTGGTTTTGCTGATGGCCTCAGAGTTGTGTATGTGGGGCATTGTCTGTTTTTACTTCTTGGGGTACACTCAATGAAGCAAAAACTTGTAAAAAAATGTTGGCAAGTGTAGTGGTTTTGGTTTGTTAATTTAAGATTTTTTTTTAATTTTAAGGGTTTTTTGTTAATGTATTAAAGAGTGCAGTGGGTTTTGGTGTTGGTTAATTATTAATGTATTTATTTTTTGGTTGTGAGATAGGAAGGGTAAAGTAGATTTAAAATTTTAAAAGGGTGTAAAGAAAATGTTATTGATAGTTTCCTGTTTTGTTTTGTCCTTTAACTTGTGTTTTCACAGAGGCATGTCCAGTTTTTTAATGGTTGGAAGCTTTGTGTCACTTTTTAAGATATCTCTCATGTAAAACTGTGACAGCAGGAGTGATTGATTGTTTCCCCTGTGAGTGCAGAAGTCAAAACTGTGCTTGAAAAACCATCTCCAGACACATGAATATTTTAAAATTTTCTAAAAGATGGGTATTTGGTCATTTACAAAGTTAGCTAAACACCAATTTGTGTGCAATGTTCTTTGTCCAGAGGCAATCCCTTCTGACAATTATTGACATTATTTTTGATTAGTTCAGTGGATCTCAAAGGGTCTTGGCTGCATTCATAATGAGCTGTGGCAATTAGCAGGATGTTCTTTGGAGGAGCCACAGATTCCTTGGAGAGCAAATCCCTTGTTATTCCTCCTGCCCAGGTTGGTGGCATCCACGGGAGCCAAGGTGGATCCCAGCGCGTTTCTCCGGGTTTTGGGAAGTCATCCCCTCTTCCCAAAGGCTCAAATCTGTGTCCTCAACAAATTCCCAGATTTAAAGAGCAAGCCTGGGGTGAGTTTCACTCTTATTTCTGGTTTTTTAACAAATTCCTGCAGTGTCCCCAAACCTCTGGGTGTGTCTGTGGTGCCTCTTGTCACCAAATGGATTTAGAGGAAAACCCTGGAGCTCTGTTTTCATGGATTTTGGTTCCTCTGGAATCAAGGCAAACAACTGGAAGGAATGATTCCATAAATCCCACAAAAAGTGGCTTGGGAACAGCCAGCACCTCTCCAGTCACTCAGCAGTCCCCTGGAAACTGAGCTCAGCCCACGTTTTTGGGGAGATGCAGGTTTTCCTTCATGCCATTCCCATAAATTGGGATGGATAAAGCTGGACAGGTTGGAAATACAGGATGTGCTCCTCTCTTTTTAACCCATCCTAAAACTTGGTTGAGGTCACTCTGCCCTGGAGTATCCCAAACTCCTCCCTCTGTGGTGTTATTTGGGATGAGTTGGGCTGACAATGATGCCTCAGGGTTTGGCTTTTCTGTTTTCACATTCTGTGCTGCTTTAGTGTGTGGGGTCTGAGCTTCATATTATGGGATGGTGAGCTCTGTGCACAGAGCAGGGAGACAAAACAATTCCTGCTCCAGCTGGGCACCAAGGACAAATGATCCAAATCTCAGCCCAGGAGCACAAACCCCGTGGGCTGCAGAGAGAAAAACAAGCAGGATGGGAGTGCAGGGGCTGAGCTGGAATTGGACACTGAACTGCAATGTGCACATGGAGCAGAGCTGATCCCAGGGAGAGACCCCGGGAGCGCTCGTGCATTTTGGGACCATTTGGGTTCATCCTGGGTGCAGCCCTGGCTGGGCTCTTGTGCTGCCCCAGGTGCATCCATGGAGGAGATCCTTTCAATCCATCCCTGCTTTATTCTGGAACTCTGCCCAGCCCCTGCTCTAGCTCAGCCTTCTCAAGGCATCCATTTAGGTTTTAACAGCTTCTCACAGAATTTTCCCACCTCCAAGCAGGATTTTCCTGGAAACTCCAATCTTTCTGCTGTCTTTTCCATGTCCTTTCCCAGCCTGAGAAGATGTGGGCCATCTTTGCTGTCATGGTGCTGTTCTCTGATGGTGTTGGTGACATCCAGAGGCTGCTGGAACGTTTCCGGAGCCCCCGCTCGGAGCTGGCCGTGCTGGAGGTCACCGAGGTGCTCCACTGCATGGCCACGCTGCTCCTGGCCATGAGGAACAAGGGCATTCCCATCTCCAACAGGTCAGGAGCTGCCCCTTCCATCCCTGAACACTTCCCTCCATCCCCAGGCTGCTCCAGTCCAGCCTGGCATGATTCCAGGGGCGAGGCAGCTGCAGCTGCTCTGGCAATTCCAGCCCAGCCAGGAATTCCTCATTCCCAGAATCCCATCCATGGCTGCCCTCTGGCACTGGGAGCCATTCCCTGTGTCCTGTCCCTGCAGGCCTTGTCCCCAGTCCCTGTGCAGCTCTCCTGGAGCCCCTCCAGGCCCTGGAAGTGGCTCTGAGGTCTCTCCAACTTTGAGTTTCAAATCTGTCCAAATCCCAGCAGAACAGCAACATTCCCATCTCCAACAGGTCAGGACTTTCCCATTCCAGCCCTGGGCACTTCCCACCATTCCCAGTTGCTCCAATCTGGCTTTGGATGTTCCAGGGATGAGGCAGCTGCAGCTTTCTCTGGGAATTCCTTCCCAATATCCACCCCAAATCTCCCCTTTTTTCCTGTCTGAATCCAGCCTGGCATGATTCCAGGGATAAGGCAGCTGCAGCTGCTCTGGCAGTTCCTCATTCCCAGAATCCCATCCATGTCTGCCCTCTGGTACTGGGAGCCATTCCCTGTGTCCTGTCCCTGCAGGCCTTGTCCCCAGTCCCTCTGCAGCTCTCCTGGAGCCCCCCCAGGCCCCTCAAGTGACTCTGAGGTCTCTCCAACTTTGAGTTTCAAATCTGTCCAAATCCCAGCAGAACAGCAACATTCCCATCTCCAACAGGTCAGGACTTTCCCATTCCAGCCCTGGGCACTTCCCACCATTCCCAGTTGCTCCAATCTGGCTTTGGATGTTCCAGGGATGAGGCAGCTGCAGCTTTCTCTGGGAATTCCTTCCCAATATCCACCCCAAATCTCCCCTTTTTTCCTGTCTGAAGCCATTCCCTTTGTCCTGTCCATCCTTTATCCCAAAGTCTCTCTCCTGGAGCCCCTTCAGGCCCTGGAAGTGGCTCTGGGTCTCTCCAACTTTGAGTTTCAAATCCCTCCAATTCCCAGGGGATTTGGATCTCCAGCCTGGCCTTGGACACTTCCAGGGATGAGGCAGCTACAGCTCCTTTAGGAATTCCATTCCAGTGCTTCCCCATCCTCCCAGCCAGGAATTCCTTCCCAATTTCCCATCTATCCCATCCCTCTGGCATTCCCCTTTATCCTGTCACTCCTTTCAGGATGCAATATTCAAAAAACCTCCAATTTTTCCCAAAATAAAAGCAGGATTTAAAGAATCTTCATGCTCAGCTACAACAATTTAATGTTTTTATTACCTCCCCAAAATTGATTTATTTTACTTCATTCCAAGTCCTAGGAGCTCCTTCCCTCATGATCCTTATGTTCCCCCCCCAAAAAAAAAAAGGGATCTCAGCAGAGATTTCCTTGAGATTCCTTCAGGATGCCCTCATGATCCTTATGTTCCCCCCAAAAAAAAAAGGGATCTCAGCAGAGATTTCCTTGAGATTCCTTCAGGAGTGCAGTGGGGATTGGGATGAAGGACACAGGGAGAAAATTGGGAAGGAACTGGATTGGAAAGTGAAAATATCCAGGAATTAAATGGCTCTGGAAGCTGTGAGTTCTAAGGGACTGTAGGACAGGGAAAGGCTCATCCTGAGGGAAACTGGGATGTTTATTTGGAATGTTAATGATTGATTAATTGCTGGATGAAGTCGTTAACCTGCAGGAAATGTGGCAGGATGGCCCTGGCCAGCAATGAGAGCTGGGATCCAGGTCAAAATCCAGGGATTTTAGAGTTTCCATCTCCCTGGACAGCCCAGACCAGAAAAAGTGGGAATTCCTCCTGGGAATAAGGAGGAAATGTGTCCTGGAGGAATTGCCTGATTGCTGTTTGCAGTAATTAATGAGTCTTAGAGTCCAAATCATGATGAGAGACACACAAAATCTGTCCTGGAGGGCTGGAAGAAAGGAACAAAACTGTCCTAAAAGAGGGAAAACCACAGTGGGAAAACCTTGCTGGAGAACCCAGGTTAATTTTAAACCAGTTGTTGTCACACAGTTAAAACCAAAGAATCTCTTTTCCCCCTGTAGTGAAAAACCACCAAGAATTATCATCAGAGTTAAAAACCTCCCCTAAAACCATTCTAAACCAAAATCTTCACTCTAAAAGCCCAAAGCAGCCCCAAATTCCCTCTGTTGTTAATTGTGGCTCAGGAGAGCAGAGTTATCCCCTGGACTCTGATCCCAGGTCATGTTGGCATGGAAAACCCTGGGATACAAACCTGGCAGGGCTGAGGGAGAGGCCACACTCAGAGCTGACCCCACAGTGCCTTTGCTGTCATTTCTCAAGGCAGAATACATTTAAAGAACATTTTAAATTATTCATTATTTACTGCAGAGCTTGAGGCTTTTTTTTTTTAATTATCCAGGATATTGGTGGTGTTTAAGTGGTTGCAGAGGTTTAATTTGTTATTAATGATTTCTCAGTGGTAATTCGTGTTTTATCCTATTTTATTTTTTCAGGATTCACTACAATATTTTCTACTATTTGTATCTGATGGAAAATGCCTCTGGAGTTGTGCAGCCTCTGGAAGAGGGAAGAATGGATTTGTGTCCCAGGTGATCCAAGCAGTGCATGCTGAGCATTCCGTGGAGTGAGGAGCAAATATCCCAAATATTCCACAGCAGGAAAAGGTGGAGTTGGATCAGTGGCACAGCTGATCCTGCTCCTCACCACCTTCGCATGAATTCTCAGAGGAAAATCAGGATTGGGCCTGAGATTTGTAAAATTTGGGAGTGCTGAGTTTAAATTTGCTGCTGGGTCTATCTTGGAATCATGGAAGGGTTTGGAATCATGGAAGGGTTTGGAATCTTCCAGGGACACCTCCCACCATCCCAGGCTGCTCCAGCCCCAGTGTCCAGCCTGGCCTTGGGCATTCCAGGGATGCAGGGGCAGCCCCAGCTGCTCTGGCAATTCCAGCCCAGCCAGGAATTCCTCATGGCCAAGATCCCATCCATGGCTGCCCTCTGGCACTGGGAGCCATTCCCTGTGTCCTGTCCATCCCTTGTCCCCAGTCCCTCTGCAGCTCTCCTGGAGCTCCTTCAGGCCCTGGAATGTGCTGGAAGCTCTCCCTGCATCCTTCCCTTCTCCAGGAGAACATTCCTGTTGGTTTTTGGGGGTTTTTTTTAATTTTTTTTTTTTTTTTTTTTGTTAAGGTTGGGATTGAAGTCTTAGAGATATTCCCCAGGAGAACATTCCTGTTGGTTTTTTGGGGTTTTTTTTTGTTAATTTTTTTTTGTTAAGGTTGGGATTGAAGTGTTAGAGATGGCATTTTGTGTTTAGGTTTAGATGTTTATTAATTTATAAGTTGTGAGGTTTATGGTATTTTACTAATAAGTTACAAAATGGTGAATTTTTCTATATAAGTTTTTTTTAAGGTTAAACTATTTAATTAAGAAATTATACTTAAATTATTTTTACTTTTCATTTAATAACTAATTATTTGACCTTTGTAATGTGGATTTTTTTGTCTAATTACAAAACATGATTTAAACTCATGAAGAAGAAGGAAGAAGGTAAAGGATTAGTTACTGTCTTAAAACTTTTGTTTTAGTTTTATATATATTACTATATGATAACTAATTATTTGACGTTTGTAATGTGGATTTTTTTTGTCTAATTACAAAACATTATTTAAACTCATGAAGAAAAAGGAAGAAGGTAAAGGATAAGTTACTGTCTTAAAACTTTTAGTTTTATATATATTACTATATTTTAAAAGTTTAAACTCAAATTTTCTATTTAGTGATATTACACAAAAGGATTAGTTACTGTCTTAAAACTTTTGTTTTAGTTTTATATATATTACTATATTTTAAAAGTTTAAACTCAAATTTTCTATTTAGTGATATTACACACTTCTAATTCAACTTCACACTTGTAATCTCAGTGCTGTTAATTAATTCTGGAAGTCTTCTCCACCCCTTAGGTCAAATGCAGTGTTCTCTCATCAGTCAGAGGCTGTCAGTAAAAAAATTCTAAAATTCTAAAATTCTCAGCATCCAGAGCTCCAACACATTCCCAGCTCTCCCAATAAATAAGGAATAAAACACCTCCCTGGCCTGTGGAGATCCAAGCTGGGTTCCTTTTCTGCTGCTGGATTGAGCAATTTCATTCCTTATCCTCACCTGGAGAAAGAAAATGGGATAAATTCATCCAGCACTGAGGTCTAACAGAGATAAAACCAGTTTTAATGAGCTTAAGGTGCCAAATTAATTCTTAAAGCACAGAATGGTCCCTTAAAAATATATTTTCCTTTGCTGGTGTGTGGTGTTTTCCTATATTCCCTGAAAAATCTTTCCCAGTACATTATATTTGATCTCCAGTATTTTCTCATTCCATGCTTTTCTCCTTTTCCCAATAACCAAGTTGGGATGGGATCAGTCTATCCCTGGCTTCCCTGTTAATTTCTTTTAAGTGAGATGGTTTACTTTAGGAATTTTTAAAGGATTCATTCCTTTCCCAGTTGTTGATTGGAATTTTTTTCCCTGTTTTTAGTGGATGGGGTGATGTCAAACTCACCCATGAACAGCAGAGGATTTTGAGTCACAAAATTGAGCCTGGCCAAACAGTGAAAATAATGGCATTTGCAGGTAAGAGCCAAAAATGTTGGAAAAATCCCTGGACAATTCCCAATCTGCTCCTTCCTTCCCTGATCCCACTGTCACAGGGATTGTGAGATCCCAAGGGGATCAATTTGTGCCTTTGGGATAACAAATTTAAGGGAAAATCTGCCAAAAAGGGGGGCAGAGTAAAAACAGGGGAGAGTGGAGTGGGAAAATGTGGAACAGCCCTACAGATCCCGAGTTTGGGAAAGGAGGAAGAGGAGATGCTCCAGATGCTGGAGTAGAGATTTCCCTGGAATCCTTGGAGGATCAGTTCCTGAAGGATTGACCCTGTGAAAAAGGGAGCAGGTCCTGAAGGACTGAGCACATGGATGAAGGGAGCAGTTCTGAAGGATTGACCTCATGGAAAGGGAGCAGTTCCTGAAGGATTGACACCATGGATAAAGGGAGCAGTTCCTGAAGGGTTGACCCCATGGAAAAATGGGATCCACACTGGAGCAGTTTCTGAAGCACTGACCCCATGGATAAAGGGCTCTAGACTGGAGCAGTTCCTGAAGGACTGTCCCCATGGGAAGGGAGCAGTTTCTCAAGGACTGACCCTATGGAAGGTGAAGCAGTTCCTGAAGCACTGACCCCGTGGATAAAGGGATCCAGGCTGGAGCAGGTCATGTATAAGTAACCCCATGGATAAAGGGGGCCATGCTCGAGCAGTTCCTGAAGGACTGTCCCCATGGGAAGGGAGCAGTTTCTCAAGGACTGACCCTATGGAAGGTGAAGCAGTTCCTGAAGCACTGACCCCGTGGATAAAGGGATCCAGGCTGGAGCAGGTCATGTATAAGTAACCCCATGGATAAAGGGGGCCATGCTCGAGCAGTTCCTGAAGGACTGTCCCCATGGGAAGGGAGCAGTTTCTCAAGGACTGACCCTATGGAAGGTGAAGCAGTTCCTGAAGCACTGACCCCGTGGATAAAGGGATCCAGGCTGGAGCAGGTCATGTATAAGTAACCCCATGGATAAAGGGGGCCATGCTCGAGCAGTTCCTGAAGGACTGTCCCCATGGGAAGGGAGCAGTTTCTCAAGGACTGACCCTATGGAAGGTGAAGCAGTTCCTGAAGCACTGACCCCGTGGATAAAGGGATCCAGGCTGGAGCAGGTCATGTATAAGTAACCCCATGGATAAAGGGGGCCATGCTCGAGCAGTTCCTGAAGGACTGTCCCCATGGGAAGGGAGCAGTTTCTCAAGGACTGACCCTATGGAAGGTGAAGCAGTTCCTGAAGCACTGACCCCGTGGATAAAGGGATCCAGGCTGGAGCAGGTCATGTATAAGTAACCCCATGGATAAAGGGGGCCATGCTCGAGCAGTTCCTGAAGGACTGTCCCCATGGGAAGGGAGCAGTTTCTCAAGGACTGACCCTATGGAAGGTGAAGCAGTTCCTGAAGCACTGACCCCGTGGATAAAGGGATCCAGGCTGGAGCAGGTCATGTATAAGTAACCCCATGGATAAAGGGGGCCATGCTCGAGCAGTTCCTGAAGGACTGTCCCCATGGGAAGGGAGCAGTTTCTCAAGGACTGACCCTATGGAAGGTGAAGCAGTTCCTGAAGCACTGACCCCGTGGATAAAGGGATCCAGGCTGGAGCAGGTCATGTATAAGTAACCCCATGGATAAAGGGGGCCATGCTCGAGCAGTTCCTGAAGGACTGACCCCATGGAAAGGGAGCAGTTTCTCAAGGATTGACCCTATGGAAGGTGAAGCAGTTCCTGAAGCACTGACCCCATGGATAAAAGGGACCCACACTGGAGTGGGCAGTTCCTAAAGCTGTGCCAGGGAACGTTTAGGTTGGATACAGGGACAATTCCTCCATACAAAGCCTTATCCAGCCATGGCTCAGCTGCCCAGGCAGGGGTGGAGCTCCCATTCCTGGAGGGATTTAAAAACTCTGTGGTTTCTGGGGACATGGATGGCCTTGGAAGTGCTGGGAATGGTTGGGCTTGACATTAAAGAACTTTGCCAACCCAAATAATTCCTTGTTTCCCTGAAATCAGGAGTGACATGGCATATTGGGGTTGGGACAGCAAGAGAGGAATGTGTAAGAAAAAAAAAAAAAAAAAGGAATCATTCATTCCTGAGTGGATATTTTATTCCTTATTTTTATTTTATTCCTTCTTTTCCTCTCCTCTCCAGGCACAGGGAAAACCTCAACCTTGGTCAAGTACGCAGAGAAATTCTCGGAGCTGAAATTCCTTTACCTGACTTTCAACAAAGCTGTGGCAGAGAAGGGGAAAAAGGTTTTTCCAAGGAATGTCACCTGCAAGACCTTCCACTCCTTGGCCTTTGGAAGCATTGGGAGACAGTGAGTGGGGAATTGCAGTTCTTTTGTGGAAGCAGGGAAAGGATGAGGAAAGGGAAGTGGTTTTGGGGGAAAATTCCAAGCCTTGAGGCAGCACAAATAATGGGGAAAAATTTGTCATTTATGGTTTCCAAATGGATGCAGTGGGATGCTCCAGGGATTTTAGCTTCCTTGGGAGCACCCCAAAGCCAAGAAATGGTTTGGGAGGTGGAAATCCACTGGGAATGAGGTTTTCCCACTTCCCATTCCCACTGGAATGCTGCAACTGCTCCAAGTCCTTCTTTTCCTGAGGATCAATTCCTTTTTTGGGGTACCAATTTCCTTATCCTGAGCTGTTTTCATGATCCAATTTCTGTCCAATTCTGGCACATTTAAGTTGGGGGTAGGAATGACCTAGAAAAAGAGGGAAATCCCACTCCCTGGCTCTGCAAACACTCTGGAATTCCAGGGATGAGCTCAATTTTCCATCTCTAAAATGCTTAAAATGGGGAAGTGGTTTTGAGGGAAACCTCCAGGATTTGAGGCACAAATGTTGGGGGAAAATTTGTCATTTATGGTTTCCAAATGGATGCAGTGGGATGCTCCAGGGATTTTAGCTTCCTTGGGAGCACCCCAAAGCCAAGAAAGGGTTTGGGAGGTGGAAATCCACTGGGAATGAGGTTTTCCCACTTCCCATTCCCACTGGAATGCTGCAACTGCTCCAAGTGCTTCTTTTCCTGAGGATCAATTCCTTTTTTGGGGGACCAGTTTCCTTATCCTGAGCTGTTTTCATGATCCAATTTCTGTCCAATTCTGGCACATTTAAGTTGGGGGTAGGAATGACCTAGAAAAAGAGGGAAATCCCACTCCCTGGCTCTGCAAACACTCTGGAATTCCAGGGATGAGCTCAATTTTCCATCTCTAAAATGCTTAAAATCAACAAATTTGTGCTTCCACCAGGACAAATCTGTGAAGATTTAAGGATATTCCATTATTAGAATGAATTGAGATATAAAGCTGAGCTTTTTCCAGGAACAGTGCACAAAATGGGATTTCTATGTGTTCTAATTTTTTTTATCCCTTTTTTTGTCCTTTTTTGTCTTTTTTTTTTTGGTCTCTTTTGTCCCTCTGGCACAGCTACAAAGGACAGTGCACAAAAAAAGGGATTTCTATGTGTTCTAATTTTTTTATCCCTTTTTTTGTCCTTTTTTTGTCTTTTTTTTTGGTCTCTTTTGTCCCTCTGGCACAGCTACAAAGAGAAAGGCAAGCTGAACTTCTCCAAGCTGTCAGTTTATTCCATCAGCTTCCTCCTCCGGAACAGGAAGGGCCAATCCCTGTTTGTAAGAGGGAAAACAGTGTCCCAAACCTTGGAAAACTTCTTCTCCTCCTCAGATGAGGAGATCTGTGAGGAGCACACGCCCCTGTGGTTCAAAAACACTCATGGACAGATGGAGCAAGTGAGCCAAGAGGAAAAGAGAGTGAGTTTCTGGAATTTGCTGATGTTGGATGGGCTTTGGAGAGGTCTGGGATAGTGGGAAATGAGTCCCTGCTCATGGGTGGGGTGCACTGGATGGGCTTTGAGGTCTCTTCCAATCCAAACCATTCCATGATTTTATAAAATAATTCATGGTCACCCCCCTTCCCAAACTGTTGATTGGCAGGGATCTTCCCGTGTTTCACTGAAATTTGGGAAGAAAGATTGGTACTGGGGAATCAATCCTTCTGCCAGAGAAAGGGTTTGGGTCGGTCCTGAGCTTTGGAAGAAATCAGAGGCTGGAAGCAACATTCCAAAGAAATTGGGAGGAGGGATCACAAGATTGGGAGGAGGAGGAACAAAAGGTTGGGAGGAGGAATCAAAAAGTTGGGAGCAGGAAGAATCAAAAGATTGTGATGAAAATCAAAAAGTTGGGAGGAGAAATCAAAGACTGGGAGGAAGATGATGTTTGGGATAAAAGGGATAATCCCTGTTTTCCCTAAAAAATACTTCCAGCCAGTCTCCTCACCAAATCCTTGTGGATCTGAGGAGCTGCTTGGGATGGGAAAAAATGTATCTGGGGCTTTTTGGGAATGGCTTCCCAGTGCCAGAGGGCAGCCATGGATGGGATCTTGGCCATGAGGAATTCCTGGCTGGGCTGGAATTGCCAGAGCAGCTGGGGCTGCCCCTGCATCCCTGGAATCCCCAATGCCACGTTGGAGCAGCCTGGGATAGAGGAAAATGTCCCTGCCCATGGATGGGGTGGGACTGGATGGGCTTTGAGGCCCTTTCCAGCCCAAACCATTCCATAATTTTATTTTTATTCCATGGTTCTATCCCAATCCTTCTGTTTTCCCATTTTAGATCAATGTGGAAGAGGCCAAAGAGATTTGGCACAACATGAAGAAGCTGGATGGAGATGCAGAGAAGAAATACAAGATGACTTGTGATGGTAAAAAAGATGGAAAATCCCTTGAGAAAAAGGGATTTGGTGGTAGAAAAATCAATGGATTTATTATTCCTGTTCTGGCTGAGCTTCCAGAAGGAGAAAATCCCTTTTTTTCCTGACACTGACTGACCAGAGAATATCCCTCTGGCTCAATTTTTCATTTTATATGTATTTATAAAATACATTCAATGAATTTGTGCTCCCACTAGGATAAAAATTTGCAGATTTTAAGGATATTCCCATTTCTTAGTGGCTAAAAAGCAGGCCAAAAAAGTTGGAAGTTGCTTCCAGCACATCCTTTCCTCTGGATAGTGCTGAAAATAGCTGGGAAAAACCTTTTTCTTGGGATTTTTGGTGGGCATTAAGAAGCTGGAAATCATCAAATTTCAAGGCTAAGGGAGGCAGAGATTTTTTGCAACCCTTCCAAATGTGGAAATTCCAAACAGGAAGCAAAGCCAGAAATGTCACCCAAAAAAAAAAAGCAAAAAAGGGATTTGTTTTGAAGATCCAGGTGGATCTTCCCTCTCCTTGAAATTCCTGATTTTTTTCCCTCAGGATATTTGAAACTTTGGCAGCTCGAAAGCAGAAATGTCACCCAAAAAAAAAAAAAAAAAAAAAAGAGAAAAAAGGGATTTGTTTTGAAGATCCTGGTGGATCTTCCCTCTCCTTGAAATTCCTGATTTTTTTCCCTCAGGATATTTGAAACTTTGGCAGCTCAGCAAGCCCCAGCTCTCAGGATACGATGCCATTTTTGTGGATGAAGCCCAGGATTGCACTCCAGGTGAGTTATTCCAGGAGCTGCAGCTCCAATCCCACTCCTAGAGGGGATTTCCATGTGCTCAGGAGTGTGGTGGAAGTATCTCAACCTAAATACTTGGAATTTAAACAAATTTTCCCCTCAGGTTTGACATTTAAACTGAGCTTTCTCTTGGGTTTGGAGAAGGTTCTTCCCTTGTGATCCAAACTGAGCTTTTCCTTGAGTCTGGACCCTCGTGATCCCAACTGAGCTTTTCCTTGGATTTGGAGAAGGTTCTTCCCTCGTGATCCAAACTGAGCTTTTCCTTGGTTTTGGAGTAGGTTCTTCCTTCATGATCCAAGCTCAGCTTTTCTTTGGGTTTGGACTCTCCTGATCCCAACTGAGCTTTTCCTTGGATTTGGATTGGAGCAGGTTCTTCCCTCAGGACCCAAACTGAGCTTTTCCTTGGATTTGGATTGGAGCAGGTTCTTCCCTCATGATCCAAGCTGAGCTTTTCCTTGGGTTTGGAGCAGGTTCTTATTTCATGATCCAATTTTCTTTTTCCCTCACAGCCATCGTGGATATCGTGCAATCCCAAAAATGTGGGAAAATCGTTTGGACCCTTGTGATCCCAACTGAGCTTTTCCTTGGGTTTGGAGAAGGCTCTTCCCTCAGGATCCAAACTGATATTTTCTTTGGTTTGGAGCAGGTTCTTCCTTCATGATCCAAATGGAGCTTTTCCTTGGATTTGGAGAAGGTTCTTCCCTCATGATCCAAACTGAGCTTTTCCTTGGATTTGGCCTCTCATGATCCAAACTGAACATTCCCTTGGGTTTGGAGCAGATTCTTTTTTCATGATCCAATTTTTTTTTTTCCCTCACAGCCATCGTGGATATCGTGCAATCCCAAAAATGTGGGAAAATCCTGGTGGGAGACCCCCACCAGCAGATCTACACCTTCCGAGGGGCCGTCAACACCCTCTACCTGGTGCCTCACACCCACATGTACTACCTGACCCAGGTAAGGGCAGCGTTTTCCATGGATAAATCCCAGATCCATGGAAAATTTGGCACTGTGGAGGGTTTGCATTTCCTTGGATTACTGGGGAATCTGGCAGTTGTGGGGCTTTAGTGGAGGGATCTCATCCTGTTGGTGGAAAACTGGGAGTTGGGATTAAGGCTTTGTTTCAGGGAGATTCCCCGTTTTTTCAGGGGAACACATGTGGAATGCTGGATCCAGCTGTGGGATCCTCCAGACCTGGGGCTGCTGGTAAAACTGGGAATGTTCTCCTGGAGAAGGGAAGGCTCCAGGGAGAGCTTCCAGCACATTCCAGGGCCTGAAGGGGCTCCAGGAGAGCTGCAGAGGGACTGGGGACAAGGGATGGACAGGACACAGGGAATGGCTCCCAGTGCCAGAGGGCAGCCATGGATGGGATCTTGGCCATGAGGAATTCCTGGCTGGGCTGGAATTGCCAGAGCAGCTGGGGCTGCCCCTGCATCCCTGGAATGTCCAAGGCCAGGCTGGCCACTGGAGCTTGGAGCAGCCTGGCACAGTGGGAGGTGTCCCTGCCATGGCCAGGATTTCCAGGAATATTTTGGGGATTTTGGTGCCTTTTCCAGGTAAAAAATTGTCCAGGAGGTTGGTGGGAATCTCATAATTTGGATTTAAGAATGGCCAAGATTTCCAGGAATATTTTGGAGGGATTTTGATGCTTTTTCCAAGAGAGAAGATCTCCAGAAGGTCTTAAGAATAACCAAGATTCCCAGGAATGTTTTGGAGGGATTGTGATGCTTTTCCCACGGAAAAAACTGTCCAGAAGATTGCTGGGAATCCCATAATTCCATATAGGAAGATAGCATTTTATAGATTCCAAGATTTCCTTCTGGTTTTCCTGCTGATCCTGGGATTTTTCCAGAGTTTCAGGTTCGGCCCCGAGATCGCCTACGTGGGAGCCACGATCCTGGATGTGTGCAAGGGGATCCGCAGCAAAACCCTGCTGGGAGGAAACCAGGAGGGTGAGCTGGGGCTGGGAATTCCCCAGAGATTCCCAAGAATTCCCCAGAGATTCCATGGGAATCGTTCATTAATTAATTGTGTTAAATAGGAATATTAATGAATTCAATCCGGAAGAAAAATAAAATAAAATAAAATAAAATATAATATAATATAATATAATATAATATAATATAATATAATATAATATAATTAATATAAATATAATATAATATAATATAAATATGTTTTAAATATAAATTAATATAGTACAATATAATTAATATAGTATAATACAATATATTATACTATATTATATTATTCATATCATATCATATTATATTATATTCCATATTATATCATATTTTATTATATTATATTCCATATAATACTATATTATATTCCATATCATATATATTAAAATAGAAAATATTGATATACATTTTTAATATATATATAGTAGTAAACATGATAATTGCTAAATAACAAATCCTATAAATTACCTCTATTAAATAATATAATATATAATAAATAGAATTAAATTACAAATTTAATTTATAAATGTAATTACAAATTAGAACTATATTCATTAACTCGGGAATTAATTAATTTTATTGAATAATAATATTAACAATAAATATTAAATAATGAAGTTGATATAATTTAATTTGAACATCGTGTTCTTGGAAATAAATATTTAATTCATTTCCTGAAAATAAAGATGTAATTAATTTCCTAAAAATAAAGATTTTGTTAATTTTTTAAAATTCAATTAATAATGGAAAATATTAAATTAGTAATAACAGGTAAGTAATAAATATTAAGGGATTTAAAAATTAATATATTCAATACTATCAGATAAAATAATGAAGTGTAAGTATTAATGAATTATAAAATATTTAATTTATAATAAATGTAAATATTTTAAAATAATAAACAATAAAAATATGAATTAAAAATAGAAATAATAAATTTCATAATTTTAAATTAATAAAAGAGAAATGTTAAACTAATAATAACAGAGAAGTATTAAATTAGTAGTAACAGATAAAATAAAAAAGTATAAATATTAAGTTAATACAAAATGTGAAATTAAATTAACATTAAAATAAAAATAACAATTAATTTCCTAAAATTAAATTAATAATATGTAAATTTTAAAAATAAAATAGAAAATATAAAAGACTAAATTAAAAATAACGGCCAAAATAAATAAATATAAATATTAAAATAATAATAAAATATTAAATTCAATTAATATTAAAATATTTTGTGGATAATTGGGAATTCCTGCTGGGAATGGCTGTGGGTGACTGGGAATTCCAGCTGGGAATGGCTGTGGCTAACTGGGAATTCCTGCTGGCAATGGCTGTGGGTGACTGGGAATTCCAGCTGGGAGTGGCTGTGGGTAACTGGGAATGGCTGTAACTGGGAATTCCAGCTGGGAGTGGCTGGGGGTAACTGGGAATGGCTGTGGGTAACTGGGAATGGCTATGGGTGACTGGGAATTCAAGCTGGGAGTGGCTGTGGGTAACTGGGAATGGCTGTAACTGGGAATTCCAGCTGGGAATGGCTGTGGGTAACTAACTGGGAATTCCAGCTGGGAATGGCCACGGGTGACCGGGAATTCCTCCCCCAGGGGACGTGCGGGGAGGCCGGCAGGGGAAGGTGGCGCTGCTGTCCCGGAGCAACTGGAACGTGTTTGAGGACGCCGTGGAATTCTCTGGAAGAGACCCCCCGGCCAAAATCCACGTCATTGGGGTGAGGGGCATTGCACCCAGTCCAATCCCAAGGGTTTCAAGGAATATTCCAGGAAAAAACAGGAATTTTTTGTGCCCAGGGATGCCATTACTCTCCAAGCCTCGCAGGCCTCGTCCCATTTTGAGGCTTTTTTGTGCAGGCCTCAATCCATTTTTTGGGATAATTTTTGTCAGGCATGAGGCAGGGAAAGAGGGATGGTAAGCAGGAACAAGTTATTCCAAGGATTTCAATAAATATTCCAGGAAAAAGCAGGAATTTTTAGGAAAACAAGCAGGAATTTTTTCTGGCCGGTGATGTTATTTAGAGCTGTTATTCTCCAAGCCTTGCAGGCCTCATCCCATTTTTGGGATAATTTGTCCAATTTTTATCAGGAATGAGGCAGGACAAAAGGGATGGACAGCTGGGACAAGTTATTCCAAGGTTTTAAATTAATATTCCAGGAAAAAGCAGGAAATTTTGTGGCCAGGGATGTTATTTAGAGCCCTTCCTCTCCAACCTTTGCAGGCCTCGTCCCATTTTGAGGCCTTTTTGTGCAGGCCTCAATCCATTTTTTGGGATAATTTGGCCCATTTTTGTGAGGAATGGGGCAGGGAAAGAGGAATGGTCAGCTGGAATAAAGAATTCCAAGGTTTTCTATGAATATTCCAGGAAAAAGCAGGAATTTTCATGAAAAAGCAGGATTTTTTTTATTTTGTTATTTAGAGCTCTCCAAGCCTTGCAGGCCTCATCCCATTTTTAGGATAATTTGTCCCATTTTTATCAGGGGTGGGACAGGAAAACAACAAAGTTAGTGGAATTTGGAGAGGTTTGCAGCCTGATTTTGGGAATTTTAACAGGTTTGGATCTTGATCCTTGGGAATTTTAGGTTGATATTTCAAATTTTCCATCTTTTTTCCACCCAAATTCCAATTCGGGGAGGGGTTGAAGTGCTCAGGATTGAAAATCTTCTGCAGTTTGGAATAAATTGAATTTATAAATACAAGAAATTTATTATTTTTATTTGGTTTTTTGTTGGTTTACTTTATGTAATTTTGTGTTATTTTATTTTGTTATTTTATTTTAAAATATTTCATTTATTTTATTAATAAATTGTATTTGGTAAATAAAATAAATACATAAATAAAACACATATATAAAATAATAAAAAACACCAAAAATAAATACATCTAAAAATAATACATAAATAAAACTTATTTTATAAATAAATTTTATTTCTGTATTTTATAAATACATTTTTCTTCCTTTTAGGGATTGGAGAGATTTGGCCTGAGCAGAATTTATGACATTTGGAAGCTCAGCCTGCCTGCAGATGTCAGGAAGAACTGTGAGTATTCCCTTGTCCTTCTTTTTTCTAGGATTTTTTAGGTTTTGCTGGAAATCAAAACCCTTTTAATTATATAATACAATAATAACAATATAATAAATACACAACAATAAATATATAATATTATATATATAATATATGATACTATATGTGTTATTATATAATTATTTATTATAATTTTATAATTCACCCTGGTTAATTTTATATTTCCTAATTAATTTTTTGGTAGAAATCTCATTTTTAAATGGTTTTATCACGGGCTGGGCTATTTTGGCTGCTTAATTTCAGAAATCCCAAAATTTGGGGAATTTTATCAGGCATCTTTTCCCAGCTTTCCACAGTGATTCTTTTTTTTCAGTGTAAGTAAACCCAGAATTTGGGATATTTTTCCCAAAATTTTTCAAATTTTCAATTTGTTTTTAATTTATTGTCAGTGTTTCCTGGGTTGGTTTGGGTGTAAAGCTCAATTTTTTAAATTTCATTTAAAATATGGAATAAAATTCAGATAAAATTCAGGATTTCTTTTAATATATGGAAGAAAATTCAAGGAAAAAAAATCAGGATTTCCTTTCAAAAAGAGGATAAAATTCAGGATAAAATTCAGGATAAAAGTCAGGATAAAATTCAGGATAAAAGGATAAAATTCAGGATTTCCTTTAAAGTATGGAATAAAATTCAGGATAAAAATCAGGCTTTCCTTTATAGTATGGAATAAAAATCAGGATTTCCTTTAAAACATGGAATAAAATTCAGGACAAAATTTGGGATTTCCTTTAAATTCAGGATAAAATTCAGGTTTAGAATTAGGGATTTCCTTTAAATTCAGGATAAAGTTCAGGATTTTCCTTTAAAGTGTGAAATTAAAATTCAATATAAAATTCAGGCTTTCCTTCAAAACATTGAAAATTCAGGATAAAATGCAGGATTTCCTTTAAAATATGGAATTAAATTCAGGGTTTCTTTTAAAATACGAAATAAAATTCAGGATAAAAATCAGGATTTCCTTTAAAATACGGATAAAATTCAGAAAAAAAAAATCAGGATAAAATTCATGATTCCTTTAAAATATGGAGTAAAATTCAGGAAAAAATTCAGGATAAAAATTATCCCTTTCAAATCCAGGAGCAACAGATGAGATTTTTTATGGAGCCAACAAAAAATTTCCCACAAACATTCAATTACACCAACGCAATTCCCAATTTTTTTACCGGGCAAAAAATTCCTTCGGCAGCTGGAAAACGAGGGAAATCAACCCAGGATGGAAAAAAAATCTTAATGAAACCTGGAATAAAAATGAAACTAGATGAAATAAATCCATCCTCCCTGGCAGCAAAGCTCGTGATCGAGGATTCCTTCATCAGAAGGTGGGAGGAGTCCGAGGGCTTGCCGGGCCTGAAGGAATTCGCGGCGCGCGTCGACGACAGGGACCTGGAGGTGAAGATTTCCATCGTGGAGAAATACAGGGAGAGGATCCCGGGGCTGGTGACCAGGATCCAGGGCAGCCACGTGTCCCAGGAGTCCCTGGCAGGTGATGGCACGTCCCAGGAGAAAGTTGGGATTGTTTTCCGTCCCGGGGGAAAGGCTCAGGTGGGGTTGGGTGGGGTTTTTTTTTTAGGGAGAGCGGAGGTGGAATGGGAGGTTTTGGGGTGGGAATGCTTCTGCTCTGGAGGCAGGTTGGAGAGGTGGGAATGTTCTCCTGGAGAAGGATCCAGGGAGAGCTTCCAGTGCATTCCAGGGCCTGAAGGGGCTCCAGGAGAGCTGCAGAGGGACTGGGGACAAGGGATGGACAGGACCCAGGGAATGGCTCCCAGTGCCAGAGGGCAGCCATGGATGGGATCTTGGCCATGAGGAATTCCTGGCTGGGCTGGATTTGCCAGAGCAGCTGGGGCTGCCCCTGCATCCCTGCACTGTCCAAGGCTGGACTTTGGGTTAGTGGAATTTGGAATCCCTGCCCATTTGGGATTCCTATTGGAATCTGTGTAGAGAAAATTCCTCAAATACTGAGCATTCCTGTTTGGGAATGTGGCTGGAGCTCAGGATACCAACCAGGAATTTCCCTTGGTACAAATTCCCTTCATCCATCCTGATTCCTCACAGAGGAGCTTTGGGAGAAGGGGAATGGATGCAGAATGAAATGAAACAAAAAATACCATTATTGCTGCCAAGACTGAGCCTTTTTCCTTGTTTTTCCCAGATTTTCTCATCGGGACCGTGCACCAAGCCAAGGGCCTGGAATTCGACACCGTTTGCGTCGCGGATGATTTTGTGCAAATCCCTTCTGTCAGTGGGGACTTCCTGAGGAGGATGAACATTGCTCTTGGTGAGGGAACAGCTCCCTGGGGACCCCTAAAAATGGGGAACAAAAGTGTGGTGAGGGGCTGGAGAGTGGGAATGGAGCTGGGAAGGGTCTGGAGAACCAGGAGCACTGGAACTGCCCAGGGCAGGGGTGGAGTCCCCATCCCTGGGGGGATTTAAAGCCCTGTGCATGTGGCACCTGGGGACATGGGTGGCCTTGGCAGTGCTGGGAATGGTTGCATTCCATCCCAGAAAGTTTTCCCAACCCCAGTGATTGCCTGGCTCCAGCAATCCCATCCCAGCAAGGCAGGGAGCTGGATAAACCATTCCCAGTGGGTTGGTATGGAAGGCTCATCCCACCCAGGGCTGAGGGAGGCTGAGCCAGGCTCAGGGGTGCCCAGGGCTGATTCCATTCTCTGGAGCAGCTCAGCATTCCCTGGTCCCATTTTTGATCCTGTTTTTGGCCTCCAGCTGAGCCAGGGGAGGTTTGAATTAGATTTTAGGGAACATTTCCCCTTGGAAAAGGTGGTCAGGCACTGGAACTGTCCAGGGCAGGGGTGGAGTCCCCATTCCTGCAGGAATTTCAAAGCCCTGTGGATTGTCTCTCCTCCCTTCTAGCCAGGACCCCTCAGGATGAGTGGAACCTGCTCTACGTGGCCGTGACCAGAGCCAAGAAGTGCCTGCTGATGTCCAAATCCCTGGAAAACCTTTTATCTCTGGCTGGAGTAAGTGAAACCTTCCCAGGGCAGGGGAATCCTGCTGTGGGGTGAGTCAAGGCACCAAAGGATTTTCCTTGCCTTCACAGGGCATCAGTTCACCTTGGAGTAGTTGAACTTGATGTCCTTAAAGATCTTTTCCAGCCATTCCATGATTCTTTGTGGGATTTCCTTGCTTTGGGCACATCATGGCTCCCTTCCCTGGACTGTGGCAGAGCTGGCCATGATGTGTTGTGTTCCTGCAGCTTCCTCCTCCCTGAAATCTCCTCTCTTCCTCCCACAGAGCGACGGCAGCCAGGATCCAGGGGGATTCCTTTGCCAGGCTTGCACCTGGCTGTTCTTTGGCTCCCTGACTCCTCTCACCTCTTTCTCAACAATCCAGTAGGAGCCCATCCAGCTCTAACAAAGCCCTCCAGCTTCCCAGAGCTAAACTGGATGTGGGACAAATCCTCTTGGCACATCCCAGCTCGAAAATCAGGTGGATGTTGGAGCAGGATTTCAGCCCAGCTCCAAATTCCAGGTGGATGTTGGAGCAGGATTTCAGCCCAGCTCCAAATTCCAGGTGGATGTTGGAGCAGGATTTCAGCCCAGCTCCAAATTCCAGGTGGATGTTGGAGCAGGATTTCAGCCCAGCTCCAAATTCCAGGTGGATGTTGGAGCAGGATGTTCCCAGCCCCACAGGAACTTCCAGGCTCTCTGGGGACAATGTGATGCCTTTCCTCCAGCCCTGCCTCATCCTCCAGGAGCTGGGAATGGAATATCCAGAGGAATCGCTAAACTGGATGTGGGACAAATCCTCTTGGCACATCCCAGCTCGAAAATCAGGTGGATGTTGGAGCAGGATTTCAGCCCAGCTCCAAATTCCAGGTGGATGTTGGAGCAGGATGTTCCCAGCCCCACAGGAACTTCCAGGCTCTCTGGGGACAATGTGATGCCTTTCCTCCAGCCCTGCCTCATCCTCCAGGAGCTGGGAATGGAATATCCAGAGGAATCTGCACTTTAGGAGTGGATCACACAGAGCAGGGTTCATTTTGGAACCGTCTTGCCCCTGTCACCAGTGTCCAAATTTCCTGAACATCTCATCATTCCTGGAAATCCCTCTGACCCACTGGAAGAAGAGGAAACACAATGCTGGAAAGTGTCCAAAGAAAATTAATTTCTTTAAAATGAACTGTTCCTGTCCAGCTGTGGGAGGAAATAATAAATCTCTGCCAGTGAATTCTTTTTCCATCTTTGCAGCTGAGGGGTTCCCCTGAATTCTTTCCCCTCTCCCTGCAGCCAACCAGGAAGAAAGAAATGAAGCAGCAGCAGAAAAATTCCTTCAGTTTGGTTCCAGCCAAACTCAGGGACAAACTGGAGAAGGATTTCCAATCCTCAAATTAAATATGTAGCCAAAAAAAGCCTTAACACTTCCTTTGTGTCTCGTCCCTGCCCTTAAATACTTTTTATTTCCCAGGAATGCTCAGGTGGATCACGCTCTCCGTGCCCTGTGCTGCAATTCCAGAGCCTGTGCCATGGGAAATCAAAACTGAAAGCGGTTTAAGGAATCTGCCCTTGGACACAGCCTGGAGCTGTGGGCTGTGCCTGCTGCAGGAATCTCAGACATCCATTTTTTCCATTCATGGAGCTGCTTCCCTCCCTCTCCTTTCACTTTCAAAGCTGACTCCAGGAAAACATTCCCAGCCTGGGAATCCTGGGAATCAGGCACCTGCTGCTCCCTCCCAGCCTCTCCTGCTTCCTGAGCATCCCAGCAGGGATGTGCCCAGTGCTGTGCCTGTCACACATCCCTGGATCAGAGGCACAAACAGGTCAAGAGCAGCCAGGAAAAGCCATGGAATTTCAGCTGTTGGATCCCTGCAGCCTCCCAAGCTTTTGAGCAGCTCTGGAGGATGGGAATGAACCCCTTATTTCCGTGGTGTCTGATGGGGATCTCCTTGGTGCTGTGGGGATGGATTCATCCCAATCCAGTCCTTCCCATCCAGTTAAGAACCCACTGCTCTGTTGTTTTTTATATAAAATATATTTATTTATACATAAAAATAAAGAGCTGCCTTTTCCAGAGTGTAAGGAAACAAGTGGATAAAACCTGGAGAAGGAAACAAGTGGCTAAAACCTGCTGATGGATAAAGGGAAAACACACAAAGGAAAATATTCCCTAAATTGTGTTATTTGGTCCTTGATGGTGTCTGTAGAGAGACTGCTCCAGCTTGGATTCCCTGGGAGCCAGTGGGGATCAGGATCCAGAGCTGGGATCGGAGCTGGAAGCGCTTCCAAAGGATCCCTGAGCTGTGTGGGGGTGGGATGGTCCCACCACCTTTGGCTCTGGCTCAGTGGCTGGAAGAGAGCAGGAAAGGGATGAGGGTGTGGGGAAATGCTTGGCTGGTTCTGTCTTAGTCTAATTCCTGGGATTTGGGGACAAAGCTGGCAAAGGGATGAGGATGTGTGGGGAAATGCCTGGCTGGGTGCTCCCCATCTTATTTCTGGGATTTGGGGCAATTTGTGGACAAAGCTGGGAAAGGGATGAGGATGTCCAGGGAGATGCTTGGATGGATCCCTCCCCATCCATTCTCTGGGATTTGGGGCAAAGGCAGGAAGTTGATGAGGGTGTGGGGAAATGCTTGGCTGGTTCTCTCTTAGTCTAATTCCTGGGATTTGGGGACAAAGCTGGGAAAGGGATGAGGATGTTTGGGGAAATGCTTGGCTGGGTCCCTCCATCCATTTTCTTGATTTGGGGACAAAGGCAGGAAAGGGGTGAGGATGTTCAGGGGGATGCTTGGTTGGGTCTCCCTCCATCCATTTTCTGGAATATGGGGACAAAGCTGAGAAAGGGATGGGACATCCAGCTACTCCAACTCTATCCATGCTCCTGGACAGGGAATGGGAATTTCCTGGGGCAGGGCAGCTCAGCTTCATCCCAAACCCCATCCCAACATCCCAACCCTCTCCCTACCCACCACCAGCATCCCCAGGGCCAATTCCTCCAAATCCCAGCTCCCAGTGCAGGACACCCACCCACCTTTGGGATGATCCATGGGAATCATCCATGTTCAGGCCAGGAAGAGCAGCCACGCATCCCCGGCTGCTCCGTGTGCTGTGCCACCCCTCAGGGAAGCATCCAGAATTCCATCCTCCGGCATCCCTCGGGATGGTGGGTGCGCCCAGTGTCCCCAGGGTGGGTGCTCAGCCCGTGGGGACAATGACAGGAGGTGCCACCTCCTCATTCCCAGAGGGAATTCCCTCCATGGGAATGTCTGTCTCCGTCACCGTGTAGCCCTGCCTGGTGAATCTGTGGGGGGAAGAGGAGCATCAGTGGCATCCCAAGGCTTTTCTTTGGAAAGAACAGAAGCTTTGGAAAACTCATTCCTGGGGTTTGGCACTTACTTCCTCCTCCTCCTCCTCCTCCTCCTCCAGCAGTAGACGGCCGCAATTCCGATGGCCAGCAGCACCAGGAGTCCTGTGGGATGGACACTCGGGGTGAGGAGCATCTCCCCACCCATGGCTGATGAATTCCACCAAAACAGCTCCATAAGGAGCTCAAACCACTCCAGGCACTATCATAAGATCCCTCCCCACCCACAGAGGGAGGGAATTGGGAATTCTTCTTTCCAGGAAGAAATTTGGGTGCTGAATCCTTCCCCCCCCTCAGTGGTGTTCCCGTTGGCCATGGAATAAAGCTCCCACAGCCCCCAAAAGGGATTTTAAGCTTAAAAAAATTGAAATAAGCTCGTTTCCCAAAGAAGTTTTTTTTTTTCCCCTCAGCTTACCAACAGAAGAGGCCACAGACTGGATGGAAACTGGAAAAGAGGAGAGAAAAGGAAATTTTGAACTGCAAAGGTAGGAAATGCTGGGAGGAGCCTCACAAGAAAGGAGGTTGGAGAGAAGGAAAAGTTCCACTGGAAAAGCAAAAGAGCCTTTGTGGATGAAACAAGCCCCAGGGGAGGTTTGTATTCCCTTGGGAATCAGCCCGACCTGCGGCATAATCCGTGGGCGGGATGGGCGGCGCGGTTGTCCCCTCTCCCAGCGTGGATGTGTCCAGTGTTGGAATCGTTTCCGGTGGCCTGGGTCCATCTGGTGACAGCCCATCAGGTGCTGGTGGCACAGGTGACTGACTGGAAGCTGGAGAAGGGCTGGAATTGGGGCTGGCACCAGTGGTACCTGCTGGGAAAACAGTGGGAAACCCTCAAATTCCCAAAATCAAAAGGCGGCGCCGTTATCTCCGTGCCCTCGTCCAGCAGCCACGGAACACTGGGATTTCACCCCGTGGGGTGAATCTGATCCCAGCACGGGAATGTTGTGGTTTCCACACCCTTGGAGCTGTGGCTTTGCCCCAAACCCAATCCCAATCCTGTTCCTCACCCCTCTGGGTCGTGCTCTCCAGGCCGGGGGTTTTCCAGGAAAGAGCCGGATCTCCTTTGGGAAAACACAACAGGAAGACACCGTCAGCTGGGAAATGAACTCTCCAAGTGGTTTGGTAAGTTAGAGAGTCAAAATTATTTTATCCAACATTGAGGTCTGGGGGAAATTCCGCTAATTCCAAAAAATGGATGTTCGTTGTCAAATTTTAACGATTTTTATATTTTAGCAAAACAAGGAATTAATGCTCACTGGCTCCAAGCTATTAATTACCATTCTGTCTTCTATTGATTAATAATTTGTCCCTTTTTAATTATCCTAATTAATCTGTATTTTCAGCCTTTTAATGATGTTTTCCCAGATTGGGCACCTCTGGTTTATGCAAAGTCTCTTATAAATTCTTTATAAATTCCGCGTTCCTGGCGTTCCATCCTCAACAATAAATTCTTCCCCCAGCTCTGGGAGCACTGTGGGATGCGAGGCCCTAAACTTTTGTTTTCCCAACCCGTGGACATCACCCTTGGTCCGTTAGGAATTCCACGGTTTAAATTCCTCTCTGTACTTCCCCCATTTCTGATTCTTCTGGAAGAAACGCAACTCGGGTGGCGCTCGCGTTTCTTCCCATCCTCCTGCTCCCGAGGTGTCCCAGCTCCCAGATTGCCAGGGAGGACTCACGGATGCACTGGAGCGTGGGGTCGGTCCAGCGGGGCTCGGAGCCGTTCCAGAGGATGCACTGGATGAGGCTGGAGGTTCCAGCTTTCCGTTTGTAGCCGGGGTTGCAGGAGTAGCGCAGGCGGGAATTCAGCTCCGTGCGATTCCCGGCGTCGATGCGAGCGTTGGCCACGGCCTTGGGGCGGCTGCAGTGAGCTGGAATGGGAATGGGATGGGGAAAAAAAACATGGAATCACAACAGGGAGATCAGACAAGCTCTGGCTGTGCTGGGCAATTCCCCACTCCTCATCCCTTGGAAGTGTCCAAGGCTGGGTTGGACGGGGCTTGGAGCAGCATGGAATAGTGGAAGGTGTCCCTGCCCGTGGTAGGACATGGAATGAGGTGATCCCTGAATTCCCTTCCAGCCCAAACCTTTCCACCATGCTATAAAATCCTGCCTAGGGGTGGATATAGGGATTTATCCATCCTGCAAAAATAAAGGGACACCGTGCCTGACACAGGGAATGGAGAAAGGGAGAATATTCCCAGCATTTTTGGGATCACTTTTAGCAGCTCATCCTCCAGAGGCTGAGAAAAGGAAAACTCCACTTCTTGTTTGTGGTCACTCATAGCAGCTCCAGCCAGCAAGGAATTTTTATGGGAGAAAAGGAAAACTCCACTTCTGGCTTGTTTGTGGTCACTCATAGCAGCTCCAGCCAGCAAGGAATTTTTATGGAATTCCATCCCCTTGCAGTGACTGTCCCAGGCCAGCAGCCCCAGCTGCTGAACTCCAGCTGCTGAATTCCAGCTGTGGTCACTGCCCCATCCTTCTCCACTCATTTCACAGCTAGACGTGAAAAATTCCAGCTGCTGGTGAGTCCTCCAGCCACTTCCCAGGAATTTTTCCCCTCTGGAAGATGGCAGCTGAAATCCAAGTATTCCAGACAGAGGGACAACGATGGATTTTGAGTTGTGGCTTTGCTTTTCCCCAGATGAGCTCCTGCTTCCCCATCAGCCTCAGGATGAGCTCGGTTCTGTACCAGAGTGATGAAATTTCCCATATTTTCTGGTGCAAAGGGCAAAATTTCTGGGTTGCTCCAAAACTGTTCCAGCACCTGGATCCCTGTAGTGGTGTGGGAATGGCTTATCCATGATCCTGGCTGCTGGAAGCTCCCCTATCCCAGTGGGTGCCAGCACAGAGAGATGGAGAGATGTACAATGGGAATAACACTAAATGCAGCTGGGATGGAGCCATGGATGGCTGGGATGGGATGGATGAGCAGGAGGGAGTGGTGGATATCTGGGATGGGATGGATGAGCAGGAGGGAGTGGTGGATATCTGGGATGGGATGGATGAGCAGGAGGGAGTGGTGGATATCTGCAGCCTAGAGAAGAGGAGACTTGTCACTCTCCACAACTCCCTAAAAGGAGGTTGTAGCCAGGTGGGGATCAGGCTCTGCTTCCTGGTAAAAAGTGACAGAACAAGGGAAAATGGCTTCAAGTTGACAAGCAGAGATTTAAATTGGATATTAGAAAAACTTCTTCACTGAAGGGTGGTAAGGTACTGGACCAGGCTGTCTACAGATGTGGTGGAGTCACCATCCCTGGAGCTACTTAAAAGACAAGTGGATGTGGCACCTGGGGAAGTGGGTTAGTGGTGGGCTTGGCAGTGCTGGGTAAACAGTTGGACTCCATCTTAGAGGTCTTTTCCAACCTAACCAACTCTACGATTCTAAGTCTCCCATAAGAAGAGCAACTGACTTGGTATGACTCAGCTTCACTTACTGACCACTTGGAAAGATTTTTATTTCAATCCATATTCATAAGAGTAGAACAACCAGCTCCACTGTCTTAAGTTGTACATTTAGAGTGATGCATGTTTGTTCAGCACTTGCAGGACCCCAATGTACATAAGCTGATATGACTTTTTGAGAGTGCAGGAATAAATACACCAAGGAAGGTGTTCTGCTTCGTTTCAAAGAGCAGCACTTCATACCTTAGCTGGTTCATACCCACACAAAACAACAGCAAGGCTTCCTACCTATAACTGAAGGCTCACAAGTAAAAGTATTTAGCCTCAGGTTTGAGACGTTGCATCCAATAATCCTCTTTCTGTGAAAATCCTCCACTATGATATTACGATTTTTCTCCCTAAGCAACATGTACACAAACATCTAAACTGAACAGGCTCCAATAAATTGAAAACTAACAAACCAATTTCAAAGACATTGGTCTGAGCTGGTCTCCTAGACCTCACACATCTCCAGTCAACAAACTCCTTCTGAAACTTTTTAGATTCACCTCCTGATCTGCAGCAGAAGTTTTCTTGAAAAACAACTTGAGGTTTTTTTACAGCTACCAGTATTGCCCATTTCCTGATGCAAAAACTACACCTGTCCAAGCTAGATATATTCAATCAGTCCTAATTTGTACTGACAGAAGAATGTGTTGTCAAGCTGCAGTCAGAATAATGTGTCTCCTCCTGTTCACCACAGAATAACCACTGAGAAAAATTTCAAAATAGACAACATTTTCTCCCCTACTTTTCATGCATATGATACAAACATGTATCAGCTGTGCTAGAAATTGAAACAATCTTTTAGAAATCCAAGTATTCCAGACAGAGGGACAACGATGGATTTTGAGTTGTGGCTTTGCTTTTCCCCAGATGAGCTCCTGCTTCCCCATCAGCCTCAGGATGAGCTCGGTTCTGTACCAGAGTGATGAAATTTCCCATATTTTCTGGTGCAAAGGGCAAAATTTCCTCATTGCTCCAAAACTGTTCCAGCACCTGGATCCCTGTAGTGGTGTGGGAATGGCTTATCCATGATCCTGGCTGCTGGAAGCTCCCCTATCCCAGTGGGAGGGATGGATGAGCAGGAGGGAGTGGTGGATATCTGGGATGGGATGGATGAGCAGGAGGGAGTGGTGGATATCTGGGATGGGATGGATGAGCAGGAGGGAGTGGTGGATATCTGGGATGGGATGGATGAGCAGGAGGGAGTGGTGGATATCTGGGATGGGATGGATGAGCAGGAGGGAGTGGTGGATATCTGGGATGGGATGGATGAGCAGGAGGGAGTGGTGGATATCTGGGATGGGATGGATGAGCAGGAGGGAGTGGTGGATATCTGGGATGGGATGGATGAGCAGGAGGGAGTGGTGGATATCTGGGATGGGATGGATGAGCAGGAGGGAGTGGTGGATATCTGGGATGGGATGCACAGATGAGGTGGATCCATGCAGGGCTGGGATGTGAAGTATGGCCAGGATGGAGCAATGGAAAGTATGGATAGGATGGAGCAGTGGATGTCTGGGATGGGAAACAGGGGATAGGATGGAATGATGGATATCTGGGATGGGAAGCAGGGGTGGGATGGAATGATGGATATCTGGGAATTAGGGATAGGATGGAATGATGGATATCTGGGAAGGGAAGCAGGGATAGGATGGAATGATGGATATCTGGGAATTAGGGACAGGATGGAATGATGGATATCTGGGATGGGAAGCAGGGATAGGATGGAATGAAGCATGAACAGGCTGGATGGATGAACTGGTGCCTGGCATGGATGGAACAATGTCCAGCTGGGATGGAGCAGTGTCCAGCCAGGAGGAAACACACAGCTGGGCTGGGATACATTGTGGAATAGAGATGGAAAAACAGTGGGAATGGGAATGCCATGGCAGTGAGGACAGGAGAATACAGGGATGGGAACGTGCTGGTGACAAGGACAGCAGGCACCAGGGACAGGAGAGTGATGGCAGCGGGAATGGGAGCAGGATGGGGATGGGAGCAGGATGGAAAAAGTGGGAATGGGAGCCAGATGGGAATAGGAGCACAATGGGGATAGAAACAGTAGGAATGGGATTGGGAAGCACAGTGGGCATGGGAACATGATAGAAACAGAGGGGATGGGAGCAGAATGAGGAACTGGAAACTGTGGGAATGGCAGCAGGATGAGGAACTGGAAACTGGGAATGGGAGCAAGATGGGGAACTGGAAACTGTGGGGATGGGAACTGGATGGGGAACTGGAAACCGTGGGAATGGCAGCAGGATGGGAAGGGGTCAGTGGCACGGCAGCAGTGGGGACAGGAACACAAGATGCTCCCACAGCACCCAAAACATGCAGAGATAAAAATCTCCATCCTCAAAAACTCCTGCCCTAATTTGTGGTGCATCCCCAGAACATCCCAGGGGAATCTGCTCCAGGTGGATGCGGTGTGACCCTGGCCGGCGTGGCCGGAGGACACCAGTGACGTGGGGACATCCAGGTGCTGAGCACAGCAGCCCTTGGTCTGCTGTCAAGACATGGGTGAAATTCCTGGAATCAGCAGCTCTTGGAACCAGGATTCAAGGAAATGCCTGCCTGGGGATGTTTCACAACTCACCAGACCTGGCACTGCCTTCAGTCAGTGAAAAACCCTCCCGGTGCCAATTCCAGCTGTGCCTCCAAAGGGAGCACAGCAGGAAATCCAGCCCTAAACACCAGAAATATCCAGGAAAAGCAGGGATCTGCAAGCTGTGCTTATGCCTTCCAGCTTTTAAACCTGCTTTCCTCATCCCAAAGAGGGGTTTTTAAATTACATTTGGTTGGAATCTCCTCTTCCAAAAAATGCCCAAGTTGTTCAAACAACAGCGCCACTCTCCAGGATCACCATCCAGTGTTTTGCACCATCCATGGATTTCAGCTTGTTTGATGACACAAAACACATCCCAAAGGGGAAAAGAGGAGGAATCAGCTGGAGATTCAGGATTTAGGCTTGAATCCCTCAGGAATGAGTTGAAGTTTTCCATGACTGGATCATCCCAGCTGCTCAAAGACTCATCCCATGCTTGGCCAACCTTCCAAAGGAGCTGTGGTGGTAGAAGCTGACTATCCCAAGAAAACACCTCCAGCTGTCTTATTTCCATCTGGATTCCCTTCATCCTGCTGGGATTAAATATCCAGGTTGAAATGTGCCCGATATCCAAGGATTTTGCATTTCTATGGATTTGTTTTCTTTGATTTTCTTGTCTTTCCCCACCAGCAGCCTCCAGTGGGGACAGGAACACAAGATGCTCCCACAGCACCCAAAACATGCAGAGATAAAAATCTCCATCCTCAAAAACTCCTGCCCTAATTTGTGGTGCATCCCCAGAACATCCCAGGGGAATCTGCTCCAGGTGGATGCGGTGTGACCCTGGCCGGCGTGGCCGGAGGACACCAGTGACGTGGGGACATCCAGGTGCTGAGCACAGCAGCCCTTGGTCTGCTGTCAAGACATGGGTGAAATTCCTGGAATCAGCAGCTCTTGGAACCAGGATTCAAGGAAATGCCTGCCTGGGGATGTTTCACAACTCACCAGACCTGGCACTGCCTTCAGTCAGTGAAAAACCCTCCCGGTGCCAATTCCAGCTGTGCCTCCAAAGGGAGCACAGCAGGAAATCCAGCCCTAAACACCAGAAATATCCAGGAAAAGCAGGGATCTGCAAGCTGTGCTTATGCCTTCCAGCTTTTAAACCTGCTCTCCTCATCCCAATCCCTCCAAAGAGGGGTTTTTTAATTACATTTGGTTGGAATCTCCTCTTCCAAAAAATGCCCAAGTTGTTCAAACAACAGCGCCACTCTCCAGGATCACCATCCAGTGTTTTGCACCATCCATGGATTTCAGCTTGTTTGATGAGACAAAACACATCCCACGGGGGAAAAGAGGAGGAATCAGCTGGAGATTCAGGATTTAGGCTTGAATCCCTCAGGAATGAGTTGAAGTTTTCCATGACTGGATCATCCCAGCTGCTCAAAGACTCATCCCATGCTTGGCCAACCTTCCAAAGGAGCTGTGGTGGTAGAAGCTGACTATCCCAAGAAAACACCTCCAGCTGTCTTATTTCCATCTGGATTCCCTTCATCCTGCTGGGATTAAATATCCAGGTTGAAATGTGCCCGATATCCAAGGATTTTGCATTTCTATGGATTTGTTTTCTTTGATTTTCTTGTCTTTCCCCACCAGCAGCCTCCAACGATGCCAGTTGGGAGGGTGAGCTCATCCCAACACGTTGGGAAGCAGAACAGGGAACACAGCCAGGATGATCCCAGGCATGGAGATGCTGCCATGTGATGTCATCCCATGTCCAAATACAGCTTCCCAAGGATGCACAACAACAGCTGGACACTGGAGAATCCACACCTGGAAAAACTTGGCTGTTCTCCTTAAAGAATGATCAGGAAAAGGCCCAGAGATGCGGGGATTTTCTGCTCAAAATTTAAAAGCCATGAGCCAAAAAAAAAGTGGAGAAAAGAGAAATTTCACAAATCTGGATGCAAGAAAAATGCCAAAATCACGGAAATAAATAAAACTTCCACATTTTAACTCAAAAATATTTCCAATTGAGCAGGAGAGGACAGGATGCCCAGTGGGAACATCATGGGATGCAGCAGCACATCCCAAATTACCCATCATGTGAACTAAAAAAAAACCCAATTATTTGTTTCCTCCAACACCCCTTAAACCCATGTTTTTTGCCCCAAACAACAATCCTGGTGGCAGCAGTGCTGCCTGGAATGTTGTTGGGATGTCTGGGATCCCTCGTCAGTGAGGAATGGATTTGGGAGGGCTATTTTTAGCTCTGAATTTGGGAGGGCTATTTTTAGCTCTGAATTTGGGAGGGCTATTTTTAGCTCTGAATTTGGGAAGGCTATTTTTAGCTCGTTCCTGAGGCTCAGGGCTCGTGTCTTCCCAGTTAATGGTGCTCTTCTGTTTTATTTTTGTCACCCAAGACTTTGATATTCCTGGCCATTCCTGTCATTCTGTTATAAATAGGGATAAATTCATTTTCTAGGGCTTCAGGAGCACACAGGAGCTTGGAGAAGAGTGAGCACCCAAAGCTCTGCATTCCCTTCCAGCTTTATTTCACAGACTCCTTCACAGCTGCCACATTATCAGCAAATTAAACATTTCCTAATGGTCTTGCTGCTTCCAGCAGCTCCTGGGAGGATGAACCAAGGCATGGTTCCAAGGCCCAAGCTGTGATGAGATTCTTCCCAAAGCTCCAGGAGCAACAGAGATGAGGAAGGGTCTGGAGAAGCAGGAGGGGCTGAGGGAGCTGGGAAGGGGCTGAGCCTGGAGCAAAGGAGGCTCAGGGGGGACCTTGTGGCTCTGCACAAGTCCCTGCCAGGAGGGGACAGCCGGGGGGGTCGGGCTGTGCTCCAGGGAACAGGGACAGGAGGAGAGGGAACGGCCTCAGGCTGGGCCAGGGGAGCTCAGGGGGGATTTTGGGGAAAATTCCTTCCTGGAAAGGGCTGGAAAGCATTGGAATGGGCTGGTGTGGGCACAGGTGAAGTCCCCAACCCTGGGGGGATTTAAAGCCCTGTGGATGTGGCACTGGGGACACAGGTCAGTGGTGGCCTTGGCAGGGCTAATTGTTACACTCAGTGACCTTGAAGGTGTCTTTCAGCCATCATGATCCAGTGATTCCAGGATTTTGGACTTTTGGAGAGGCAGGACAATGATGGGACATTCCAGGCTCAGCAGCCACGGACAACTCCCAGTGCCGTGGAAAAGCCACAGAGTGCAGGCAGGCTGAAACCCCACAGTGATGCAGCTCCCATGGGTCCATCACACAGATCCCAGAAAGCACCCCCAGCCTCCCTGGACACTGTGAGGAGCTGGTGTGGGAATGTCAGGAGCCAGATGAGCACCCAGGGAACACGGGGCTGCAGCCTGGGCACTCTGGGGGGGGTCAGGAGGCACCCAGGGAGAGGTTTGGGAATGCAGGGAACAGCGTGGACACCCCAGGTGTGGCATGGACACCCTGGGGAGCAGCCTCGAGTGGGGGCTTGGGTACCCAGGGAGCAGAACAAGCATCCAAGGAAGGAGAGAAAGCATCTTAGGGACGGCATGACCACCCCAGGGACAGTGTGGGCACACCCGGGAGCAGCGTGGCCACCCCGAGTGGGAGTTTGGGCACCCCGGGGAGTAGCGTGGGTAGCCTGGGAAGGGTGGCGGGCATCCCGGGGATTGGCACTGGCTAATTTGCATCCCGGGAAAGCGGAGCGAGCACCTCCGGGACCGGAGCAAGCACCTTAGCGATGGCACCAGGGAGAGCGTGGGCCCCTCCGGGACCGGAGCAAGCACCTTAGCGATGGCACCAGGGAGAGCGTGGGCCCCTCCGGGACCGGAGCAAGCACCTTAGCGATGGCACCAGGGAGAGCGTGGGCACCTCCGGGACCGGAGCAAGCACCTTAGCGATGGCACCAGGGAAAGCGTGGGCACCTCCGGGACCGGAGCAAGCACCTTAGCGATGGCACCAGGGAGAGCGTGGGCACCTCCGTGGGAGCTCGGGAACGCCCGGGAGTGGCGCGATTCCCTCCGGAAGTCGAGCAGGCTCACCTGGGAGCGGAGCGGGGATCCCGGGGAGCACCGCGGGCATCCCGGGAAGCGGAGCGAGCACCCCGGGAAAGGCGTAGGAAGCCCGGAAAGGGTGTGGGCACCCCGGGGAAGGCGCAGAGATGCCCGGGAGGGTGTGGACGCCCCGGGCAGGGCTCGGAGAAGCCGGCGGGGAGCCCGGGGCAGCCCCGCTTACCGGTGTCGGCGGCGGCGCGGAGCAGCAGGAGAGCGGCGGTCCCGCAGAGCAGCGGCAGCAGCCGCGGTGCCATGGGGGCGGCCCGGGGGCAGATCGGGCTCCAGCGGGAGTTCCGTGGCGCTTCCCTGGCGCTGTCGCCGTCCCGGTGTGGTCCGGGAGGTTTCGCTTTCGCTTTCGAGTCGGGCCACCGGGAGGGACGCGCCGCCCTGTCGGGATGGGTGGGCAGCCGGGGGCAGCGAGGGGGTGCGGTGTCCGGGAGGGGCGAGTGGGGGTGGCAGTGCCGGGGGTACCCGATTGGAATTCGGTCCCGGGGATGCAATCCCCGGAAAGGGATGAAATACAGCGATGCGGTATCCAGCGGGGGTGAGATGCCCTGGGAGGAAAAGGATGAAATATTTGGGTTCGTGACCCGGGGGGTGCGGAGGGGAAGGGATGCCCCTGGAGAAAGCAGTGCCTGCGGGATGCGATATGGGGGTCACTGCAACACCCAGGAGGGTCGTGGTTCTCTTGGGATGCAACACCTTGAGAAGGGATGCAATCCCGGCAGGAGATGAGGCGGCACTCCCTGCCCAGGAATGTGGCATCCGAGGGAATCGCGGTGTCCTGGGGGATGCAGCTCCTCCTCCTGTGCCTGGCTATGGATCTGGGGGGATTCCATGAATCCCAGTGCTGGAGATGGAACGTGCTGGTCCCCACACAAATCTTAAAACTGGAAAACAAGCTGTGATCCAGCCCTGGAAGTTCTGCAGAGCTCCTGCAATCAGGCTCCAGCCCACAGCATTCCCAGGACTCAGATCCCACAGATCCTGCTCACAAGAAATCCTCCCCAACTCAGCTCCTTGCTCGTGGCCTCTTTATTCTCCGTGGTTTGTTTTGTTTTGTTTTGGTTTTTTTATCAGTGAGCATCAGCAAATAGCCCCACGTGTCTAGAAAAGGGAAAGCAAAGGGTAACTTGGATAACATTTCATGGCGAAATCTTCATGACAGGGGAATAAATTCTCCCTCTGCCCCCAAGGAAAGAGAATTAACCTCAATTAACCCTCCCTGAAGCAGAAGAGAGGCTGCACCCGGGACAAAGCTCTGCCAACCCTGCCAAGTGTGTTTTAGAGAGAGCAGCATGAGCCTGGAGAACCAGGAGGAAATGCCTGAGGGTAGTGCTTAGGAACATTCCAGAAGAAAACGCTGCAGGAGTTCTATTGGAACCCTGGCTGCTGAGAATTCCAGATTTTCTGTGCTGCCAGGCTCTGACCCCCAGGAGAACTCTGCACTGACCTGAGGCCCTGGAGAAGCTTCCAAAATGGAATGACAGAACTGGGATTGTGGGTGTGCAGTTTGAACAGAAGTGTGTGATACCACAGGTGGGAAACTCAGAGTTTAAGGGTTTAGAATAGAGTAATATACATAAAGCAAGATGGAGGTTTGGTCCTTCTTCTTCACCTTCTTCTCCATGGGTTTGGGTGGTGTTGTGTAATTGGATTAAAAAGTCCACATTGCAGGCGACAGGTGGTTAGTCATTAAGTTAAAAGTAAAAATAATTTAAGTATAATTTCTTAATTAAACAGTTTATCCTTTAAAAATCTAAAAAAAGAGATACAACTCCATTTTTAGTTTATTTGAGTGAAATACTATAAAACTCACAATTTGTGGGACTCTAAAATAAATAAGAACTAGTAGACATCTAAATCCAAACAAGAAATACCATCTCACACATTTAATCCTAACCCTAACAAAAAAAAAAAAATAAAACTCACCATTAAGATGTTGAAGAAAGAAGAAACAAAGGACTCACACAGTTCCACTCCAGCTGAGGGAGATCCCAGGTCCCCAGGGCTGGCTGGTGACACTTGTGGCTGTACTCTGGACAGGCTGGGATCCCACAGGATGAAAAACAGTCAGCAGGGCAGGGTTCACAGCAGTTTGTGCCAGAGCTGAGCCTGATCATCTCAGGTTGTGGTAAAGAAAATTCAGTCTGGGAAGACTTTGCCTTTCTGCTCAAGAATTCCTTCAAAAGATGTAAAAACTCCAATTGTGTCTGAAATTTCCAGGTGAGGGTTTTGGTGCTGCTGATGCAAAGGAGCTGTGCAGCTGCTGATCTTCCAGAAGATAAACACTGCTGGGTGAGAGTTTGCACTGCTCAGACTGGAGGGTTGTGATCCCTGGGAGGGGCACATGTTCACAGCACATTGCCGTGAAAATCCTCGAGCCTGGCCGTGAAAAATCAGAGCTGGGGAATGAGTTCAGGAATACACTCAGTGCAAGTGGCTGGTCAGGCTCTGGGGGGTGACAAGAGGACATGGGCTGGGGACAAGAGGATGTGAGCTGGGGACAGGAGGACATGGGCTGGGGACAGGAGGACATGGGCTGGGGACAAGAGGACATGAGCTGGGGACAAGAGGACATGGGCTGGCACTGACCAGCAAAGGGACAGGGACCTGTGGTCCAGCCAGGTGACTGGACACACAGAGCCACAGCAGGAGCTGAGGAATCCAGAATTTTCCATGCTTGGGCTGTGAGGGTGTGCAAACCCAGGTTGTTCTTTGCCTCCTGAGAGGCACCAGATCAAGCTGTTGTTTTATTATTTAATTATAGCACTGAGATTAAATTATTTTAAGGATTGAGACATCTGAGGCTCTGCCATGGAAAACGTGGAGTGAGGAAAGCTGGGCTGAGCCTGTGAGGGTGGGGTGGAGCTGGGAAGGAATTCCCAGCTCAGGAATTGTGAGTTCCAGAGCGGCTCCAGGGTGGTCAGACAGGGAATTTTCCCTGACAGGCCCATTTGTAGGGTCATCCCAGCAAGGCTTGCCAGGTCCCTGTCTCAGGGAGCCCTTTGTGCACTCCCTGAGGTGCCACATCAAAGGATCCTTCCCATGCAGCACCAGGACAAGGATGTGACCCTAAAGCACCCCTCCCTTGGGGCAGGGAGAACACCGAGGGCTGGACACAGCATCTGGATCTCCAGAGGAATTCACCACCCCACATTCAAGCTCATGCTTTAGGGGTTGTCTGTTTTCAAGTGCTTTGAACATCTGAGAAGCAATTTTTGGGCTGGGTTATCACCACTGCCTCCTCACTGCCACCATCAGTGCTATTGGCAAAACCAGGTTTTAATATAAATTTAATAGAATTATGGAAAGGTTTGGGTGGGAAGGGATCTTAAAATCATATTTTTTCCATCCTCCTGCCATGGCAGGGACACTGCCACTGTGCCAGGCTGCTCCAGCCCCAGTGTCCAGCCTGGCCTTGGACATTCCAGGGATGCAGGGGCAGCCCCAGCTGCTCTGGCAATTCCAGCCCAGCCAGGAATTCCTCATTGCCAAGATCCCATCCATGGCTGCCCTCTGGCACTGGGAGCCATTCCCTGTGTCCTGTCCCTGCAGGCCTTGTCCCCAGCCTGGGGCAGTGGGAGGTGACCCTGCCATGGCAGGGGTGGAATGAGCTGTAAGGTCCTTTCCAAGTCATTCTGTGATTCCATGATTTCCCATAAATCATCAGGAAGTTTCCACCCTGGGCACAACCCAAGCTGGGAATTGCTGGAGGATTGTTTTTCAAAGCTCTACTAACAATGGTACTTTTCTGCTTGGGATGATTCCAGGCTGTGATATTCCAAAGCCTTCATGGAATAAGGGATTATCCCTTGTACCTCACCTTGCTCAGGCAGCTGGGGCTCTTGATATGGACAATTCTCCCACCTTTTCCATTCACAAGTTCCTGGTGTGCTCAAGGGATGCTTCCCTGTCCATCTGGTTTGGTCAAGGGACACTTCACCATCCAGCTGGGAATTCCTGAGGCCCCCCAGCATCTCCAAGGGAGGGGAAGCTGGGGAGATGCAGCATCACAAGTGGAAGCGCTTGAGGAGTTCATGGCAGGGTTGTGTTCTTGGATGTGACTCCTTAACTGGAGATTTCTGGGTAAAAACCCCTGGATTTTAAGTCAGGACTAGAGATTAATCCAGTGTTCAAAGGGAGACAAACTCCTTGTTTCAAGGCACAAGGGATGAGGATCCATCTCCTTCCAGGGCAACAATATTCCTTTGCCTTCATTTTCCACAAACAGAAACCAAAACTCTTCCTCAAGGAGCAGAATGCTCCAAACTCCAGTAATTAATCAGCTTTTGTTTTCCTGGGAGGATTTAAGCAGGACTGACTAAATTTCTTATCAGCTCTCACAGGTTCCTGTACCGAGTACATAAAACATGCTCAGGATGTGAGTTCATCTTCCCAGGAGTATTGGGAATTGTGATTCAGCCCTGGTAATTCCTTCTGCTCAGGGAAAATCATCCCAAGAAATGGTTTGTAAAGCTCAGCTTGGCACCCTGGGATGGTTTCCCATCAGGTTAATTACTTCCATTTTAATTGCCTGCTATTAATCCAGACTATTAATCCAGCTGGGCCTGGATTCTGTCCCAAATCAACGCTGCCCATTGCTCTTGGAGACACTTGGAAAAGTCAAAATATTGTCCTGGAAATGAAGAGGGATGGAGAAAGGAAAAAAATTCCAGTGGTAACATTCTGTTTTATGTGACTTACGAATTTATTTTTAATGAGAGAATGAAGAGGAGGAGGAGAAGGAGAAAAGGAAGAAAATGGAGGAGAAGAAGGAGAAGGTGAAAAGGAGGAGGAGGAGGAGGAGAAAAGGAGGAAGAGAAGGAAGAGGAGAAGGAGAAGGAGGAAGAGACCCAGTGCTAAGCATTGCAGTCAAGGTCATTCTCATAAAAGCTGAACTACACCACGTGTAACACTTGCTACAGTTTTACAAATGAACATTTCCTCTTTTGGCTGGAATTTGGCAGCCCTGGTAAAAACGAGGTGTCTTTGCTGCCCAACAGAACACCCAGGCTGTGGGAAGGGTGCACTTGTGACCTCAGGCTGGAGAGGTTCCAGCCTTTCCAGAGCTTTCCAAGGGAAATCTCTCCCTGCTGGAGAGTCACAAGTGTGACCTTGCAGCTGAGGAATGCAGCAGGAGCCGGAGGAGCAGCAGGGTGGGCTGTGCTCGGCCCTGGGGATCTCCAGAGGGATTTTTTGGAACTTTTCCATGTGAGGGGAAAGCACCCGTGAAACCAGCCGGGGGATTTTGGCCACGGGGTTGCTTTAGGTCTCAACTTCTGACCTGGGGACTTTCAGTTCTCAGATGTGAGGCTGCTTTTGAGAACCAGCCTTTTCCCCAAGAGAACGAGCAGCTTTTGGACCCAAGTTTTATTTAATCCATTTCAATTATTTGGTGCTGTTTTAGTAGGGAAGAGCACTGACAAAACATGAGGTTGTGAAAATTCCAGCTGCAGGCTTGGACACATCTCCTTTTCCCTGCAAATAACATTCCCAGAGGGTTTCTCGTGAAACAAAGTGAATTCAGACCTTCTTGCATTCTCTGAGGGTGAGAAGGAAGATTTTCCACTTTCACTTTCTAGGAAGAAATAAATGTCCATCACGTGGGGTTTGTTTTCTTTTCCCCTTATCTAATTAATTCCAGTCAAGTGGGGAAACCCTTTCCTTTTAAAGTTTATCTTTAAAGATAATCAATAATTATCACATTCCACTTGGCTCTGCTGTCAACAGCTGTGAATTATGACAGGCTGGGAATCTTGAATATAAGCCTGTGCTAAATCATTAGAAAAGCTTGTACCAAAACCCAAATATTCCCCTTGGAATTAAAGCTGTGACGTTCTCCTTGACCTCTAGCACTTGAAGGGAACAATGTGTTCAAGAGCAAGAGAAACTGCAGGAAAAACTAGTTTGTGATATTTGTTTTGGGATTTGTTTTGGAACTATTCCTCTGCCTGCAGGTGGCTGAGATGACAAAAACTGGAGTTTTGGGTGAAAAAACCCAGATTTGGGAGCGTGGCAGCAGCAGCTTTTAGCTTCTGAAGTGGGAGGAGGCTGGGAAGCATCCACAGCCTGTCCCTGTGGGGTGGTTGTTTTTCCCTCTTCATGCTGGGGTGATAAATCCTGGGGATAAATATCCTGGTTGTGGCTGCCCACCCTGGGCAAAGCCTTTCCTGGGGGCTCCTGGGGGTGGGGAGGTGCTAAAAAGAGGCTGGAGCTCCAAAATTGGGGTTTTTTAGGTGGTTGTGTCCCCACCGTGCTGTTGGGGGTGGAGTAGAACGTGAGGAAGGACAGAGTAAGCTCAGCTCTTTTAATTCCTCTCCTCCTCAGCGGGGAGAGGAATTAAAAGAATAAAATCATAGCTTTTAATACCAATTCTTCAGCTTGAGGGGATGCTGCTGCTCCTGGGGGTCACCAGAGGTGACACCACAGCCTGACCCCAGCCACGTTCAGGGTGGGACAGCTTCAGCCGTGGGACAAGAAATCAGAATGCCAGGAGAGTCCTGAGCACACCCAGAGAAGCAAACATGAGATAAAAGGTTGCCCCCCGGGTTTATTAAAAGGGTATAATGTTATATTATATTATATTATATTATATTATATTATATTATATTATATTATAATCCAATATGTTTAATATATAATATTATATAATAAAATATAATTTATGATACACAAAAGACTATCATAAACATAACATTATTTCATATATTAAATATATTAAATATATTGATGTATTTAATATCTTGATTATGTGTATTTAATACAGAATACATTATATATATTATAATAATGCACGTTGTAAGTGTTATATGTAATATAATATATAATACATCTAATATGAACAATAATATATAATATATAATTTAGTATGTGATGTAAAATATATGTCATGTATATTATATAATATATAACATAAAACATAAAATATATAATATATAAAACATCTAACAACAGACAAATATCCAACAGGAAATAAATATCTAACACTAAAGAAATATCTAATAACAGCAAATTTCCCAATCCCTCATATTTTAGGGAAAATGTATTCAGCACTGCCCATGTCCCCAAGTGCCACATCCACAGGGTGCTCAATCCCTCTGGGAATGGGACAAAGAATTTTCCCAATATCCAACCTAAACCTTCCCTGGAATGACTTGAGGCATTTTTTTTGCTTAAGGGGTTCAAATGCTTGGTGTGTTATGAGAGTTACACGTGAGTTACACAGGAATTACATGGGAATTACATGTGGGTTCCCTGCAAGTTACAGATGAGTTACGTGGGAATTACTTGGGATTTACATGTGAGTTCCTTGTGAGTTACACATGAGTTACATGGGAATTAATTGGGAATTTGGGAATATTTTCTTGGGATTTACATGTGAGTTACTCATGAGTTACATGGGAATTAATTGGGAATTACTTGGGATTTACATGTGAGTTACACATGAGTTACATGGGAATTAATTGGGAATTACTTGGGATTTACATGTGAGTTACTTGTGAGTTACACGGGAATTAATTCGGAATTACTTGGAATTTTTTCAGGATTTACATGTGAGTTACTTGTGAGTTACACGGGAATTAATTGGGAATTAATTGGGAATTACTTGGGACTTACATGTGAGTTACACATGAGTTACATGGGAATTAATTGGGAATTACTTGGGATTTACTCAGGATTTACATGTGAGTTACTCATGAGTTACATGGGAATTAATTGGGAATTCCTTGGGATTTACACGTGAGTTACTTGTGAGTTACACATGACTTACATGGGAATTAATTGGGAATTACTTGGGATTTACATGTGAGTTACACATGAGTTACATGGGAATTAATTGGGAATTACTTGGAATTTACTCGGGATTTACATGTGAGTGAGTTCCTTGTGAGTTACACATGAGTTACATGGGAGATTAATGCAAATCCTTTTTTATTTTTTGCCAAAAGCTCAAATGATCGTTTTCTCTGGAGAGTTACCTGTGAGTTACACATGAGTTACATGGAAATGAATTGAGAATTGCTTGGGATTTACATGGGAGTTCCTTGCGAGTTACACATGAGTTACTCAGGAGATAATGGCAATCCTTTTTCTGCCAGTGGGCTCAATATTTTTTTTGCCTTGAGGGTTAACTCTGTTAACTTATTAACATGTGAGTTACATGGGAATTAATTTATTTTTTTTTTGCCAAGGGGCTCCATGCCTGGTTTGTCATGGCAGTTAAATATGAGTTACATGAGAGTTACACAGGAGTTACTTGTGACTTACCCCGGCTTTGTGCCAAAGGCCCCAGAGGGTTGGATTGTCGCATTAATTCCACGTGAATTAGATGCCAGTTCCATACGAGTTCCCGTTTCTTGGCCAGGAGCGCAGATAATTTATTTATCTATTTATTCATCTCTGTCCGCCGGCAGAACCTCACTCCCCTCACGGAATAACGACGCGGCTCCTTTAAGACGCGCCCTTACTTTGGCCCCGCCCCTTCAGCGCGCGGGCGGGGCGTGGCTTGGCGAGGCGAAAGTCATCTGGATTGATTGACAGCGCCGCTGCCCAATCAGATGCCAGAGAGCTGGCCGGGGGCGGGGCTTCCGGCGGGGCGGCTGAGGCGGCGGCGCTCGGAGGGAGCGGGAGCGGCGCCGCCATGATCAAGAAGTTCGATAAAAAGGACGAGGAGTCCGGTACGGGGGGGCTGGCGGTGAGGGGAGCGGTGCTGGGGCGAGGAGAGGGCTGAGGTGACAGCGGGGGTGAAGGTGAGGGGGCGCTGAGGTGAGCGCGGGGTGGAGATGAGGGAGCTGAGGGGATGCTGAGGTGAGGGAGGTGCTGTGGTGAGGGAGATGGTGAGAGGGGTGCTGAGGTGAGGGAAGTGCTGAGGGGTGCTGAGCTGAGGGAGGTGCTGAGCTGAGGGAGATGGTGAGAGGGGTGCTGAGGTGAGGGAGATGCTGAGGGGTGCTGAGGTGAGGGAGGTGCTGAGCTGAGGGAGATGCTGAGTTCAGGAAGGTGCTGAGCTGAGGGAAATGCTGAGGGGTGCTGAGGTGAGGGAGGTGCTGAGGTGAGGGAAACGCTAAGGGGTGCTGAGCTGAGGGAGGTGCTGAGGGGCGCTGAGGTGAGGGAGGTGTTGAGCTGAGGGAAATGCTGAGGGAAACGCTGAGGGATGCTGAGCTGAGGGATGCTGAGCTGAGGGAGGTGCTGAGGGTCGCTGAGGTGAGGGAGGTGTTGAGCTGAGGGAAACGCTGAGGGAAACGCTGAGGGCGATGCTGAGCTGAGGGGTGCTGAGGTGAGGGCGATGCTGAGCTGAGGGAAACGCTGAGGTGAAATAGAATTCCCAGAGCAGCCGTGGCTGCCCCTGCATCCCTGATGTGTCCCAGGCCAGGCTGGAGCGAGCTGGGATAGCGGAAGGTGTCCCTGCTGGTGGCAGCAGCTGGAAGTGAATGATCCTTAAAGCTCCTTCCAGCCATGCCGTGGGTCTGTGGTCTCTCACAGCTCATGGGGTGTTTGTGTTTCAGCTGGAAGAATCGACTGACAAAGTATTTCTCCCCTCTGGTGACAAATCCAAAGGAACTGGGGTCTGTTTGCTCTTTTTTTTTTTTTGCAGAGCTGATTTTTAGGGAGGATTTTATCCCTGTCTCTGCTCAGTGCAGATGTTTCATCCCTCAATAAAAGGAGAGTTGATTAAATGTATTTCTGTTTATACAAGCCCTATATAATAGAATAAACCCTATATATTTATATAATAACCTCTGTATGATAACCCTAACCCTTTTATTTATGTTGTAAGTTGTGAGTTTTATAGTCTTTTTTGATGAGTTATAAAATGGTTAATTATTTTTGTATAACATTTTAAAAGGTTAAATTATTTAATTAAGAAATTATTTAAATTATTTTTACTTTTAATTTAATAACTAGTTATTTGGAGTTTGTAACGTGGACTTTTTTTGTTTCATTACAAAATATTTAAACTTATGGAGAAGGATTAGGCACTGCTCTAAAATTTTTATGTTAGTTTTTCTATATTATTATATTTTATATGCTATTATACTTACATTTATTTTTATTTAAGTTTTTACTTAATGATATCACACACTTCTAATTAAATGATATACTTGAACTCTTAGTGTGTTTTGGAAGTTTTCTCTATGGTTTTAGGTTAACTGTAGGGCTCTCCTGGGGGTTAGAGTTTGTCAGCAGAGAAAATTGAAAATTCTCAGTCTCTGTGACTCCTGGGGCACTGGGAGGTGTCCCTGGGCAGTCCCTTCCAAAGCTCTGGAAGTGAAATCCAGTTTCCCTGCAAGAGCTGATGCTGCCTTGAATTCACTGGGCTGCTCCAAATGAGCCTTGAGTTTGTTTCATTTTCCATTTCCTCCTGCTTGGCCTGTGAGAAGGGGCAATAAATGAACTGGAAGTGAGGAATTCCTGCCTGGGAGGAGAGGATCAGGAGCAGAAGTGAGGCTCTGGGGGGTTTGTGTGGCTGAAAAGTGCTTTCAGTTCTGTTTCCTGGCCTCTTTGGTGCCTGAAAGAATAAAACCAGGTGGGTTAGGAAGGTAGGAAAAGGAAATGGTTTTATGCAAAGGCCATTTATGGATTAAAAGGTATTAAAATTAGGGATATGAAAGGAATTTAATAAAAGGTATTTCTATAGCAAACAATTTTCTTCCTCTCCTATTTGATTATTTTTTACCTTTATTCTTTCTGAATGAACAAACCACTCAAGGAAGTGGATTCAAAGCTGGTGATGGCCAACATCAGTTATTCAAAGAAGAATGTCACTGTTTTCAGATGGTTTGGCAAAATTTTGGGGCTGTTCCTGCATTTTCAGACCTTTTGAGGTGTGTGAGAAATTAATTTCTCCAATGAGAGGTCTCTTTTTCCTCAGGCAGTGGCTCCAATCCTTTCCAGCATCTGGAGAAGAGTGCTGTGCTTCAGGAGGTAGGAATAATCACAGGATAATGCTGTTTAATTAATAATGTTTTCCTCCAGGAAGCATTGCAGAACGGTTGTGGGGAAATGTGGATGGCTAAATTCATAGAATTAACTGAAAACCACAGAAAGTGTAAATAAATTCATTTTATCTACAGTTAATGAGGGGTTTTTTAGGGTAATTAGGTGACACGTGGCTTCTGCCTTCCATATGGACATGTGGCACCTCAGGGGGCTCTTCCTGAAGAAAAAAATGTTTTATTTGGAGGCATTTTTGCCAGTTCCAGATGGCAAATTGAGTTGTTTGTGCTTTGTTCAGATTGCTGCAAACTAAAGATGCAAAGACACATTCTCTGAGACTCCTGTTTAACACAAATAAAAATCACAAGCTGCTCAGCTGGAAACAGATTCATTTCATTTTGAACACATTCTCTGAGACTCCTGTTTAATACAAATAAAAATCACAAGCAGCTCTGCTGGAAACAGATTCATTTCATTTTGATGTTGAAAGAGAAATAATTGTTTTGATCTATTCAAGCAGAATTTCTGTTTCATTTCCAGGCAAGGCTCTTCAATGAGACCCCAATAAACCCACGAAGATGCCTCCACATCCTTACCAAGATCCTGTACCTGCTGAACCAGGTAACTGCTGGGATTTCTCTCCATGCAGAATGAATTTTAAGAATATTTTAGTGGGAAATATTGTATATATTTTAGTGGGAAAGAAGTTTTTCATAGGGAAAACTCCTTGGGAAACTTCCATTCCTGTGGAGGGCGTTTAGAATGGAGAGAATTGTGGATTCCCTGGGAAGGAAAGGATGGTTTCTTACAGGAGAAAGTCTCCAAGGAAAGATCCCTGGTGTGTGGGAGGTCATTAGAAAAGGAGTTGGATAATTGCTGCTTTTCCTCTCTGCTGATTCCAGGGTGAACACTTCGGAACCACGGAAGCCACGGAAGCTTTTTTTGCCATGACCAGATTGTTTCAGTCTAATGATGTAAGGAGCTGGTGTTTTGCCTCTCCCTGCTTCTGTCTGGGCTTGCAGGAGCTGCCAAACCCTCGGAATTTGGGGTGTGGGAGGCAAGCAGTGCACGGGAGGAGCTCTGGAGGCAGCTCCTGGTTTGGAAATAAAGCATTGGATAACAACACGGGGTTGTTCTGTGGGTTGGGGGGTGGGGGTGGGCTCTGAGTTAATCCTGCTGTAAAAGTGGGGGTAATGACAAAACCTGAGTTTACAAATCTTGGATGGTTGTTGCTTCCCCTTGCAAGTCACCATCTGCTAAATTGGAATTCTAAAACTGCCTGCAGATCAAAAGCTGCTGTTCCTTAGAACGTGGATCAGCCTTGGTCTCATTGAGGCAAGGGATGAGAACAGCCTAAAAATCATAGAATGGTTTGGGAATTGAGTTTGGGAATTCAGCTTTGGGCTCAGCAGAGTGTCAAGTCCTTCTGTGATCTCTTCTGCAGACTGTGAGAACTCAGAGCAGTGTGTTTCATGTGATGGGGCTCATTCATTTTAATTAAAAAGGGTTTGCTCGTTAGAGATTTGTCCAATGAAGGCGTAGCTATTCCAAGATGTAATAAAATTGTTGGAAGTTTATTTCTCATATCCACATTTAAAAAGTAAAGGATTTTTTTCAAAGACTTAATGTCAACACTCCACATGTGTTTCCCTTTTTTTACAATAACAAAAATATTTTCAAAGCCTTTAACTGATGATTGTGAGGCTTCTGAGTACAGATGTGCTGCATCACTTCTTTGATAATTATAATGAATTTTGTATTAGTTCTTATCATTTTACAAAAGATTGATGTCTTGCTCCTCTGACTTGTTTGATGTCAGGGAGTTTGGCTCTTTTCCAGGGGTCAAATGTAGTTCTGCACTTTTAACTTTGAATTGAAAACAATATGTTTTGTTTAAAAGCTTGTTTTCCTTTTGAAGTGAAATATTTATGTTCATTTATCTTTTAAAACTTCGAATTACCGTGGAATTTAATATTTTTCTTCACATTTCCACAGCAAACCCTCAGAAGAATGTGTTACCTCACAATCAAAGAGATGGCCAATATCTCTGAGGATGTCATCATTGTCACCAGCAGGTGGGACACCCTCCAGAGCCTGGGAAAAGGAGTTTTGTCCCCTCTGGAAAAGGGGCTGCAGCTCCCTGGCTTGGGTTGAGCTGCTACAGTGTTGGGGTTTTATAAGGATACAGCAGTTCAGTGATACACAGTCTGTGCCACCCTCTGAAATGTTATTTTGTTCCCACTCTGGAAGAATTCAGTTTATCAAATGGTTGTTACTTTGTTTTCTTGTGGTTTAGGGTGTTGGGGTTTTTTTTTCATTCTTGTTTTGTCAGAGTTGAGGCTGTGGCTTTGCTGTCAGAGCAATTCAAGAAAAGCAGAGCAAAGCCCAGTTCATTCTGAGCTGAACTCTTAATTTTTTAAGAGTGAACTCTTAATTTTTTTGACTGCAAAAATAGACATTGCAGCTATTGCAAGAGCGAAAATTGCATCTGTTGTTGGATTGCTGAACAGCTTTAGAAATGTAGAAAATAAACCAAACTGAACTTTGCTCACTATTTCTAAATCTAAATTCCATGTGGAACAAGCAGCAGCACCAAGAAAGAGAATGAGCTAAACAAAGCAGGCCATGGCAAAGCAGTTCTGTTCAGTTCAGAATGAGCTGGGCTTGGCTCTGCTTTTCTTTAATTGCTCTGACAGCAAAGTCACAGCCTCAACTCTGACAAAACAAGAATGAAGAAAAACCCCAACACCCTAAAGTGTGCATTTATAGCTCTGTATCTCCCCAGGCCTTGATTGATAAATCTCAAATTAAGCTGATTATGAAGAGGTTGTTCCTCAGCAGAACTAGAGCAGCTGAGTGAGGTGGATGTCACTCAAGCCCTGGGAGATGGGGATGTTGAGGAAGTGCTAGCAGGATGTTTTGGTGCTTGCAGCCTCACCAAAGACATGACAGGAAAGGAGGATGTCTATCGAGGCCCGGCCATCCGAGCTCTGTGCAGGATCACTGATGTGAGTACACTGGGGCACTGTGGGGGAGAGGAGGTGAGTGGCTCTGAAATCCCAAAACTGCCCTCTTGCAGGGTGCATCTTACAGCAGTGGTGCAACTGCTGCTTTGTGGAGGGCTGCTCAGTGCCCTGTGCAATTTCCAGCAGCTCTGTGACACTGCAGATTTGGAAGCTCCTTTCTGAACTGAAATTGTTCTGCTCCATGCCCTGTGCAATTTCCAAGAGAAATGTGGGGCTGCAGCACTGGAATGTGCAGCTGGAAGATTTGGGAGCTCCAGTTTCTATCTGAGATTGGTCTGATTGATGCCCAGTGCAACTTCCAGGAGCTCTGTGCCACTGGAGCACTGGGAATGTGCAGCTGGAAGATTTGGGAGCTCCAGTTTCTGTGTAGGATTCCTCTGCTTGCTGTCCTGTGCCACTTCCAGGAGCTCTGCATTGGCAGGAGCACTGGGAATGTGCATCTGGAATGTTTGGAAGCTCCAGTTTCTATCTGAGATTGGTCCACTCAATGCCCTGTGCCATTTCCAAGAGAAATGTGGGGTTGGAGCACTGGGAATGTGCAGCTGGAAGGTTTGGGAGCTCCAGTTTCTGATCTGGGATTGCTCTGCTGGTGATTTGTCACTGACCCTTCAGGACCAGGCTGCTCAAACCCACGTCTGCCTTGCAGAATCACCTCAAGATTATTGCTGAGGTCCTTTAAATGTGGATTTTTGCATCTGCTGCTTTTATGCTCCTCCTCCAAAGCATCCCCCCTTCCCTTTTTCCCTGTTTTCCCCTTGCCAGGGTACCATGCTCCAAGCCATTGAGAGGTACATGAAACAGGCCATTGTGGACAAGGTCCCTGGCGTGTCCAGCTCTGCACTGGTGTCTTCCTTGGTAAGCAAAGCAGAACATTTTTATGCATTTGGTGTTTTGTCAGGCTGGGAAGCTGAGTCTGCTGTGTTTGTTTTGGTTTTTTCTCTGAGATGTTTCTTCATCTCACTGGAAAATAAGAAAAAAACAGTTTCCTTTCTCTCTTCCAATTCCTTTCTTAACATTTGAGTACATCAGTCATAATAAATTGTAGTGCAGCCTAGTGCCAAATGCTCAGATTTCTGCAGTCAGTGTAAAACATCAATTTATCTGGGGAGGGGCCATGAAATCACCTGCTGAAGCTGCAATTCAGGATTATTTCTGCTAATAGACACCAGGAGGGCAAGATGAAGGAATGCACTCTGATTTCCTCTCCCTTTTTTGAGGAGAAAAGGCTGGGAAAGATCTCATGAGTGAATATTTTTATTAATGGAAGTGGAGCATGATAATGAAGACTGAGATGGAGGGAAATGTGCACTTTGCAGGGGTGTAGGATAAAGAGTGGCAGTGAGCTTGTCTCCAACCTCAATTCTTTTTTTGCAGCACATGATGAAGATCAGCTATGACGTGGTCAAAAGGTGGATCAACGAAGCTCAGGAAGCAGCTTCCAGTGACAACATCATGGTACAGGTGTGTTTGAGGATGGCTGTCCCTAAAAATGCTGGGGGGGGGCTTAGTGACATTGTGGGAGCTCTTAAGAAAACTTTAAAACAAAATCTTGTTTTTCTTTAGTGTTTTAAAAGCAAGGATTGTGATTTTTGGGAAACAACTTGACAGTTTCAAAAAACTAATGAAATTTTCCATAAGAGCTGGCTCTGGAGTTCTCTTCCCTTTTTCCTCCTAAATTTTTGGGAGCTGGAATGCTGCTGCCTGACCCACAGTGGTTCTTGCAGAAGGGATTTGAATCTGAGTGCTCAGAAAGTGGGAAATTATCTCACTGCCTCCCAATGAGCATCTCTTGGCCTTCAGAAAATTTACCAGATGCAAAAGATGAACTCAAATATCAGCAAGGTCTCCACAAGAGCAAAATTTTTGCACAGATATTCCAGACATCTGTGGAAATGAAATTATTCTGTGTGTTCAGAATATGGAATTATTCTGTCTGTTGCAGACTCATGATCAGAAAAATTCTGTAAAATCAGTTTTGTTCTTGCCCATTTAGCAGCTTCATTAAGCCTTGCAGTAAATCAGTTTTCTGGGATGAAAAAAAAAAAAATCCCAAAATAACTTGGCAAGGAACTGGAAATGTCCTTTTGTTCTTCCATCAAAAAGTCCTCAAGGATTTTTGTGAGGTCAGCTGTCTTTTCAAGGCCTTGGGATATCCTGGATGTGGAGTTCATTAGAAATGCAGGAATTACTGTGCAAAGCTAAAACCTTTGAAGTTATGAGATTTAATGGGGGGGAAAAAAGGCAATAAATTAACTTTGTGGCTCTTTGGATCTTCAGGAACAGTTGAGAGTGAACAGAAAGGGCAAGGAAACGTTGCAGATCTTTGCAACTTGTCAGGAAGCTCAGCTCAGTTGAGGTTAGAAGGTATTTGTGGCAGGAAAGGGCAATAATTCCCCCTCTTTTGATGTTTTAATGTGGATTTTCCTCTGTTTCCCATCCCACAGTATCATGCTTTGGGGCTGCTCTATCACCTCAGGAAAAGCGACCGCCTGGCTGTCTCCAAGATGCTGAATAAATTCACCAAATCTGGCCTGAAATCCCAGTTTGCCTACTGCATGCTGATCAGGATTGCCAGCAAACTCCTCAAGGAGTCTGAAGAGGGGTGAGTAAGAGGCAGGGTTTAATCACAGAAATTAATTAAGGTTTGGAAGTGGTGGTGGTTTTTTTAGTGTTTGTGGAAATCTCCGCAGAGACTGAACTGTAGTGCTGGGATAATGCAGGGACTCAATCTTAGAGGGGCTTTCCAGCCTGAAATCCTGGGATTGTTGTGTTTGTAGCCATGAAAGTCTTGGACCTGATCTTAAAGGGATTTTTTTTTCCAGCCTAAAATCCTGGCATTTGTTTTGTTTCTAGCCATAAAAGTCTTGGACCTGATCTTAAAGGGACTTTCTCATCCTAAAATCCTGGGATTGTTGTGTTTGTAGCCATGAAAGTCTTGGACCTGATCTTAAAGGGACTTTCTCATCCTAAAATCCTGGGATTGTTGTGTTTGCAGCCATGGAAGCCTTGGGCTTGGTATCAAATGGTTTCCCAGCCTAAAATCCTGGGATTTTTGTGTTTGTAACCATGAAGGTCTTAGACTTCATCTTGAAGGGTTTTTCCAGCCTAAAATCCTGGGGTTGTTGTGTTTGTTGCCATGAAAGTCTTGGGTTTAAAGGGGTTTCTCCAGCCTAAAAGGTCCTGGGATTGATGTGTTTATGGCCATGAAGGTCTTAGACTTGATCTTAATGGGTTTTTCCATCCTAAAAGATCTTGGGATTGTTGGAGTTGTAGCCATTAGAGTCTTGGACTCAATCTTAAATGGGCTTTTCCATCCTGAAACCCTGGGATTGTTGTGTTTGTAGCCACAAAAGTCTTGGATTCAAAGGGGTTTTCCAGCTTAAAAGATCCTGGGATTGTTGTGTTTGTAGCCATGAAAGTCTTGGACTCAATCTTAAGGATTTTTTCCAGCCTAAAATCCTGGGATTCTTCTTTTGTAGCCATGAAAGCCTTGGACTCGATCTTAAAGGGATTTTTCCAACCTAAAAGATCCTGGAATTGTTATGTCTGTAGGCATGAAAGCCTTGGACTTTGTGTCAAATGGTTTCCCAGCCTAAAATCCTGGGATTTTTGTGTTTGTAACCATGAAGGTCTTAGACTTCATCTTGAAGGGTTTTTCCAGCCTAAAACCCTGGGATTGTTGTGTTTGTAGCCACAAATGTCTTGGATTCAGAGGGTTTTTCCAACATAAAATATCCTGGGATTGTTGTGTTTGTTGCCACAAATGTCTTGGACTCAATCTTAAAGGGATTTTCCCATCCTAAACCCTTGGATTGTTGTGTTTGCAGCCATGAAAGCCCCCTGTTTGACTTCATTGAGAGCTGCCTGAGGAACAAGCACGAGATGGTGATTTATGAGGCTGCCTCTGCCATCATCCACCTGCCAAACTGCACTGCCAGGGAGCTGGCACCTGCTGTGTCAGGTTGGTCACAGCCCTTGGTACCCCTGAAACAGCTGAAATAAAGAAATTTAGGGAAAATCCAGCAGAATTATAATTCCCAAACCTGATTTGTTGGTAATGTGTGTTTAAAGTCCTTTCATCCCAAGTTAAAGGGCTTTTGGATGAGATCCCTTTTCCATCCATAGGTTTAGTTAAATGGCATTAGAGGTGGCACGGGGTGATGCTTGTCTTTATCCAGCTGCAGGAATTTGGGATGGGAGGGAATCATGGAATGGTTTGGGTTGGAAGGGACCTTAAAGATCACCCAGTGCCATGGCAGGGACACCTTCCACTGTCCCAGTGTGCTCCAAGCCTTGTCCAACCTGGCCTTGGGCATTTCCAGGGATGGAACAACCACAGATCCTTTGGGAAATCTCTCCTCCAGCTGGAATTTAGAGACAACCAAGCCACCCCCTGTTATTGACAGTGGGATAAAAGCCAGGCATTTATTTCTGACCTGTGTGATAAATTATGCATGGAGCTGCATGAATATTTAGCAGTGTGTACTCGGGGATACATTAGACTTTCTACTCTATTCCCTTTCTTTGAAAGAGGCCATATCTTTGTTTTTTGGTTGTTTTGTTTTGTTTTCTTTCCCAGTGTTGCAGCTTTTCTGCAGTTCTCCCAAACCTGTCCTGCGCTACGCAGCCGTGCGGACCCTCAATAAAGTGAGTGTTCAAAACCTCCAAACAAGCTTCATTCTCTGAGAGCAGAGGCAGCCACAGTGCCTAATGATGAGTGTGTCACCTCAAGCAGAGCAGCTGCCCTTGGGATGACTTTATTTGGAATTATTCCATGCTGGAGAATTGGCTTTTCCATGCCAGATCTCCTGGTGGGACAGAAATCTTTCCTGCATTCAGGCTGTGTTTGCTAATTTTGGGACCACGGGGATAGAACAAGCTGTAGTTTGATAATCTGTGAGCTTTCAGCTGGAACCCTGAATATTTAATGTTACAAATCCACTTGAAGGAAATATTCTGATTTCAGAGCTGCGCAACACGACAGCAAAAATTTGGGACTCAAACCCACAAGCTGTAACTTAAAACCCATTTCAAACACTGCAACCAAAACCCCCTGAGCTCTGCTTGCATCCAATGCTCTGAACTACAAGATGCTACATCCCCCACATAATTCTGGAATTGCATTCCTTGCAGGTGGCCATGAAACATCCATCTGCAGTCACTGCCTGCAACCTGGACCTGGAGAACCTCATCACAGACTCCAACAGGAGCATCGCCACGTTGGCCATCACCACGCTGCTCAAGACCGGCAGCGAGAGCAGCGTGGACAGGCTCATGAAACAGATCTCCTCCTTCGTGTCAGAAATCTCAGATGAGTTTAAGGTGTGCCATTGGAGGCCTCTGCTCTTTCCAGCTGCAGGTTTTTCTCCCATTCTTGTTTTTCTTTAATGAAGCTTTTCCTGTTTGTCAGTACTTCGGTGGTTTAGTCTGGCAGGGAAAAATTCAGAATTTTCTTTCCCTGGAAAAGATGAAACTTGAGGCATCCCTCCTTGGGCAGTCAGAAGCCTCCAAGGGGTTACACTCAGGATGGATGGTGGTCATGAATTTTTCAGATAATTATAAGTTTGGTCCATTTACATATCAGGGGTTAATCCTCCAATTACAGCTTCAGGTAATGAAGTCACATTCCCTCACTTTGCAATAAAAGTCACTTTTATTTATACTTTTCAGGGTCTGAGGCTGTAAGGTGTCTTTGAGTTTCAGGCCTTGAGGGATTGTTTTGTCTGACCAAAATGTGAGCACAGTAACTAACACTGTATATGGAGTTCAGAGTTATACCCCTAAAGCAGTATATTTGAAAAATATAAAAGCTAAAATCCTAATGCTGAGGACACTCATAGGGCTGGGAATGTCCTGTGAGGTCACCCAGTGCACTTTTTCCCCCCGAATTTGCACAAATGATTGTTTTCTCCATGGAAAGCACTCAGTGAAGCGTGAAGGAGCTGAGCATGGCTCCAATCCAAGCCTCACTGTCCCTGCTTTCCCTTTGCCAGGGTGGCTTTGAGTACAAGAGAGCCATTGTGGATTGCATCATCAGCATCATCGAGGAGAACCCCGAGAGCAAGGAGGCAGGGCTGGCTCACCTGTGCGAGTTCATCGAGGACTGCGAGCACACCGTGCTGGCCACCAAGATCCTGCACCTGCTGGGCAAGGAGGGCCCCAGGACCCCCTCCCCCTCCAAGTACATCCGCTTCATCTTCAACAGGGTGGTGCTGGAGAACGAGGCTGTGAGGGCTGGTGAGTGCAGCTCCAGGCCTGCAGTTCTGGCTCCTTGCCTTTTCCTCAGCCTGGAAAGGAAATTCCAGAGAATTGGAGTAAGGTGTCTTGGTTTAGGGTAAATTTGGGAGAAAACATTCAAAGGGATTTCACTAGAAAGCAGATTCAAGTGGTCCCACGTTGTACTGGCCACAAAGATCCTGCACCTGCTGGCCAAGGAGGGCCCCAGGACCCCCTCCCCCTCCAAGTACATCCGCTTCATCTTCAACAGGGTGGTGCTGGAGAACGAGGCTGTGAGGGCTGGTGAGTGCAGCTCCAGGCCTGCAGTTCTGGCTCCTTGCCTTTTCCTCAGCCTGGAAATCAAATTTGAGAATTTTAGGAAGGTGGTGTCCTGGTTTAGGGCAAATTTGGGAAAAACTCCAAAGGGTTTTTTCTAGAAAGCAGATTGAAGTGGTCCCACGTTTTACTGGCCACAAAGATCCTGCACCTGCTGGCCAAGGAGGTCCCCAGGGTGGTACTGGAGAATGAGGCTGTGGGAATTCCAGGCCTGGGATTCTGTCTCGTTGGTCTGGGAAATGGAGCCAGGAGTATGACCTGGGCTTTCATTTCCTGGTTTTTGCTCCATCTTTTCCAATCCAAAACAAGGATGAGGGGTGGTTTTAAAAACATTTTATGTCTGTGATTGAAACTTCACGTGAGCAGGGGATTTAATTAATCCATGTAAAATTCTTGGGAGTGAACTGTTTAGACTTGGCAACTTTGTGTCATCTTCACAGCAGCTTTTTTTTCTGCTTTGCCTGTTTTGTGTTTCCTGTGGATTAGCAGTGCCTCAAAACCAAACTTTTGTGCCTTTCTCCTGTGCAGGGCTGACAGTCTCTGTTCCTGGGATGGAGAAGGCCCTGCACCAGTACACACTGGAGCCCTCAGAGAAACCCTTTGACATGAAAACTGTTCCCCTGGCTACAGCCCCCATCTTTGAGCAGAAAGCAGGTAACACCCACAGTGATGGCAACGGGCTGAGGCAAGCCTCAGAGCCTTGGGGCTGCTGGTCTCATTGGCAGGGACAAATCTGTGCCTCAGCAGCATTTATTGGTTCACAGCCTTTGGAAAAAGGCCATTCCAGGAGCTCTCAGTCACTTCTCTGGCTTTCTTCCATGTCCTTGCACAATTCTTGAGCACCTTCACTTAGCACAACCAACTTTGGGATTCTTTTTTTTTTTCTGCCCTTTCCTCCTTGATTTTTTTGCTGGCTTTTCTTCTTCAATCTTCAGGGCTAAGGTGTGGTTTAGTCCTCTGTTTTTTTTTCTATTTTCAATCCAGTATTTCCACACCAAAAAAAAAGATATTTCAGTGTGTGAGGAGCCAGGCTGGCAGTGGTTTGCAGCAGAATGTGAGAAACATACAGGGAATGTAATAAATATAAGGAAGACAATATAAGGAATATTTAGTGGAGATTTAATGGCATTTAAACCTCCTGCATGGTTTAGTTGAGACAGAGCACAAAGGTTTTGCTTTTTTCCTCCACAGAGATTGCTCTGGTGACCAGCAAACCTGAGAAAGTGGCTCCTTCACGCCAGGATATATTCCAAGGTAGGAGAGATCAGTGGCTGTCCAGAACTGCAGGAGAGCTGCAGAGGGACTGGGGACAAGGGATGGACAGGACCCAGGGAATGGCTCCCAGTGCCAGAGGGCAGCCATGGATGGGATCTTGGCCATGAGGAATTCCTGGCTGGGCTGGAATTGCCAGAGCAGCTGGGGCTGCCCCTGCATCCCTGCAGTGCCCAAGGCCAGGCTGGACAGGACTTGGAGCAGCCTGGCACAGTGGGAGGTGTCCAGGGGGTGGAACTGAATTATCCTCAATGTCCCCTCCAACCCAAACCATTCTGGGATTCTCTGAAGTGCTGAATGATGGCAGGATCAGAGCCTGTCCTTGCTGATCCTCTTTTCCTTCCTGCACAGAACAACTGGCAGCCATCCCAGAGTTTAAGGGCCTGGGTCCCTTGTTCAAATCCTCAGAGCCAGTGCAGCTCACAGAAGAGGAAACAGAGTATTTTGTTCGCTGCATCAAACACGTGTTCCCAGCCCACATCGTTTTCCAGGTGAGAGAACCCATCCCCTTCTCCCAGAGCCCAGCAGGATTTGGCAGAATTGATCCAAATCAAATTTGCTGCATGCCACGGAGGATTTTAGCTGATTTGGTTGGGAGGGCAAAACTCTGGATGAGGAAGTGTTTGAAAATCCTTTTCCCCGTTTGCTGCTGCAGTTTGACTGCACAAACACCTTGAATGATCAGCTCCTGGAGAGAGTGACAGTGCAGATGGAGCCATCAGATGGTTATGATGTGATCTGCTGCATCCCAGCTCCCAGCCTGGCCTACAACCAGCCTGGCATGTGCTACACCCTGGTCAGGATCCCCCAGGATGACCCCACTGCAGGTGAGAAATGGTGCCCCACAAATCCCTCAAATGAAGGTTTTGGGGAATGCCAGGAGGTGGGGGTGTGGGGTTTGGTTCATCCTGAGGTCCTTGGACTTTTCTGTGTGTGTGTGGTTTTAGTTTGAGCTGGCTGGAAATACTAATTTTGTGTAGTGGTTTTGGTTTGAGGAAGTGTTTGAAAATCCTTTTCCCCGTTTGCTGCTGCAGTTTGACTGCACAAACACCTTGAATGATCAGCTCCTGGAGAGAGTGACAGTGCAGATGGAGCCATCAGATGGTTATGATGTGATCTGCTGCATCCCAGCTCCCAGCCTGGCCTACAACCAGCCTGGCATGTGCTACACCCTGGTCAGGATCCCCCAGGATGACCCCACTGCAGGTGAGAAATGGTGCCCCACAAATCCCTCAAATGAAGGTTTTGGGGAATGCCAGGAGTTGAGGGTGTGGGGTTTGGCTCATCCTGAGGTCCTTGGACTTTTCTTTTCTGTGTGTGTGTGGTTTTAGTTTGAGCTGGCTGGAAATACTAATTTTGTGTAGTGGTTTTGGTTGGTTAACTTGAGATTTCATTAATTATAAGAGTTTTTGGTTATTGTATTAAAACATGTGGTGGGTTTTGGTGTTGGTAAATTATTAATTTATTTTTTGTTGTGAGCTAGGATTAGGAGAAAGGTAAAGTAGGTTTAAAACTTTAACTTGAGATGTCATTAATTATAAGATTTTTTGGTTATTGTATTAAAAAATGTGATGGGTTTTGGTGTTGGTTAGTTATTAATGAATTTATTTTTTCTTGTGAGCTAGGATTAGGAGAAAGGTAAAGTAGGTTTAAAACTTTAAAAGGTATCAAGAAAAATTTATTAACAGTAACTAAAATAAACTAATAAGAATTAGAATAAAATTTTTATAATGTTTTTTTTACATGTACAACTTCTCAGAAGTTCCACAAACTCTCAGTTACACAAAATCTTTTACATCACTTCCATACATACCTCCCATACAAAACCACCACACTGTGTCTCAGGTGCTGCTTTTTAGCAAAATGGTTTTTAGAAATAATCATTTAGCAAAATGGGTTTTATAAATAATCATTTAGCAAAATGGCTTTTGTAAATAATCATGTAGCAAAATGGTTTTTGTAAATAATCATTTAGCAAAATGATTTTTATAAATAATCAGTGGTGTTGGAGGATTAAAAATGGGATGTAAAAGAGGATTGCAGAGCATGCAGGTAATGGAAATTTGGATTTATGGCCTGGAGTCAATGGAAGGAACTCATTTAAAACCTTGGATGTTTTGTAGTGTTCAAGGACAGAACCACTGAAAGAAAAACGCAGGTAGAATAAAAATATTCCTAATTTGAGGCTTTATTTAATGGACTAATTAATTTTTTTCCTCTCTTTAGAGAATCAGAAACTACTACAAAATATAGGAATGAGATTTTCTTGGGTGTAAAATTTCCCTTTCTTTTCTTATTCTCACTTAAACACCACTGGGTTTACAGTTATTTAATGTGACTTATCAGTGGAGTGGATTTTTAAGTTATTTTAATAGCAGGGAAAATTAGAAATAATCTGAATTTGCTAAAATGTTGGTTTGGATGATATTCCATTTGTCAGAAATCCTCATGGAATTTTTCCTGGTGGCTGCTGCTGGATTTCATGGCAGCATTTGGAATCAGTGATTTGTTACCCCTGGAACTCTCCTGAGCTCCTCCTTTGGCCTTTATTTTAAAATCAAAGGAAAAAATGGTATTAAAGTGCTCTGTCCCAGCCACATCTGTATTCCTGGGGCAAAACTGATAGAATTGCAGTGTCTTTTTGGGAAGAGAGGGCTCCAGCAGAGGAATCTTCCACAATATCCAGGATTTCTGTCTCCTGCCAGTTGCTTGTACCTTCAGCTGCACCATGAAGTTCACGGTGCGGGACTGCGACCCCGGCACGGGGGTGCCAGAGGAGGATGGCTATGAGGATGAGTATGTGGTGAGTCCAGGATCTGCTCCCTATTCCCCACTCTCACTGATTTGGGATAATTGTGACCATTGGGTCAAGTTTCCTCTCAATCCTGAAACCAAGCAATGTGCCTGAAACAGCAAAATGTCATTTTCAGATCCTTCCCCAAAAGTTCATTTCTGTCAAAGTTTTAGTGCCCTGTGGAATGGAATTTGTGGGGACAGAGAAGAGGGAAGAAAGAAATAACTTCCATTTTCTGTTTTCAGAATTGTGCTGTGATCTTTCCACCCCAAACATTTGGGTTTTTGTTAACTAATGATAGGGATACAGTCAGATTTGAGGAAGCACTGGAGGAAATACAGGCTCCTCCTGGAGAGAGCTGGGAATGTGCCCCTGGAGAAGGGAAGGATCCAGGGAGAGCTTCCAGCACATTCCAGGGCCTGAAGGGGCTCCAGGAGAGCTGCAGAGGGACTGGGGACAAGGGATGGACAGGACACAGGGAATGGCTCCCAGTGCCAGAGGGCAGCCATGGATGGGATCTTGGCCATGAGGAATTCCTGGCTGGGCTGGAATTGCCAGAGCAGCTGGGGCTGCCCCTGCATCCCTGCAGTGCCCAAGGCCAGGCTGGACACTGGGGCTGGAGCAGCCTGGCACAGTGGCAGTGTCCCTGCCATGGCAGGGGGGGCACTGGATCATCTTCAAGATCCTTCCAACCCAAACCATCCTGGAATTCCATGGATTCTGAGGAAGTCTCTCCATGGAAGAAGCCCAGGAGGGGCTGTAAAGGGCTTTGACCCATCAAGTGATGGCCTCATTTCCTGCTCTCTTTAGTCTCACAGATGTTTTGTGTAAATATTTTTAAGGATTACAGATGAATAAAGAAATACTATTTATTTATTCATCATAAATACTATTTCCCCTCTTTTTAGAAGCTATCATTATATGGTTCTTCTGGAATTAAAACCAGGCATTGTCTTGGCAAAATGCTGCGGGCTCTTTTTCCCTTTCCAAGGTGAGGATTATTTCCACAACTGGCCTGAAAATTTCTCTTTTTTCCTCCCAGTTGGAAGACTTGGAGGTGACAGTGTCTGATCATCTCCAGAAGGTTCTAAAGCCCAACTTTGCAGCTGCCTGGGAAGAGGTGGGAGATGACTTTGAGAAAGAAGAAACCTTTGCACTCAGCTCCATCAAAACCCTGGATGGTGAGATAATCCCTCATTTATTGATCACCCAGCTGCCAGGCTGGGGTTTGATTTAGTGTAATAAATAATTACCTGGAGTGATTTTCTTCTTCAATCTCTGAATGCAGAAGCTGTCAATAACATCATCAAGTTCCTGGGCATGCAGCCCTGTGAGAGGTCAGATAAAGTGCCAGAAAACAAAAATTCTCACACCCTCTACTTGGCTGGTAAGTGTTCCTGCTGCTGATTTTCATGTTTCCATGTCTCCACTGATTTTTCTAAATGAAGGGAAATGGTTTAGGAGATCCTGCTTATACTTTGGGAGTTTTTTTCTCTGTAGCAAGAGGTTTTTTCTCTGAAGTGACCCAGTGTATTGAGTGCAGCTGGTCCTAACTTTGAGATCTCTGCCTTGGATGTGCTCAGGCCAAGCTTTTGGAATGGGGGAATTCCACCTGTGGGAATGGTGGAGAATCTCTGACTGGGGAGCTTCCAGAGCAGACAGAATTAAATCCCTTAAAAGCTTGAACTTGTCTCAGAAGGGTCTGGGAGGGTCTTGTTCTCAAGTTCCTGTTGCTAAAGACACATCCTGAGTTGCCCTGCAGCACCCACAACTTTTCCTAGAATCATGGGATGGTTTAGGTGGGAAAAGCCCTCTTGAGGTCGTTGGGTCCAACCATTCCCAGCACTGCCAAGGCCACCACTGCCCCTGTCCCCAAGTGCCACATCCAGGAGGCTTTGAAATCCCTCCAGGAATGGGGACTTCACCCCTGCCCTGGGCAGCTGTGCCAGGGCTGAACAGCCCTTTCCATGAAGGATTTTTTTCCCAAAATCCCCCTGAGCTCCCCTGGCCCAGGCTGAGGCCGTTCCCTCTCCTCCTGTCCCTGTTCCCTGGAGCACAGCCCGACCCCCCCGGCTGTCCCCTCCTGGCAGGGACTTGTGCAGAGCCACAAGGGCCCCCCTGAGCCTCCTTTGCTCCAGGCTCAGCCCCTTCCCAGCTCCCTCAGCCTTTCCTGGTTTTCCACACCCTTCCCAGCTCCCTCACCACTCTCCAGCCCCTCCAGGTCTCTCCTGTCCGGAGCTGTCCCCAGGATTCCAGGGTGTCCCTCAGGGGACATTATTGTGTGATTCTGTGACAGTCCCTGCCCTGAGGCTGGCACAGCCCAGGTGCCACTGGCCTCTTGCCCACCTGGAAATGTCCAACCACTGTCACCAGCACCCCCAGGGCCTGTCCCAGCTTTCCAACCTGGAGCATTCCATGGGATGTGAGCCACGTGCAGAACCTGCCTGGCTCAGGAGCCTCTCCAAAGTGACCTCTCCCTGTTGCTTTGTCCCAGGTGTGTACAGAGGTGGCTGTGACGTGCTGGTCAGGTCCAGGCTGGCACTTGGGGACGGTGTGACCATGCAGGTGACAGTCAGGAGCAAGGACGAGGCGTCCGTCGATGTCATCCTGGCTTCCGTGGGCTGAGACTTCCAGCAGTGCAGTTCCTGGAACTGCCCCTTTTTCCTGGCTGTCCTTCTGCATGGCATTTTTATTCCTCAATTTGGGAAATCTTTTCTATGATGTCCATTAGTGGCTGGCTGGTACTGAGCCATTCTTTCCCACGTCCTTTCCCTCGTTGTCACACCATTCCTACCTGACTTAGGGCATCTCAACCAGGGAAGATAAAAGATCTGAGAAAACTGAATCAGATTTTTGTCAAAATTGCTTTTTATTAACAGAAAATAAACACTGGTTCAAGTGGTGGAATTCATATGAATTACTGTTAATAAAATAGAATTTTTTTGTTCTAATTCTGTCTGCTCCTGTGCAGGAAAAATATCCCATAATGGCTGTTTATTAAGCAAAAACCCCTTATTCCTGAAGGGATGCCATTAAATTCCCAACATAAGCAGTTGAAAACCACCCAAACCTCCAAATCTGCACTATTTTTGTGACTGTCTCTTCTTCCACACAGAAAAATCAAAGTACAGAGAGAGATTAAACTCCATCTCTTGAGGCAGATTCAATTTTCTGAGCTTTATGTCAGGTAATAACCAAACCCCAGGGCAGCCCTTTCCTGGGTTCAAATTGGGGAAATTCCCATATGGATGGAGGGATTTTGTGAGGGAACTTCTGCCTCTCCCTGCTGATGAAGTGATTGTTTCTTCCCAAGTCAGGGTGATGAAGGAAGTAAGAAATTCTGATTTCATGTTAATTTAAACCTCTGCTGAGTTCAGCTGGGCAAGAAGGGGAGTGCAGGGCTGGAAGAGCTGTCAGAATCCTGCTTTTCCCCTCATTTTTACAGCTCTCCAAGGGTTTAACTCAATTTGACAGCCCAGGATCAGGGTTTGAGTGTTGGATTTGGGAGAGAAAATCACTATTTTTTCCTGCCCCCAAAGCCTGACTCTAAGCCAAGAGTGAGAATTGAGCTGCAGCAGCTCAGAAGGAGTTGATGAAGTTGAGATATGCATTCAGAAATCCCATGGGATCCTCCAGCTGGGGATAATGGCTGATGTGGTCATCCAGCACGGACACTGTGGACATGGGAAGCACCTTCCTGGTGGAAAAACAAAGCAAGGCTTAAGCACAGGAATTGCTGCACACAGCCAGGATTGTGCCCATTTTTGGGATAAAAAAAAGCCTGGAGCAGCTCCATCTGACCCCATCCAAGTGCTGGATTTCCTTCGGGTTACTTTGGAGGAGGAGACTTCCTCAGGAAACAAATCTTCCCTGTGTGGTTTTAAAATGGATCATGACTGAAAATGCAGAACCAATTTCCAAACTGCTCTGACTGAGCCACCTGGCTGTGCAGGTGCCAGTGGGAATTAAAAACATCCTCCTTGAGGATGGACTGGAAGGAATAGCCAGGAAAAATATCCCTTGGAATGAAGTCCCATTTTTGGCTTACTTGTAAAGCTGGAGGAACTCTGGGTGTGGATTCACAGGGTCCAGGGGCCCGTAGATGAGATGCACTGCAAGGGAAGCACAGACAGAGCTTTTATATCCATAAATTAATGGATTCATTAATTAGAACATCCCCAAGGAGACCTGCAGGAGTGTTCCCTCCTCACACAAAGCTTGGGAAGCTTACAGTGGAACACTGAACAAAACAGCTCTGGGCTTTTGCTGGGCTGCCCTGGGGTCAAGTCCAGCCTCCAACCCCCAAATTTTTCCCTGGTTCAAACTTTTTGGACTTGAAAACTCCTCAACTTCCTTGGAGCAGCACTTGGAGAACCAGCTGTGAACCAGGGAACGTTATCTCTGCTGCAAAACTGGCTTTGAGCTCAGGATAACGAGAGGCTGATGAGTGGAAAGGAGCCTGGAAGTGAGGGGAGCAATTCCCAAAAATCCCAAGCAGCAAAGGGATGGATTCCTACTCACGTGGGACTGAGGTAGACATCAAAGCCCCAACCCAGCGCTCTCTGTGCTTCTTCCTCTGGTTTATGTACTGCAAAATACTGAAGGAAAAGTTCTTGTTATGCAGTGGATGCTGCCCAGCCTGGAATTTCCTCCTGGGGCTGTGGGCACAATGAGATCCAGGTGGGATCTGCATCTCCTGTGGGAATCCAGCACCACACCATCATCCCTGGGCTCAGGGACTCTGTTCTTCCACTGGGGGAAGGGGAGATAAGGAGCTGAACTCAACCACCAGCACAGGAGCCTTCTAAGAGCCACAAACTGGAAGAAACACGTCCTTCCAAAATTGCCAAGCTGAAGATTTGGGATTGGGACTTCTGGGAATGACCCAGAAGGTTCAAATCCAGAGGTAAATCTCCACACATCTCAAATCCAACTCCAACCTTGCATCATCCCGGAGAATCCCTACTCCATCACCCCCTCCCCAGGCTCTTTCTTAGGATGTCATGTTGATTCCAGACTCCAAAAGCAGCAGCTGGAAGTTCTGGAGAGGCTGGCTGAGCTCTGGGAACCTCAGAGCAGATGTGACATGCAGCTCATGCAGGAATTCATGCCGAGGTACCTGTCCATGACGAGATTCCCATCGTTATTGCGCACTGCTGTCCACATATCCCAGAATTCCGCCTGGGAGGGCTGAGTGTAGGGCCCAAAAACTGCCCTGAGCCTGAAAAACAAGGGAATTTGGAGAGACATGGCAGCAGCTGTGTCAGGGAACCACTCAAAAACTACTCGAGGGCAAAAAATTCCAACACTTCCAGTTTCCAGTGGAAACTCCCAAGTGCCGAGATGTTCCCCAGATAAGTTGGGATAAGTGTTGGATGGCCTCAAAGGGCTTTTTTGGGGGAAAAAATGGGGTTTTAACACTGCTAAAAATATAAAAATTTGATTGTGCAGGGGCTTTGTTGCCTCTGAAATGTGTAATTCCAACACTTGTGGAGAGAAGGATTCCAGTGTCCAGGGAAAAAGTTGTTTGGTTTATTGTTAAACTGATGTGCTTGGCCACTGTGCAGAGGGAATGGTCCAGATGTGAATCCCACCTCTCCAGGGCCAGTGCCAGGGAATCTGCTCCCTGCCAAACCCTGATTTATGGAATCATGGAATGGTTTGGGTTGGAAGGGAATTTAAGGATCGTTCACTCCCGCCCCCTGCCATGGCAGGGACACCTCCCACTATCCCAGGGCGCTCCAACCTGGCCTTGGACACTTCCAGGCATCCAGGGGCAGCCCCAGCTGCTCTGGGAATTCTATTCCAGGGTCTCCCCACCCTCCCAGCCAAAAATTCCTTCTCATTCCTGCATTTCCCCTTTCCCACTTGGTTCACATCCTTACGGATTGTGCCCAGCACCCCCGAGACCCGACTCACCCTCCGGAGAAGAAGAAGAAGTTCATCAGCCGCAGGAGGAGGGGGGACAGCAGCCCCCCATCCTTGAGGAGCTTGGGAAGAAGGGAAAAAGGAGGGAGCACAGCTCGGCATGGACACACGGATAAATCCATGGAGAGCTGTTCCCATGATGCCTTGAGTGTGTCCGTGGGGTGTGACAGCAGCTCTCCAAGGGGTGTTTATTTGGGATTTTGGGATTCAGTATGACTGGAGAGGGGAGCAGCTCACCTTCTGGATGAAGCGGGGGTAGTTTGTTTCGGGAAAAATCCCTGGAAGGACAGCAAAGAACGGAGCTGTAAGGCTGGGAGGGCTTTGCTGCACATCTCCCAGGCTGTCCCCGTTCATGGTGCCGTGAGAGCGGCCCAGGGAGCCCCAGGATTGCTGCTCCTGGTTAATTACAGCACCTTGATTGCAGTCCTTGGGATGTGGGTGATGGAGATGGGAAAGCCAATCCATCCCATGGGTCCCCATCCCATGGGTTCCCATCCAATGGATCCCTATCCAGTGGATCCCCATCCCATGGATACCCATCCCATGGATACCAATCCCATGGGTCCCCATCCCATGGGTTCCCATCCAATGGATCCCTATCCAGTGGATCCCCATCCCATGGGTCCCCATCCCATGGATACCAATCCCATGGGTCCCCATCCCATGGGTTCCCATCCAATGGATCCCTATCCAGTGGATCCCCATCTCATGGATCCCCATCCCGTGGATCCCCATCCCATGCGTTCCCATCTCATGGATCCCAATCCTATGGGTTCCCATTCCTATGGGTTCCCATCCCATGGAACCCCATCCCATGGGTTCCTATCCCATGGATTCCTATCCCATGGATACCAATCCCATGGATTCACATCCCATGGATCCCCTTCCTATGGATCCCAATCCCATGGGTTCCCATCCCATGGATCCAAATCCCATGGATCCCAATCCCATGGGTTCCCATCCCATAGATCCCCATCCCACCCTGGACAAACCTTACCTCCGTTGGACAAACAGAGGCTGTTGATCAGGATGCTTCCAGTTTTGTTGTGCTCATACCTGGGGACAGCAGAGAAGAAGGTGAAACACAACCAAACCTCTGCGGGCTCCAAGAAATGACCAAGAAATGCTCAAGAAATTTGAGCAGGAGCTCAAATTGTGTCATTGATCATCTCCATTTCCTTTGGGAACTGGAGGGGTGGAAGCCTTGGATGTGCCCTGAGACACCTCAGGCACAAGGAAAAGGGAATTCAGCCCCACATCTGCTTATCTGCTGGAAATCATCTTGGTTGGAGACAACAAAGGGCAGGAGGGGTGGCAGGGACCTGTGGAGCAGCTCCTGGGCCACCGTGTCCCCGTAGTCGTGGGACAGGAGGTTGATCCGCTGGTGCCGGAGCCCGAGGTGTCGCAGCAGCCCCTCCACGATGGTGGCCTGCTCGAAGATGGAGTAGCCATGGGGCCTCTGCAAAAGTGGGAGAGGGGTCCCAGTGAGAGCCAGCAGGAGCCCACAGATTCCAGAAGAAATGCCCCAAGGGAGGAATGTGGAAATATGGAATATGGAAACAGCAGCTTGTGAGCCCGGACTCAGCGGTTGGGGTGTCCTGAGATGTCCACAAGGCCATGGGAGCATTGTCCATGCTCCAGAGGGGTGTAGGTGCATTTTGGAGTCCCACCAAACCCATCCACCACAACTTGTGGACATCTCAGGATGTCCACATCATGGACAGCATTGTCCATGCTCCAGAGGGGTCAAGGTGCATTTTGGAGTCCCACCAAACCCATCCACCACAAACCTTCCCTATCCCTTCCACTGTTGTAATGACTTATCTCTTTTCCGGAGGTAAATGGGAGGAGAAAAAACAATTTTTCTCCTGGATGGCAAAAAATAATTTTCTGGAGCGCTGGGCTGAAAACAACCATGAAAATCCTCATGCCAGGGTACTCACAGGCTTGTCACTGAATCCAAATCCGAGGAAATCCAGGGCAATCACCCGGTGGAAGCGCTGGGTCAGCCCTTCCCAGATCTGGGAAGAGGAGAAATGCATTGAAAAAGCATTCAGTGGGAGCAGAGGATGGAAACATCTACAGGGATCAGCAGCCATGGATGGACGTGCTCCTCCCCACCACCCCAGAGAACATTCCAGCTCCAAGAAAACAGCAGCAGGTCAAAATTCCCCAATAAACAGCCACACCATCCCCCAAAAAAAGCCAAGGAATTGTTGTGGCTGTTTTCCTGGACTGTGGGATGTGGAAAGAGCTTGGATTTCACACTGGGAGAGGAACAAGGTGGTACCTCCAGCAGGAATCAGGAATTCTCCTCTGGAGCATGGCCCACCCCTGCTGTGCTGCCTGCTCATCCCCAGGAGCTGAAAATCCTGGGATTTGCTGTCAGCTTCCAGCCCCCTCACCTTGTTCCAGTCGTAGCTGGACGTCGGGAAGCCGTGCAGGAGCACCACGACGTCCGAGCTGCCGACGGCGCCGCTGGAATCTGTGAGGAGAACGGGACACCCCAGAGTCAGCTCTTCCCAAAATTCCTCCTTTCTAGGATGGGAATTACTCATCCCACTGGGAATCCACCTCTCCCTCTGCTCCCCAAAACCTAGGATGGGTTTGAGTCTCACCACAGCTTCCCTTCGGAAACCTCACCGGCCAATCCAGGGATTGATTTCAAACTGATTGATTTTAAATCAATTGATAAAGGGATTTAATTAGCCCAAATTAATTCCAGCAGCCTCTGTGCTGCTGCAAAAAGGGTTTCCAGTGTCTTTTCCATGTTGGCATCCGTGGGAGGATCTTGGTATCCTTCCCACCAAGGAACAAGAACCAACTTTCCCCAGTGAAATGTTCTGACCCATCCCTGGTGGATCCAGGAGGGATTCGTCACCACCTGGCCCAGGTTTAGGAACGTCCCCATGGCCACGAGGGATGGGTGGCTCTGTCACCTCTGTAGAAGACGTTCAGGTCCTTGTAGGTGAAGAAGCTCCCGGAGGATTTCCAGGAGCGGAGCGCCGGGGAAAGCTGTGGGGGTGGGATGTGCAGGTACACGGCGAGGAGGGGCACGCCCAGCAGCCCCACCTGCAGCCACCACTCCTTCATCCTGGGGGACACCGCGGGACACCGGGGTCACCCCGAGCTCCGCACTGCCACTGAGCTCCCCGGGGTCCCCATAACCCACCTCCACATCCCCAAAAGTCCCCCTTTCCTATAACCCCTTTCCATGTCCCCAAACTCCCCCATTCCCAGAACCTGCATGTTCCTAAAACTCCCCCATTCCCAGAACCCACCTTCATGTCCCCAAAAATCTCCCATTCCCAGAACCCCTTTCCATGTCCCCAAACTCCCCCATTCCCAGAATCTGCATGTTCCTAAAACTCCCCCATTCCCAGAACCCACCTTCATATCCCCAAAAATCTCCCATTCCCAGAACCCCTTTCCATGTCCCCAAACTCCCCCATTCCCAGAACCTTCATGTCCCCAAAACTCTGCCATTCCCAGAACCCCTTTCATGTCCCCAAACTCCCCCATTCCCAGAACCCACCTTCATGTCCCCAAAAATCTCCCATTCCCAGAACCCCTTTCCATGTCCCCAAAACTCCCCCATTCCCAGAACCCCTTTCCATGTCCCCAAACTCCCCCATTCCCAGAACCTGCATGTTCCTAAAACTCCCCCATTCCCAGAACCCACCTTCATGTCCCCAAAACTCTGCCATTCCCAGAACCCCTTTCCATGTCCCCAAAACTCTGCCATTCCCAGAACCCCTTTCCATGTCCCCAAACTCCCCCATTCCCAGAACCTGCATGTCCCCAGGGTGGCAGATCCAGCAAATGTTTGGGGTCTGAGAGGGAAGGTCAGTCTCATTTGGGGTCTGAGGGGGACTGTGAGGACATTTGGGGTTTGAGGGAGAACAAGGGTCCACTGTGGGGTCTGAGGGGGACGGTGGATCCATAAGGGGTCTGAAGGGGGGCTGTGGACTCATGGGGTTCTGAGAAGGGGCATGACCCCACTAAGAGTCCACAGGGGACATTGGGGGGACTTGGAGGGCCATGGGCTCATTGGGGGGGCTTCAGTGGGGCCATGGGGACATTGGGGGGCTTCAGTGGGGCCATGGCGCCGCTCTCACCTGCTCTCAGGTGCTGCCGCGGGCGCGCGCCGCCATCGCGCTCTCCCGGCGGGGCGTGGCGCGGCCGGGGAGGCGTGGCCTCCTCCCCCGCGCACGCGCAGTTCCCTCCTTCCCCCTTTTCCCCGCCGCTTCCCTCCCGCCGCGTCCCTCCCGTTGCCGGGCGACGCGCGCGCTCCCCGCCGCGCGGGCTGTGATTGGCTGCGGGCGCGGCGGGCGGCCAATGGCGGCGGGCGTAGTTGCGGGGTGGGCGGGAGGCGGGAGCGCGGCCGCGCGTGAGGGACGGGCGGAGCGGGCGAGCGGCCGTGAGGGGAGATGTCGGCTCGGGGCGGCTTCGGCGACCCCCAGGTGCCGTGAGGGGCTTTCCCTTCTCAACACCCTCCGGGCAGCGAGGGGGGACACGGGGCGGGGCCGCGGGGATGGTTCGGGCAGCCCCCGGAGCCGGGAGAGCTCCGCGAGGGGAGAAAACGGGAGAAATTCTCCTTTCGAGGCTTTAAATCGGCGGGGATTTAAATTGAATACCGAGATGGGCATTCAGGAATTGCTCCCTCGTTTTTCTGTCTCTGAAAGCCCTTCAAATCGCGTTTTCTGCTAATTTTATTGCTTTTTTTAATTTATTTTTTTTAATTTTGGCTTCTCGTCTTTTCCATTTTGAAACAGCTTCTGACCCGGCGCATCCCCTCGAATCCCAAGTATCAACATATAAAAACTCGTCTGGATACCGGTAAGTGAAATTGCTGTGGGGTAAAACCACCCAAAATTGGGGTTGGATGACAGAAAAATAGAATTAATGTCATAATTACCTCTGCCCGCAGCTAATTCATCCTAACACTGCAGAATCCTTATTGTGGTTATGGTTTGTCTCACCAAATATTATAAAAATTATATAGATTTCCTATTTACAATTATGAAAACTTTAAAATTTTCCTATTTACAATTTCCCTTCAAACCTGAAATTCAAACAAGCACGAATTATACAGATTTATGTGTATTTCTATATTTTTTAATGTATTTATATATATTTATCCTCACACACCACCGTGCACCCCCCTGAAAATTGACATTAAATGCTCTGACCACGTGTTTGAAGCCTTTATTGTCTTCAAACTTGTTTATTTTTTTTTTCTCCTCTTGTTTTTAAAGAAGAATTTGGGGGTTAAATGGGTTTCAAATGGGTCTGTTGTGCTGGTTCCCATAGAAATTACTGCTCTTGGAATTTCTGTCCATGGACTTGCCCTCTATCTTATCAAGGGTGTGAGCCAAGATCATTCTTTGGGGGTGTCTTTGTGGGGTTTTTTTAATTGTTAAAGCGGCTGAATTTTATCCAGTAGCATTGTCTTGTAGCCTCCTCACCAAAATGTTGGGAAAGGAACAGCAGATCCTTGGATTTTTTTCTGTTTAATTCTACTTCCCTTGAGAGAAAAGAGGAAAATTGTGGCATTTTTGTACCTTTTGTTGCCCCTGGGAAGGAGGATCTGCAGCAAACAGCTGTTCCCTTCAAAGCAATTCAAATTTAATGGGCCTGAAGAAAATAAATAATTGTAATAAATTGATTTTTTTTTTCTTGTTGTTACAGGAAATAGTCTGTCAAAATACATGGAAAAATTGGAAGAGATCAAAAGAAGTGAGTAGCTGGGGAGGAGCAGGATGGGTTAAAAATGGCTTGGTTCAAAACTCCAAGAGCAGGAGATGAATTCCGGGAGCTTTTCCTTGGAAATCTCCACAGATTTAATTTAAAAATCCAAGCAGGATTCTTCCAGATCCTTCTTTGTTGTTGGGTTTTGTTATTGGGAGCTCTCTGAGCTAAGAAATCCAGGCTAGACTGATCTGGGAAGATTTATGGATCATTTCTGGGACTTTTATTTCACTTTTAGGTCACAACTTGAGCTCTTTTATTTTCATATAATTTAAATTCCTATCTAAATACCCCAAGACAGGAAAAAACCAAGCTCATTCCTTGTGTTTCCATTGATTTCACCAGCACTAAACATTGGTATTTTGAAGCCTTTATGTTGTTCACACTAACGAAGGCCCAAATTATTTTTATTTTCCCACCACAACCAGGCTTTTCAAAGAATTTTTCCCAATCAAACCAGTGATTTATGACTTTACTCCCAGATTATTCTCCCATAAAGAGCCAGGAAAGCTCTTCAACCTCAAAGCTGCATTTGTGGAGGTGAAAAAAACCCCTGAATTGAGCTGAAAGCTGCCTTAACGAGGGTTTGAAACGTTCAGGTTTGGTTCTCAGCCCCACTTTATCTGTGCAAAACGAGCCTTTGTTCCTGCCTTCTTTGTTGGGTTTGGGCTGGTTTTTTTCCAAACACTGCAGGTCTTTTTTGGGGGAAAATGAAAGAGGAATGACCTTGAGCTTTCCAGAATGCTCTGTTGACTGAGATTTCAGTGCTGGACACTGCCTTGCTTTTCATTTGTGTTGAAAATCTTGTTTTTTGTGCCTTCCCAATCTCGCCGCGGATCTGTTCCACGCCGTTCTTTTATTCCCTCCTCTCTTTTAATTTTTTTTGTTTTTTTTTGGAGGCCAGGGAGGAACTTTCTCATTCTCTGCAGCCTGAATGGCCACGTTGTGTTCCCAGGGAGTGGAGGAAGTTCTCCCCCTGGGTTTCTCAGGGATAGATGACACCCTTTGGATGCAGATTCAAATCCCCAGCACAGGCACCTCTCTGTCCCTTATGTAACGTGAGAGATTTAAACCCGCGCCATCAAAAATCAAAGAGCTGCACCCACCACCACCCATCCTTTGGAGCATTGATTGGCTTGAGGACACCCAGGAGGTCTCTTGCTTCTCTCTGCTGTTGTTTCCCTCCTCTCCAAAAGGAGCCCATCCTTGGAAAACAGAATCATTCCAAGCAAAACCATGTCAGAAAATTCCAACGCATCCGCCAGGACCGGACCGGGTACGTGGGGTTGCTTTTGGAGCTGGAAGCAGCACTTGTGAGCTCTCTGGGGAGGCATTTGGGGTGGCAAAGGCAACATCTAAGGCAAAGAGGGTTTTTTTGGGGTAAAAAGTCCCTGTTTGAGGTGGGAAGGAGCCATCCAGGAGCTGCATCGTTTGCAGCGGTTCTGCTTCGTTTTTATCCATCCAGCACTTCCCGGGCTTTGCTGCTTTTATTTGTCCTTCTAAATGAAATTTGTTTGCCATGACAGAAAGGCTCTTTTTTGCCCTTTGCTGGGCAATTTTAATCCTTGAGCAGATGAAACAGGAAATAATTACAGGAGATAATTGTTGCTGGGGTTTTTTGGAGTTAAAGGGAGATTTAACAACCTCAGCTGAGGTTGAAAATCAGGTGGTTTTGCAAGAACCACGAGGCTCATTTCCCATTTAACTGCCATCCTGAAATTCAGTTTCTGCACCTCCTCATCCTCCAGTCCATTTTCTGCCCCTCCTGTGCTTCAGCCCCGTGGTTTGGATGTGCAGTGGATATTTTGGAAGGGCTCCTTTTTTCCTAGGACAATTTATGAGGAGCAAAGAGGTGCTTTTTTTTTCTTTTTTTTTTTTTTTTTTTTTTTTGCAAAACGTCAAATGATTTAGGGTAGGGTGTTGAATTTGGGAACTCTGAATGTGTTGGGAAAGGATCTCAGCCTCCAGCATTCCCGTGGCTCTCTAAACACAATTCAGCTGGAGAATCTCCATAAGCAAATCCCACAGGAATTTTTTTGTGTGGTGGCTGCAGGAACGTGCATGGGAGCCCTTCCCCCTTTTCCCTCATCTCCCCTAAGCTGATGGAGCATCCAGCAGATGGTTTTAGAGGATTTAGGATCCTTGAACTGAGTGGATTTGCCAGAGATCCTGAGCTCCATTGTTATCCCTGGACAGCTGGAGAGGGAGCAGCTCCTTCCCAGCCCTGCATGTCCCAAAGGACAAAGCTCCCATTGCTTCCCAGGACAGCTTACTCCATATCAAGATGTTCCTGCTGATACCCATCCTGGCTTCTCTTTCCTCCTCCCCACACCTTTTGTTTCACTCCAGGAGGTTTTTCCCTTCCTCTGCAGGATGGGATCAGGCTCCCACCTTGGCTCTGGGAATCTCTGCTCCGGATCTTTGCCAGCAGCCCTGCTCGGTTTTCTTCCTCTTTAAGCTGTGGCTTCAGGATTAAGATTCAATTAGGCCAGTTTCTTGTATTAATTACCCATTAAGACTCAATTAGTCCAGTTTCTTCTGTCAGTTATCTGTTTCTGGAGACATCCATGTCAGCAAATGGAAGAAATCAGAATTTAATTGCCAGATAAAGTACAAAATCTTGAATTTTTGAACTGTTAAGATGAAACCTGCGTGTTTAGCTTGGTATTTGCAAAGACACGATGCCCCGTGCTCTGATACTGCTGTAATTTACACAAATTAAAAATTAAGGTAAATTAATCTTTTGGTTTAAGGAGCTTTGTGACTCCAATGGGCTCCAAAGAACAGCAGGGAAAGGGGGAATTCCTGAACTGCTTCCTGCCTCAGCACCATGGAAAACATAACTTCATGTTTGAGTCTAAAAGCAACTAAACCTGCCTCTTCCACTTCATCATATCTGGACAAGATCTCTCTTTATAACTGGTGTTAATTAAAATCTCTCTTCATGTCTGGGATTAATTAAACCTTCTCTTTATAACTGGCATTTCACAAAGTCTCCAGGTTTGCTGCTCTCTTGCTTCAGCACAAACCTGCCCTGAATTCCTGCCTGGCTGCAGAAGAGTCTTGGAGAAAAGCTGGGATTAAGCCATGACCTGTGTGGTGTCTAAAAAACTGGGAATGGACTGAAAATTTACCTTTGTTTTGTTTTTGTAGATTACAGGTATAAAAAGGATGAGCTGTTTAAGAGGCTGAAGGTGACAACTTTTGCTCAGTTGGTACGTACAGATCCCTCTCTGGCCTCCAAAATCTTTTAGGAGCAGCATTTTTCCTTGGAATAAAAATTCCTCTGTCATTTTTTAGCTTTAGTTGTAATTATTCTGTCTTGGCTTCTTCCTGCTTTTAATGAAAACAAATAATTCATTTCCACAGTGGTCAAATGCCTTTAATTACAAATTAAAGTTTGTGGTGACTCCATCTTTGAAATTTGTTCCTTATTTGATTTGTCTATTAACTTAAAAGGATTTTCAAGCATCTTGCAAAAGAAAAAGGCTGTGTAAAACAGCACCTAAATCTGAATTTTGTGTCTGCAGCCCTCCCTGACCCCAGGTTTAACTGCAGAGAGTGAGGGCTTGGGACTTCAAGGCTTTCTGTGCATTATTTTATTTTAAAGCAGTGAATCATCATATTTAAAAAATTAAAAATTGTTTAGGAAATAAAGAGCTGGGGAGTGCTGGTTCAAGAAAACTGCTTCAAACTAGGAAAAAAATCCCCAAATTGTCTTCTCAGGGGAGAAGGAAAGGGAAGGTTAAACTCGGGGATGTGAAGAGTGGGATTCTGCAGACTGGGGATTTTTTTTTTTCCCTGGATTGTTTTCCTTGAGCTGTGGGGATCAATGTCTGCTTGTTTTTTGTGCCCTGCAGGTTCTCCAGGTGGCCTCTCTGTCCAATGAAACCTTAGAAGTGCCCAACGAGGAGCTGCACGAGCTGCAAGGTGACAGCACTGGTGGCAGGGACAGAGGGGGACAGCTGGGGCTCACTGCCAGGCCGTGGAGTGGCAGAGCTGCTGTCACATTTGTGGGGTTTTTAGATGAAGGAAGAAATGATGAATCTATGTTCTTAGAAGGCTAATTTATTATTTTAAGATAATATATTAAGGAATGCTGTACTAAACTATACTAAAGAATACAGAAAGGATACAGACAGAAGGCTAAAAGATAATAATGAAAATTCATGGCTCTCTCCAGAGCCTCAACACAGCTTGGCCATAACTGACCAAAGAGTCAAAACAATTCACATGAAACAATCTCCAACCACATTCCAAAGCAGCAAAACACAGGAGAAGCAAATGAGATAATATTGTTTTCCTTTTTCTCAGAGGCTTCTCAGCTTCCCAGGAGGAAAATCCTGGGCAAAGGGATTTTTCCAGAAAATGTGACTGCCACAAGCTGGCACTGCAGCAGGGTTTAATCAGGAGGAGAAATGGAAAAATAAAACTTCACCTGTGGCCTGGGAGTAGAAACACTCCTAAAAAAAGAAAGTTTGCAAGTAAGAAAGGCCTCGTGCTGGCAGTAACATAACCCACATCAAAAATTCAGTTTTATTGACTTCTTCAAATGGCAGCTCAAGCCCTAAAAAAATCTGTTGGCTCTTTATTATTTTAAATAAGGAGGCTCTGGGTAAATTCTCCTGGTTAAGAGGATGAAGATAAAGCTGTCACACTTTTCTTTCCAGGAATAGAAACTGCCCTTAAAACCTGCTTGTTTACCTCCTGCAGCTCCTTATCTCCTGGTGGCCTCTTCTCTCCCCAGATGCTGGTGCTGCAGGTGACGATGCAGCGGGGACAAATGGCAAAGGGAGCCCTGAGGGGACAGCCAGCCCTGTCCTGTTCCTGAACAACCCGGGAGCCGGGGAATCCCTTCGCTCCACGCTGCAGAGGTGCCTCACATTAACTCCATTTTCTTCCTGCCTTAGCTGCTGATGTTAAATTGCTGCTAAGTGCTTTTATCCTGTATTTCTCATTAAAGCTTGGGTTTGTAGGTGAGGGGGAGGGGATTGGCAGGATTTGCTGTTGGAATGGGTTTGGATTAAACAGCAACCCGACGTTGTTGTCACTCGATGATGGTCTGACAAGGAAATGTGTTTGTGGGATTCCATCCAGGCTGCCACGTTCCAGAATTTTGGGGATAACACAGTGCTCTGGTCAACTCAGTCGTGTGCATTCCTGTTGGTGATGGTTTTGTATGGATATGGAGGGACAGGACACAGGGAATGGCTTCAGAGTGACACAGGGATATTGGGAAGGAATTCCTGGCTGGGATGGTGGACAGGGGCTGGAATAGAATTCCCAGTGAAGCTGGAGCTGCCCCTGGATCCCTGTCAATGTCCAAGGCTGGGCTGGACAGGGCTTGGAGCACCCTGGGATAGTGGGAGGTGTCCCTGCCCGTGGCAGGGGGTGGAATGAGATCCTTAAGGTCCCTTCCCACCCACACCATTCTGGGACTGAGAACAATTCCAAACCCACCATGTGAAGGGATCCCAGGATGGTGCTGGAAGAAGAAGCTTCATCCCAGCTCTTCCCCAGCCTGGGAAGTGGTGGAGAGACACAAAAGCATTCCTCCACCCGCCATTCCCTTTGCAGTGTGATCAGTGGGGTTGGGGAGCTGGACGTGGAGAAGGATTCTCCAAAGAAGGAGGACGGCCAGGCCAAGGAGAGGCCTTATCCCGACTGCCCGTTCCTGCTGCTGGACGTGCGGGACCGCGACGCCTACGAGCAGTGCCACATCGTGGGAGGTGAGCAGCACGGACTGCGGCTCTGGGCCACGTCCCTGCTGGAGTTTGTCCCCCCCTGGGACATCACTGGGTGTTCCCAGTGCTTCCCCAGCACATCCCTCCTTCCTGGGAGGGGATGAGGGGCCTGAGCTGTTGTTGATGCCATACTCGGTGGGTTCTCAAGGCTGTTGGATGATTTTCCCTCTTTTTTTCCTTTCTGCAGCTTATTCCTATCCCATTGCAACGTTGTCTAGAACCATGAATCCCTATACAAATAATATTCTGGAATATGTATCCTTTACGTGGGAACGTGGAGGGATGTTGGTGGGAGCTCCCAAAATCAATTGGAGCTTATCCAAGCAAAGTTAGGGATCTCAGAAAGGGTGGGACAGGAGGTGGAGTTACCTGGTGCAGCTCCACTGCCCCCATCAGATGCTGGATTCTGCTTCCTCAAGGTTCCTCTTGACTCCAGTGGGAGCTGCCTGGATTTGGCATTTTCCAGGATTTTGGCTGCTGGAAGGCCGAGGCAGACTTGGGCACTGCTGTCCTGCTGCTGCTCCAGGGATGCATCCATCAAATCCTTTGGCTTCCTGTCAGCACCTTGATGGGATTGGGGACAGACAGGATTATTAAATGGGATTAGGCTGATCATTCCCAGGCTGTTGATTCTGAGGGGAGGTTGTAAACAAAGGGGCTGTTGCCATTCCCAGTCTTCAAGCACTGCTGGATGCAGTGGGAATTAAGCTGTGTCTGGCAAGCCTCAGCCACTGAGAATTCCACAGGGAGAACATTCCTGCTTGCAAGCCAAGTATGGAGTCTTTCCCTCCCCAATCCCATTAGTCTCTTTTGCTTCCTAAAATGTTTCAATATCCTCTTTAAGTTCAACAGTGACTCCTTAACAATTCCCATGGCAGAAAAACGCCCATGGAAAAATCATCATCGTGTACGACAACGACGAGCGCTTGGCGAGCCAGGCGGCCACCACCATGTGTGAGAGGGGCTTCGAGAACCTCTTCATGTTATCTGGGGGTACGTGGGGCTGGGAGAGCTCCCCCAGACCTCCTGGGGAAAAGGGAGAGTGGGGAGCAGTGTATGGAAGCTGGAGATGGGAAAGGTCTGGGTTGTGGAATCACGGGATGGTTTGGGTTGGAAGGAAACTGATGGATCATCCAATTCTAACCCCATGCCATGGCAGGGACACTGCCACTGTCCCAGGCTGCTCCAGCCCCAGTGTCCAGCCTGGCCTTGGACACTGCAGGGATGCAGGGGCAGCCCCAGCTGCTCTGGCAATTCCAGCCCAGCCAGGAATTCCTCATGGCCAAGATCCCATCCATGGCTGCCCTCTGGCAGGGGAGCCATTCCCTGTGTCCTGTCCCTGCAGGCCTTGTCCCCAGTCCCTCTCCAGCTCTCCTGGAGCCCCTCCAGGCCCTGGCAGGGGCTCTGAGCTCTCCCTGGACCCTTCCCTTTTCCAGGGGAACATTCCCAGCTCTGGGAGCATCTCCACAGCCATCCTCTGGGCTCTTTCCAGCACCTCCACTTCCTCCTGCTGTTGTCCCCAGAGTTGGACTCCATGTCACCTGAGCAGGGCACAGGGACAGAGTTCCCCCCTCTCCTGCTACCCACATTTCTCCATCCAAACTTTGGACCCCCAAGTCCATGAATCCCTCGTGACTGGTCCCTCCTGACCCATCCAGCTGGGATAACAGCTGCTCTGTGTCCCTGCAGGCCTCAAGGTCCTTGCCCAGAAGATCCCAGAGGGGTTGATCACCGGCACGCTCCCCGTGTCCTGCCAGGTGGCAGCTCCCACGGGAACTGCCCGGAGGAGAACGACCCCCAGGGTGCCACCCACGCGTGCGGAGAACAAATGGAGGTTTTCTGCAGATGACCTGCAGAAGTTAAGGCATTACCTGGCTGAGGAGCAGATTCCTTCAGACACTGCCAGTAAGAGTCCAGTGCTGCCTTTTTGGGCTTGCCTAGGAACAGAGGCCAGGCTGATGCCTCAGGGTTTGGCTTTTCTATTTTTCACATTCTGAGCTGCTTTAGTGTGTGGGTCTGGGCTTCATATTATGGGATGGTGAGCTCTGTGCACAGAGCAGGGAGACAAAACAATTCCTGCTCCAGCTGGGCACCAAGGACAAATGATCCAAATCTCAGGCCAGGAGCACAAACCCCGTGGGCTGCAGAGAGAAAAACAAGCAGGATGGGAGTGCAGGGGCTGAGCTGGAATTGGACACTGAACTGCAATGTGCACATGGAGCAGAGCTGATCCCAGGGAGAGACCCCGGGAGCGCTCGTGCATTTTGGGACCATTTGGGTTCATCTTGGGGGCAGCCCTGGCTGGGCTCTTGTGCTGCCCCAGGGGCATCCATGCAGGAGATCCTTTCAATCCATCCCTGCTTTATTCTGGAACTCTGTCTAGTCTCTGTTCTAGCTCAGCCTTCACAAGGCATCGAGGCAAAGTTAAAAGAATGAAAGGGGATATATTTAATGAAGTATCTTCAGGTACATTAAGGGCAGCTGAAGTTAATTGACCTTTTATGTGGAGTTTAGTCATGCACTAATACAGTGCAGGATTTGAAAAATATAAAAGCTAAAATTCTAAGGCATTACCAGAACGTGCTTCAACCTCATCATGGAATGTTTGGGTGGGAAGGGACCTCAAACCCCATCCGTCCCACCATGGACAGGGACACCTTCCCCTATCCCAGGTTGCTCCAAGCCCATCCAACCTGGCTGGGCACATCCAGGGATGGGGCAGCCACAACTTGTGGACAGCCAGTTTGTGATTTTGGGTTGTTTTCCCCGCAGGCCGCCTTACCCGGGGTGTTTCAGGCCGCGATTCCAAGCTCTCATCCGTGAGGAGCAACCCCAGCCTCCCCAGCACTGCTCGCACCGTGGGATCCCTGAGCAGCCGCTCCCACAGCAGGACCAGCATCCAGAACAGGCCCTGGAAATAAAGGAGTATCCAGGTTTTGGGAATCCTGAGCAGTGAGGCCCCTTTGTGGTTTTAGGAATCGGCAGGGAAAAGCAGCCCTGGTGAGAATTGGCAGCTCGGGTAAGGCTGGGCAGCTGGGATGATGTTTCCTAAAAGCAGGAATGGCATCGCTTGGGGTGCAGGGCACAACAGAGGTGATAGAACTGGTTTTGTAGGGGAGGGAGAAAAGTCCTAGTAAAGGCTGGCACCAGTAGAAACTGTTCCACAAAGTTTTTAGTCCAGCTGAAGGAATTTGTGTCCATAAATTCCTGGGCCATGCCTGGAGCTATGAGGGTGAACAGGCCACATATCATCTGTGAGCACGAACTTTGGTGGTTTTAGCAGAGATAAAGACACTCAGCAACTTGCCAAAAGTGAGAGAAGATCCTGGAAGGGTTGTTTGTTGGGTTTTTTTAAAAATAAATTATGATAATGAACAGAAGTATTTGTAATAAAGATGTTTTTTATTGCCCAGTTGGTGCTGTGACAGTCATGCTTGCTCATGGACACTTTGTCAATAGTTGTGTCTTTTTCAAGGTGAGCTGGAGGAGAATAAGGAATTTTTTTTCCCAATGACTCCTTTGCCAGTGGTTTTTTAGGAATTTCTTTAAGGTTTAGGGTGGCTGAAGGAAAATTTGCTGCTGCTGCCTCACCAGGGTCCCTAAAACCCAGCAGGGCCCTGGAATCAGAACTGAACAAGGTGAAGGTTTCCTGGAAAGTGAGTAGCACAGTGTTCCTTGAATTGGTGCTTCTGGATAACCTGGGAATCCTCTGAATTTCCTGAGCTGCCTATGGGACACCTGGGAGGGGATTTTGGGGGGATTCTGCTCTCCAGATTTTCCATCTGGCATTGCTGAGCCTGCTCCTGATTTGGTTATCGTGGTCTTGTGGGGTTTGTGTGTATTTTTTCCCCCTTTTTGAAGCAGACAATCTTCAACACATCCCAAAACTCACTGGTGATTTTGGGATAATTCTGGTGAAAGGACAAAAAGTAGGAGAAATGGCACGTAATTTCCTGTTTGGGAAATTAGGAGTCAACATCCCTGAGCACATTTATCTTTTATTGTGATTGTGAGTGTGAAATCAGACAATGCTGGTAGCAGGACTGGCAGGTCCTGCTGCTGTGGGAGTAGATTTTCCCAGCTCCATGAGCTCTTGGCAGTGTCACTGAATTGGCTAAAATCCTGATTTTGCTGTCCAGCTGTGGGAGACAGATCCAGAGTCCCTGGCTGCTCCGTGCTGCATGAAAACCTCCTGGTGAAACTTGGATAAAACTGGCTTGAGTTGTTTGAGATCCTCCAAATCCAAGGAATCAAAGCAAGGACTGGATGTACTTTCCCACCATCTCAATGGATTTGTGTGGATTTGGACTCTTGGTGTTGTTTGGAGCAGAGTCAAACTCCTTAGAGGCTGAGAGGTTTAATTGTTTAACTTAATAAAATGTGAATTACAGCATCTGTTTGGGTGATTTATTTGCAGCTTTGAGAGCTGTGGAGAGCCTGGAAAAGCTGGGAGTGAGCAGGGGCTCAGCTCCCCATTCCCTAGGGATTGCAGCAGGTGAGGAGGGGTCACACAATCAGAAAAGTTTGGCTGGGAAAGGGACCTTAAAGCACATCCAGGTCCAACTCCTGGACACCTCCCACTGTCCCAGGCTGCTCCAGCCCCAGTGTCCAGCCTGGCCTTGGGCACTGCAGGGATGCAGGGGCAGCCCCAGCTGCTCTGGCAATTCCAGCCCAGCCAGGAATTCCTCATGGCCAAGATCCCATCCATGGCTGCCCTCTGGCACTGGGAGCCATTCCCTGTGTCCTGTCCCTCCTTGTCCCCAGTTCCTCTGCAGCTCTCCTGGAGCCCAAATAAATCCTCACGACCTCATGTCCCAGAGCCCAATTCCCTTTCCACCCTCTGCCAGATCAAAGGGAAAACCACCACCTTCCTTCCTTTTTCTTCCTGCTGTTTTCATGCCCTTTCCATCAATTCCTTTTCCAGGCCACTGACCCAGCACACCCTGTTTGTGCCGGCACCAACTCCAAAAGGGCTTTTCCACCCAATTTGGGAAAAAAAAGAGGAAAACAACCGCAAGCTTTTCTCATCCTTCTTTCTATTTATTTACTGATTGCCTTCTTCCCTCTCTCCAGCTGCTCCAGCCATGATCCCAGCTCAGTAGGGGTGGTCCCGGGCGTGCTCCATGATGACCTTCAGCGCCAGCCAGGTCTCCTGGGCGGTGGGAACGATCTGTTTGGCGGGCAGCAGGAAGCCGTAGCGCCCCGTGTCCCGCAGCTCGAAGGTGAAGGAATATTTAATCCCCTGGTTGTAGGTCCAGTCGACGGTCGATCCACTCGCTCTGTCTGGGGGAGGAAAAAATGGGAGGGATTTAGAGCCTCGATCTCTTTGTACAGGAATCCCGTGGGGTATTTGGGATGGATTTGGGGGTTTTGGGGCTGCCCCAGCGCTTACAGATGGTGGTGATGATGCTGCCGTACTCAAAATTGGTGCCGTACAGGGAGGACAGAGCTGCCACGGCCTTGGCAGAAATCTCGTTCTGGGAATACAGGAAACAGGGAAAGATGAGCCAAAGAAAAGAAAAACCTGTGGGATACAGCTTTTTTCTGGGTGCAACAAAGCTCCTCCCAGCTTCCCAAGGGATGCAGGACAGAGGTGGCTCCTCCTTGGAGCAGCAGAAGAGCTCCACCCCATCCCAACCTCTCAAAGCACATGGGCCTCACCAGTTCCTTGTCATCTGGCGCCGGGGTCGTGGTGTAGCCGTAAGGATAGAGCAGGAGCTGGGAATAGCTGTGGATGGAGACAAAAGCCTTGATGTTGCCATGGCTCTTCACAAAGTCCACGATGGATTTCACCTCGGGCTCCGAGTTGGGGTAGGGTCCGTGGTATGTCTCCGAGCAGGAGTTTCCGCTGGCTCCAGCATCTGTGGAGAAGAGACTGGTGAGAACACAGTAGGAATTTGGGGGCTTCCAAGCCCAAGAGGTTTTCCCACCCCTCAGTTCCTTGGTGGTGATCAAGGAATGCTCCCGGGCCTCCTCCTAGAGCTTTGTATGGTGACTCACTTGTCACTGGGACATCAAAGCCCTGGTGAAGCCCAAACCCTCGGCTCTGCCACAGAGAGCAAATCCCACTTCCTCCCCAGGGGACATCAATGGATCTTTGAGCAAGAAACAACTTTGGAGCCTCCAGCTGGAGAGTGGAAATGCTCCACAGAGGCAAGGGGACAGCTCTGACCTCCAAAACCTGCGTCCCAGTTGCGGTTGGGGTCCACTCCGACACAGATGGCACCCGCGTGCTTGGACCTGGTCTTGCGCCACATGCGGTTCTGGAAGGGCAGAGCCTCCTCAGATGGTGCCCAGGACTGGAGCTCCACAGCTCGTGGTGGGCCCCTTCCCATCCCATGGAAACGTGGGTGAGGAGGTTTTGCCCTCTCAGGGATATGCAACCCCCCAGACCCTGCTCCCCAAGCCCCATCCAGAGCAGCTGTAGGAAGCAGGGAGAGATCTGGGGCAGTACCGTGGAGTGGGTGTAGGCAAAGCCATCTGGGTTGGTGACAATCTCCAGGAAGATGTCCATCGTCTCCAGGATGGAGGCCACACCTTCGTTATTCGCGTGATCCTGGACGATCTAGAGAGGATGGAGGTTTGGGGCTCCCTGTCCTTGCTGTGGGATCGCCCAGCTGGATCCCACAGCTCCTGAGGACCGGGTGGCCCTCTTGGGGTGTGTCAGTACCTTCTGGGCAAACCAGACGCCGCTGGCCTGTGTCACCCACTCACGGGAGTGGATCCCGGTGTCGATCCAGATGGCCGGGCGGTTCGTGCCCCCTGTGCTGAACTGGGAGAGCAGAGAGGAGGAGTTAGCTTTGTCCCTGTCACCACTTTCCCCTCTGGATTACGATCCCCAAGTCCTCACCTTGAGCACGTAGAGGGGACGGTTCTCGGTCGAGCGGCCAATCTCCAGCTTGCTCACCAGGTTGGGGTTCTCGGCCACCAGCATGTCCATGAAATTGTAGATCTGGGAATGAGAGACGTGGGGGTCATTCCCAGCTCACCCCCTGCCCAAGAACAAACTTTTTCCCCCAAAATGCCCCAAATTTTGTGCTTTCCCACCTCATCTATGGTGTGGTAGGCCTCGTAGTTGAAGGTGCTGGTGTCGACCGACCGCTGGCGGCTGCTGCGGAGCATCTCCATCTGCTCTTCAGCCAGCAGGGCCTGTGGGACAAAGGTGGGATAAGCCTCATTCCCACTGATGGGATCCCATCTCCCTCATCTTCCCTGCGGCACCGCTGACCTGCACGTCCTCGATCATGATGGAATAGGAGACCCCACTGGCCTCCAGGTGGGCTTTGACGGCCTGCAGGCTGCGGAAGGGCACGCGGATGTCCACGGGAAGTCCGAGCTTGCGGGGAGCCAGCCAGAAATCCAGCTGGATGGGGAAAAATGGAGATAAGGGGTGAGATCCTGCCTTGGGATGCACCCCCAGCACCAGCCTGTCTTGCTTTTCACCGCTTGGTTCCCATAATCCCATGTCCAACCCCATCCTTGCTTTGCTTGGGGGTGTCCCCAGAATCCACCTCCACACCCAGTACCTGCAGATGCTCCAGGTCCTGAAGCTCCTGCACCTTCTGCAGCTCCTCATCGCTCTGGGGGACGATGCGCAGCACCTGGTGCCTGTGGGGTCAGGACGTGCTGAGGTGTGTGGGACGAGCTCTGGCCCCATTAGTCCAACCTAACCCCACCCATCCATCCCCCCATTCCGGGGATTTCCCCTGAGCCTTTTCCCTGTGCTCCCTTGGGGCTGAACCAGCTCCTTCTGCCCCACCCAGTGCCACCTCCCCATCCCAGCCCCCCTACCCAAAGAAGGTCTCGGTGCAGGTGGCCACTGCCACCAGGGCAGCCAGGAGCACGGGAAGCCTCATGGTCAGCGAGGAGAGTCGGTCTCACATCCCAGCAGTGCCCTGGGGCCTCTTAAATCCCATGGGATGGTGGCCCCAGCCCGGCCCCTCCAGCTGTCCCTTTTCCCAAGGCCTTGGGAAGGCTCTGGCCAGCCAAGGTCAGGCCCTGCTGTCCCCATCCAGGCGCTCCCACTCCTGGCCAAACCTGTCCCAGGAACCAGCTGGGGCCGTGGTGAGTCAGCTGCCAGCAAGGTGAGACCAGGAGGTGCCAAAATCCCAAACCTCCAGCACTGGCTGAGGGGAGGGAAAGGGTCATTTTGGGCTGAGAATGTGCGAAATGCAGATTTTCACTTGGGGCTTGGTGAGCTGGATCCCTAAGCCACAGTGGTGGGGAAACAGGTTTAAAATTTGGCTGAGGAAAGTGGTGTTAAGTTTGGCCCAGGACAGAGGTCAGAGCAGGTGACAGTTGTCCCAGTAGCCAAAAACAAACAGCAAATACCATGTCCCTCCTTGTAGCCCCCCGGGAAGTCATGATGGAACTAAGCTGCTCAAAACCCCACAAATTTGGGGCTGCTTGCCCAAAAATCCTCATCCCCTCCCATACTTGCTGTTGGCTCCAAAGGATGGGGACTTTGAGCCAAAGTCGCAAGGGGAAAATCAACACCTGCAGGACTGGGAGTCCTTTTCCACCCTTTTTTTGGAGTATAGCATGAAAACAATGAGGGTGCCTGAAACCACTGAATCTCCATGAGGATTTATTGAGAGGAGGGAATGCTGTGGGAGGTGCTGGGGTCAGTATGGATGCTCCAGGACGTGGACCATGATGTCCAGGAGCGCCGGCCACGTCTCGGTGGCAGTGGGGACGATCTGGGAGCTGGGCAGGAGGAATCCGTAGCGCCCCGAGTCCCTCAGCTCCAAGGTGAAGGAATATTTCACCCCGTTGTCATAGGCCCAGTCGATGGTGGTGCCTCCTGCCATGTCTGCAGGGAGAGGAGACCAGATGGGAGCCCATTCCCTAGGGATTTGCTGCGGGATGAGGGAGGGACACTCACAGATGGTGTTGGCAATGCTGCCGTAGGTGTATTTTGTCCCGAACACGGCGGCCAAGTCGCTCACGGCCTTCTTGGCTAGTTCATTCTGCAAAGGAACCACCAAAAGTGGTGGGATCTGGTGGATCACTGGGCAGGGGGACCCAGAGCCCATCATTCCCTATCCCTTCTACTCCAGGTTTTCCCAAAAAACCTTTAATGTTTGATGTTTGAGGTCCATCTTGCGACCACCCTCCTCCCAGACCCAGGTGCAGGGGTTCAGTATTTGGGTTGCATCTAACGTGAGGAGCGGGGAAGCTCCTGGGATGCTCTGCCTGACTCTGCCAGGTGGTCACAGTCCCACGTTTTGGGGCCATCTCACCATTTCCTGGTGGTCGGGTGTGGGCGCCCTCCTGTATCCGTAGGGGAAGAGCAGCATCTGGGAGTAGCTGTGGATGGAGATGACGGATTTGACGTTCCCATGAGCACGGATGAAATCCACAATGGCTCTCACTTCCCTCTCGGAGTGGGCG